AGCCACCCATACGCCGCCGCCGCCGCCTCTCTCGCTCCCTCTCGCGCTCACACTCTGCCCCTGCACTGGGCACTGGCCACGCTAGCTTCGCTTCGTCACTGGTCGACCCTCTGTCGCCTCCGCTGCCTCGCCTTGCGTGTCGCTCGCCCTGCTCCCTCCCGGCTCGACGCTCACGAGTACATCGCAGCTCGTCGGCTTCACCCTCTTCGCGCCCGCATCGTTCCTCAACCCGGCTTCCCCGCCGTCGCCCTTTTTGCCGGACGCTCCTTTGGGCCTCGCCCCCCGCTGCTGTCGCCGAGTACGAGTATTCTGCGCAAGCGCCGCGCGCTCCACGGCGCCTACCTGCCAACCCCCCTCCGACCCACGAGCCGACGACGCCGACGGACGGTCCCTTACCGACTGCGACAGCTCTCCTGCGCTGCGTCTCGAGATCGGCTCCCCGCAACGGCGCATAGACTGGCTTGACGCGGTCGACTCGACGTACATCGTCTCCTTTAGCGGACGTCTTGGCGGCGCGCCAGTTTCCTGGTCCCCTCCGGCAGACGACGCCCCCCAGTTCGCTCCATAAGCGCCCATTGCCGCCAGCGACGACGACGACCTCGCGCCAAGGTGAACGGCCGTCATGGGTAAATCGTGAGTCGGCCCTTACTCTTTCACGCGCCCTCGCATCACAGGTCCGATCTTGGGACGGGGCAGCATATGGCCTTGCTTGGCCAAGCACGCGGGTCAATCTCGAGTCGCGTGCGACGTCGAGGGGGATGCGCTGGAGCCTCGCAGAGGCGCTCGCTGCCCCTGGCCGTCACTCTCCGCACATCGCCATTGTGCCTATCGCAAGAAACGTAGCTAACGTTTGGTGTGCGCTCGCAGACAGTCCAAGCTCTCCCAGGAGCAGCTCGCCGAGCTCCAAAAGTCGACTCACTTTGACAAGAAGGAGCTGCAACAATGGTACAAGGGTACGACGCCAGCAACCAGGGCTCTTCTCCCGAAAGAAGTCGCTTGTGTGACTCGTGGCTAATCATGACACAACGCAGGCTTCCTCAAGGATTGCCCGTCGGGGATGCTGAGCAAGGAAGAGTTCCAGAAGATCTACCGGCAGTTCTTCCCGTTCGGGGATCCAAGCTCGTTTGCAGACTACGTCTTCAACGTCTTTGACAGTGACAAGTCCGGGACCATTGACTTTAAAGAGTTCATCTGCGCGCTGAGCGTTACTAGCCGGGGCAAGATGGAGGACAAGCTGGACTGGGCGTTTCAGCTGTACGACATTGACGGCGACGGCAAGATAAGCTACGACGAGATGCTCCAGATTGTCGAGGCAATCTACAAGATGGTATGTATACTCTCTCAGCCCGATGAGAGGAAGTAGCGGCTGACGCTTGTGGCACTAGGTCGGGTCCATGGTCAAGCTGCCCGAGGACGAAGATACCCCGGAGAAGCGCGTCAAGAAGATTTTCCGCATGATGGACAAGGACGAGAACGGGTCCCTCGACATGGAGGAGTTCAAGGAGGGCAGCAAGCGCGACGAGACCATCGTCTCGGCGCTGTCGCTCTACGATGGGCTCGTGTGAGGAAAGGGGGGGTCGTTCGGCTGCAGCGGATGGGCCTCGCCTCCGGGGCGAGCGTTGTGCGTTTATTTGTCCTTTCGCCGTATCATGGAGCTTGCGAGTATGGAAGAGAAAAAGAATGCTTGTGCCCACGCGCGCCTGTACCACTCCAGCCCAGCGATGCACTAGGTGCGGTCCATGTAGATTTGGCCAGCTCATAGGGTATCTTGGAGCGCCGTTTTCAACTCGCAACGCTGCGTCGTGAATGGGCGCGGGACTGGATGTGCTGGGACGACCGACGCCCGGGTCCGAGGTGGGTCCACCGTGGCTCACCTGCAACGCCGAACTTACATCCCGACTTCCAACGATTTTGTACTCAACAACCACATTGCCTCGCATCACTCCCTCTACGCCGCAAGCTGCGCTGTACAGTCCGCCCTTAGACAATCGGAGCCATGCTCCACTCATGACACATACGGCCCTACCCTGCGCGTCCCTCTCGCCCCCCGTCCCCGCTCGCATTCTCGTACGTTGCCGCTCCGGAGAAGGACAATGCCATCCCACCTCGCCGCCAGGCTGACGGCCGCCTTTGGCGAGCCTGTCGAGGATCCCGATGAGGGTACGTTGCGTTGCGTTGCGTGCGCACCTGTGTGCACCGCCGTCCCTTGACTGCGCTCTCCTGCTGCTAAAAGACGACGAAGGGGGAGAAACGTGAGACTGACCCGGTGCTGATGAAAACATACAGAGACGTTTCTGCTCTACGCCCGGCCCATGCCCTCGCAGGACCTCGGCTTCGTCGACCCCCGCGCCGCCGTCCTCGAGGTGCCCGTCCGCGGCCGCGACTACACCATCCACCAGTCGCCCTCGGTGCTGGCCTCGTCGCGCGCCGGCGGCACCACCGGAGCGGGTGCGTGCCTAGTCCTTCCCCTTTCTGTGTCCCTTGTCCTTTTCGCTCTTCCCCCTTGCCGTTATGAAGCTGGCGATCTGCGGCCAGGCTCCCGGGGACAGTAACTCGGTCTTTGTGTGAATGTGGTTGTAGGTCATCGCGTATGAGAGCTGAGAGCTGACTTACGACGGGTGAATACTACAGTCCTCTGGCGGGTGACCCCCTTATTCGCATCGTGGCTCGCGGGCAGCGACAACAGCCCCATCCTCCCGCTCCTCCGCCCGCGCCCCTCCGTCGTCGAGCTCGGCTGCGGCATCTCCCCGCTCTGCGCCCTCGCCCTCCGGCCCCTCGTCTCTTCCTACCTGCTCACCGACCAGCCCTACGTGCAGCGCCTCGTCGCGCAGAACCTCGCCGCCAACCCGCCGCCCACATCTTCCTCCTCCTTCTCCTCCCCCTCCCACTCCGCCTCTCACGCCTCTCCTCCATCTTCTCACAAGCCCTCCTCGTCGTCAAAACGAGCAGCACGCCGTGGAGGCGCAGGCGCGGCAGCAGGGGCAGAGCAGCAGCAGCACGGCGATGTACGCTTCCGCCCCCTGGACTGGGAGACGGACCAGGTAACCGCCGACCTGGCGAGCCCCCATGGGACCAGCTTCGACGCCGTGCTCGCGTGCGACTGCGTCTTCAACTACGCCCTCGTTGCGCCCTTCGTGCAGACCTGCGCAGACGTCTGCGCGCTGCGCGCCTCGGAGTCACGCGTGGCTACCTCCTCCTCCTCCTCCTCCGATGACAACGGACGCGGACGCCACTCGCGGCCTGGGGACGCGGGCGAAGCCGTGGCAGATCCGTGTCTCTGCATCGTCGCGCAGCAGCTGCGCAACGACGACGTCTTCCTCGAGTGGCTGCGTGCCTTTAGCGACAAGTTTCACGTCTGGCGTGTGCCCGAGGATGTCCTGCCCGAGGGGCTGCGACCCGACGATGGGTTTGTCGTGCACGTTGGCGTCCTGAAGGAGGACCACGAGCAGCAGTGAGGGGCGTATTCAATGCGCCGGCGACATCGAGTAGTACGAAAGTACCAAGGCAGCAGGCCGTGTTCTCTACACATATGCACTAATAGTCATTGCGACGGAGTTGAAAATCATAAGAGTATCCAAGACGGAATTGCGCGATTCGCGCGTCATTTGCTTCATATCTGGCAGAGCCTGTTCAATACCAGTAATCTCGACACTTGCTTGATCCCCTTTTTGATCACCTGCTAGTCCAATGTCAGGAGGCAGTGAAGATATTCAAGATACTCAAAACGCAACATCCTCCTCCTCGTGCTCTTCAGCACCCGCGCTCATTACCACTCGAGCGGCTCCTTCTTCTCCTCCCCACGGTTCGTCTTGGGCACCGGCACCGCCTTGACGGGCAGCTTGCCGCCGCGGCCGTTGCGGCGCAGGTAGCCCGACCCGTCGAGCCAGGGCGTCTGCTCCGTCATCTTGCGCTCAAAGGCCGTGATCTTGTCCTCGAGCTGCATCGTCAGGCCAATGTCGTCGAGACCGTCGACCAGGCAGTGCTTGCGGAACTCCTCCACGTCGAAGCGGCAGATGGTGTCGCCGGCCGAGTTCTTGATGGCCTGCGCCGGCAGGTCCACCTCGACGTCGCGGCCGGCGCGGGCCTCGTCGGCGATGGCCTCGAGGTCGGCCTTGTTGGCGATCTGGATGGGCAGCATGCCGTTCTTGAACGTGTTGTTGAAGAAGATGTCGGCAAACGAGGGCGCGATGACGCACTTGATGCCAAAGTCGAGCAGCGCCCAGGGGGCGTGCTCGCGGGAGCTGCCGCAGCCAAAGTTGGCGCCCGTGCAGACGAGGATCTTTGCGCCGCGGTACGGCTCCTGGTTCAGCACGAACTCGGGGTTCTCGGAGCCGTCGGGGTTGTAGCGCAGGGCGTGGAACAGCGCGGTGCCCAGGCCGGTGCGCTTGATGGTCTTGAGGAACTGCTTGGGGATGATGGCGTCCGTGTCGACGTTGGCCATCTCGAGGGGCGCGGCGATGCCCTTGAGGGTGAGGAACTTGGGCAGGCCGGCGGACGCTCCCGTGTGGGGGGCGTGCGTGTTGGTCTGAGGCGACGAGTCTTCGGGCTGGTCGCAAATCATCTCCCTCTCGTGCTCATCCTCCTCGACTCTCTCGTCGATGCGGGGCGTGGCCGACGGCGAGATCCTCGCCTGGACGTGGGGGCTGGCGCCGTACTCGGCGAGCTTGCGGACGTCGGCCAGCTTGCCGACAATGGCGGCCGCGGCGGCCATGACGGGAGACATGAGATGTGTCCGGCCCTGGGCACCCTGACGACCCTCAAAGTTTCGGTTTGACGTGCTGGCGCAGCGCTCCTTGGGCGACAGGATATCCGGGTTCATGCCGAGGCACATGCTGCAGCCGGCCTCTCGCCACTCAAAGCCAGCGTCCACGAAGATCTGGTCCAGTCCCTCCTCCTCGGCTTGGGTCTTGACCAAGCCAGAGCCGGGGACCACCATGGCGCGCTTGATGTTGGGGGCGACCCGGCGGCCCTTGACAACGTGGGCGGCGGCGCGCAGGTCCTCGATGCGCGAGTTTGTGCAGGAGCCGATGAAGACCTTGTCGACAGAGATGTCCTCCATGGGCGTGCCGGCGGTGAGGCCCATGTACTCGAGCATGCGCCGGCCAGAGGCCTTCTTGGTCTCGGTGGCAAACGTCTCCGGGTCGGGGACGACGCCCGTGATGGGGATCACGTCCTCGGGGCTGGTACCCCAGGTGACGGTGGGGATGATGTCCTTGGCGTCGATGAAGACGTCGACGTCGTACTTGGCGTCCGGGTCGGATCGCAGCGACTTCCAGAACGACACGGCGGCGTCCCACTCGGCGGAGCCATACTTGGGGGCCAGGGGCCGGCCCTTGAGATACTCAAAGGTGGTCTCATCCGGGGCAACCATGCCGGCGCGGGCTCCGCCCTCGATGGACATGTTGCAGATGGACATGCGGGCCTCCATGCTGAGGGCGCGGATGACGGAGCCGCAGAACTCGATGACAGCACCAGTACCGCCGGCGGTGCCAATCTTGCCAATGGCGTGGAGGACAACGTCCTTGGAGCTGACTCCGGGGGCCAGCTCGCCGTCGACCTGAATGCGCATGTTCTTGGAGCGCTTGGTGATGAGGCACTGCGTGGCAAGGACGTGCTCGACCTCACTGGTGCCAATGCCAAAGGCCAGGGCGCCGAACGCGCCATGCGTCGAGGTGTGGCTGTCGCCGCAGACGACAGTGGTGCCGGGCAAGGTGAAGCCCTGCTCGGGTCCGATAACGTGGACAATGCCCTGGCGCTTGTCGCCCAGGCCAAAGTACGTCAGGCCAAAGTCCTTGACGTTCTCCTCGAGGGTGACGCACTGGGTGCGCGAGTCGTCTTCGTCGATGAAGGAGGCAATGTCCTTCAGGGCCTTGCGGGACGTGGTCGGCACATTCTGCAGCACGGCCGCGTGTCAGTGGTACGAACGAAGCGGCGAGGGGGATAGGAAAGCGAGGAGCGCGGGAGCTTGCGTATACGCACGTGGTCGGTGGTGGCCAGGGTGCAGTCCGGTCTCCGGACCTTGCGGCCGGCATTCTTGAGGCCCTCAAACGCTTGCTGTCGCGCGTGTCAGCAACCATCGGCAAGTGGTGTTGAGTGTGGGCGGGATGGGACTGCGCCGTACCGGTGATGTCACCTCGTGGACCAAATGTCTGTCTGGATCGCACAACCGTGTCAGTGCCCGCGCGCGAAAACGGCAACAATAGTAAGCAAAGCAAACATACCGATGTAGAGGAGGATTGTGCCGTCGAGCTTCTCGTCCACGACGTGGTGCGACAGCACCTTGTCGTAGAGGGTTTGCGGGGGTCTCTCAGTGGCCGGCATTATGGGCGGTTTGCGTAGGAGTGTAGATGGAGGAGGAGCAGTGAAGCTGAAGGGGAGAGACGGGAAGGGAAAAGGTGGTGAACGATGAAGACCGGCTCCGATCCGGCTAGTGGCTGGCTCTCGAGATCGGCAGCGGCTTGGGGTCGAGGCGAGGCGCTCTCGGGGGACAGCTCGTCGGCGGCGCGGCGGCTGAGAAAACGAAGCAGCGGCAGTGGCAGCACTGGTGAGCGAGGTGGGGGGCGAGCCTGTGCAGCCTGGGGGGGCTGTGGTGAAGCTTCGGGATGCAGCAGCAAAGTCAAAATCGCACACAGGTCCGCGTCGTCGTCTTGCTTGCTTCCCGGAACACACACAAAGTCAACGTACTGTAGTGTATCGCAACGGCAATGCAGGATACGGCCAAGGCACAAGGAAAGAGGGCCGTGTTCCCTTTTAAAGTCCCACCCTCGCGCCGGGCTGCTGAGGAATTCCCACCCCGAGCCGCGAAAGGTGCTGCCGCTGCGCTGCGCGCAACCAGCGAGCCGGCTTCGGAGGCTCCGATGATCGGAGGGGCAACGTTGGCGGCTCCGGACCGGCAAGCAATCCCAGCGCCTCAGCGGGCACGCTTTCTGGCAGCGGCCTGGGCGCGGGGTACTTTACAGGCCCCTCCCAGAGCAGCCCGCCGGCGGGGGCGCCATGGGGGCGGTGCCCAAAAACCTCCAGGGCTCCCAGGCTTCCCTGCTGGTCGGCGCCCGCAGCCCGCACAGAACCCTCCACTCGCTAGGTTTCGCACTTTCCAGCGGCATGATCGGCCAGGCTCGGCCCACCCCACTGCGGGCGGATTGCTAAGGCCATGCTCAGGATTGGCTCGCCCGCTCCCCGACGGTTCCAGGTGTCGCGCAGCGAGATTGGTCGGACGCACGACTTTCCCTTCCCTGCGGCACGGAAGGGGGAGCTTGCTCTGCGTCGTTTGGTTTGCATGTGAGGGTTGGACTTTTTGTGTCTCTCATTTTCCTTGCCCCCCCTCCGATCCCGCCAACGTCCCCTCTCGTACCTTTAGTGATGGTGGGCGACGTCTGACGGCATCGCGGAGCTCTCTCTCTGGACAGGTACTCTTTGGAGCCCCGCAACAGTCAAAGCGAAAGGTTGTTTCGCGAGACGACCAAAGCTCGGCCTAACTCTTCCTCTTCTCGCAGCGGCCGAGCTGAAGGCTCCGGACCGGCGCCCATACATAATACGTACCCCAGATAGCTCCACATGTGCCTTTCCAGTCCGAGTTTCACTACCAGACGAGTACCTCGTGGCATCATTCCCTGACATTCCATCCACGATGCGCCAAGTCTTACAGTGATTGCCCCGTCAGAGTGAATACCAACGGTTTGGACTTGCGTACAGCCCAGCACCGAGCCGTCAAGCGTCTAGGGAGGCTGAAGCTTGAGGTTGTCGGATATTCGTATGGATTACTGTCCCGGTTGTCGAGTAGACCAAACCGATATCGCGCCCGTCCAGTCCAATGCACCTGTTCCACTTCCAGCCTCTTTACCCCAACATCGATCTACTTTGGACAGACAAGCATGCTAGAACTTTGTAATACTAATGTCTTCATTGGCTGTTCAGTCTGCATATACTCGCGTCACTGCTAGCCACTCCCTGGGCAACTCGGAGGCGCCGCGCCGTGCAACCGAAGCCTTGCGTTGTCGGAGAAAGACACGACTTCGCTGCTACTAAGCCCCACGTAAGAATCGGCCCACCAACACACTCTCCCGCCCTCCTCAAGCAATACGCGGCCGTCAAGCTATTAGTTGCGAACCCGGACGTTCTTAGTCTTCGATGGCCCCGGACCCAAGCATGTTGTGCATAATGCCCTAACGCATCCGCGGGCAACGTGCCTACTTCACCATACTGGCGCCTCTCCATACTCATCACTTGTTCGGCCCTCGACAACCAGCGTTGCCAGTGCAGTTGCAACCCTCGTGGCCTACACGAGCAACACACTGCCCATGACCGCCGTCGGCATCGCCAGTACCAACGCCAGAGCATCCATTGTGGTCGCCTCTCGTCGCTCGTTTCTCTCCCAGAACTCGGACCGATACTGAAATACTGGCCAGACAATCTTCCAGTACAGCGCTAGGAGGGCCTTCAAATGATGATAGGCCGTGCGCAACGTCGGCTTTGTCGACGCCCATCTGTCTCCTTCCCCCTCGCGCGCCGCTGGCCCTGTGGCACGCTCACTGGTCGTGGTGCTTTCGAAAGGATCGTCGATGTCGTCTTCGGCGTCGAGGTGAGTGGGATAGGCCCCCGGCATGCTCATACCCTCCATCCAGCCCGTGTGTTCCGTCCGTTCTCTGCTTCGAGGTGCTCTCATAAGCTGCTTCCGGGCCACATCTTCGGCTCCCCGCGGCGTCAGATCCCTGCTTGTCTGGGGTCCGGATCTTGAGCTCGGCTCTCTGCCCTCTTTGGTCGGTGTCAGAGCTGTGTCGGCGCTCCCTTCGCTCGACCGACCGTCCTGTGGTATACACGTTGACTTGGGTGATATGCTGCACTGCGCCTTGATCTGCTGAGCCTCGCGCCCGGGCTGCGCCGATAGTTGTGCTGCGACGATGTCCTTTCGTCTTTTCGTGGACGTCGATCGCTTTATGGACGTAGTACCGACTGCTTCTCTCTGTCCCATCACCGTCGAGCTCTGCGAGGTATTCTGCGAGGGACTCTGAACAATGTTCCTCAGCTCGTGGCCTGTCGGGCTCCAGGGCGGCAGATTGTATATTAATCGGCTCAGCTGGCGGCGGCTGGTCGGCCGATGCTCTGGTAAGGGACCTTCCTCTGGGGCAGGCGAGAACGTTTGATGGTCGCACCCAGTAGTGGTGGTGGTGTGTGTGGAAGCAAACTCGTCCATGACTTCCCGGCTTTTGTCTGCGATCTTCTTCATCGCTGCCGTGCACCAGTCGGTGTCGTGGCTTCCCGAACTCTGTGTTTCGAGCAAACGCACAGTGTTTTGTTTGTTCTTGCCTTTCCGCCCGGTGAGGGGCTGAGCCTCTGGCAACACCGCCATCGCACGCGCGTTTGTTTGGTGGGAACCTTCGCCTGCCACGCCAGCTGTCTTTCTCACTTCCACGCATTTCGTGCCACCTAGTTTCTGACCGTGTTCGAGGTTGGAAGTCGGATTTGGTGCGGGTATCGGCATTCCGTCCTCCGAGCTGAGCGGCCTCGACTTCTTCTCCATCATCTTTAGTCTGAAAGTCCCGAACGAGTGATGTATCAGCTTCTGAAGGGACGGTCTTGTTGCTGCTGCCCAAGCTGTGACGTCTGGGTCTTGCTGCTGCTCTGAAGGCTCCAGACTGATGAGTTTGCTGGAGGTGCGGGGGCTCAGAGAACCCAAATTCAACTTTTTCCGAAGTAGCGTGAGGCTCCGTTTGGGGACCAGGAGCAGGCTCTCCTGACTCACAGGCATAATGGCCGTCGTTTCGCCGAGCCCTTGATCTCGCAAAAGCAGATCGCTGACATCGGTCTGCGGCGGCACTCGTCGGTCTAAAAAAGACTGCTTGGTAGGCGCGACTGGCTTGCTCTCGAAGCGTCTTGTTGTTTTGCCTGGTGTTCCCACCTGGAGTTGCGGTGGCCTGCGCGAAGAAGAGAGCGCAGCTTCATCGGCGGCAGTGGCTTCTGGGCAACCACATGGGATACCAGCAGGCAAGCATGGAGCGGCTTTCGGTTCTTTGTCCTCAAAACAATCGGAGTCGTTGAAGCTTATGCCGTTCGCGAAAAGCTCGAATGCCGATGGCGTCAGATCTGCCAGGCTCTGGCCGTGAGGAGTCCGAACGACTGTGCCTCCTGAGCTCGAGTTTCCAGCCAGAGTATCATCAATCGCCAGTACCAAGCGCTCTTTGGCCTCCAAAGGCGTCCTTCGCGCGGGCGATGCTAGATCTATGAGTCTTGTGTTCTTGTAATCTGCGCCATGGTTTGTGTCGATGTGCCCAAGCCAAGGGTCTGCGGATGCAACATCAGGACTAATATCAGCGGCGCGGACGTCCAGCCTCGACTTGCCGGGGCTAGCTATGCTGCTCACTCGAGATTGAACGATGGGGCTGAGGTCCGGTTCTTGTGCCGAAGACCATTGCTTCGTATGTCTTCGCCATCTGACAGCTTTACCGGCATCCTTGATCTTCTGTGTGTTTCCTTCAAGGTTACGCGGTTTGTATTTTCGTCCTTCAGGAGCGTCCTGTTTGGCCGCCTTCTCGCCCTGGGCTCCGGGTGTCTTGTATGAGTGGCGGCTGCTCCTCAGCGTGCTGCGTAGGATATTGAGCTTCTGCAGTGTCTCCTGGCTAGTGCTGCTCCTGTCGCTCTCTGTCGGAGTGATGGTATCCAGTTGACCGGTCTCAGGATTGGCGCCCTGCACTCCGAGATAGTCTCCGCTCTCTTTCAGATTTTGTCTCTGGCGACGTGCCTCTTTCTTCGCCTCGATAAGTCGACGGGTCTTGGATAGGCGGCGCCCAACCGTAGAGGAGGCTACCGAGTCAGACGTAGTGTCACCGGCGGCATGATTGTCCTTCCGGCCGACGAGATGATGCATGTCTTGCCCATGATCTGGCTGCTGAAGACTGTCATCCAGGGGAACCCAGCTCCATTTCCTACCAATGTCTCCAAGAGCGCCGAGATCATCCATTTTTGCGGATGCTATTTCCGGCCTGTCTGAGGGCCTTTCGGGGTGTGTCTGGGAGATTTCCCTTGCAGTGTTCCAACGAACAATATGATCTGATCCGACCGTCTCGCTCAAGCAGCTTTGACGGCTATCTGTCACGTATCGGCGGGGCCTCAGCTGTGTCGGGTGCCTTGACTCTTCTTGTGCCCAGAATCCCTGATCTCGGAGTGTTCCACCACGCTCTGGCCGTCGGCTCGGGAGCACGTGTTTCACCCAGTCGCCCCAAGATGACGTGTGACGTTTCCCTGAAGGCTTCTCCGTCTTCCGACGCGCCCTCTGGGATGATGAAAGAACGGCTGGCCTGCTGCTAGGTGAATTGTTTACGGTAGGCGGCAGAAAATACGACATCGCAGGAACGGATGCTCAGACTGTGTCGCTTCGGTGGCCACTGAAGTGTCATGACCGGAGGGCGTCTGCTGCGAGGATGCTATGCGCGTTTGTCGTGTCGTTCCAGCAGAAGACTGCCGGACAAGTAGTTAAAGATGCACAAGGCTGGAGGTGATGTTGAGGCTGCCGATCCTGGCCCGCAGCAGTCAGAGTCAGGACTGGGTTGCTGCTGAATGGCCGCGCAACTCCGTCGCAGTTTCCTTGTTTGTCTGCCTCACCGGGGCGTCTCGGCCAGAACGAAGGCAAGAGGCTCGCAAAGACAGCGTGGAACCCTAGCAGTATCATTCGATTGGGTCGTATTCCTGACTCCGGGTCGCGCCTGCCTGGCTAGAAATATACAGGGTAGGCTCGCACCTTAGATAACACCTTGTCCCCCAACGCCAGCTAACGAGATGAACGCCGTGTGCATGCATTAACTCCCAGAATGAACAATCCAGTTGTGCAAGTAGTCTCTTTCAACCTCGATCCTTCTATCGTCGTGATGGGAACCTCTCATATCCAGGCCTGTGCTTGCCCATGTTGGCAAATGGGTGCGGTGAGCTGTTCAGGTTGGCACTATACGACTTTCGAAGGTCGGATTGCTTAGTCGGGCTGCTGGGGGGTTCCCAGTTGCGTTGCTCGTACGCTGCCATCTCTCTCGAATTTCTTGGCGAGGGTTGGTCAACCTTATTGATGTCGCCCAAGCTTATGGCTTTCTTGAGCGGAGATCGATTGTGCGAGTAAATGCCCATGCTTCCGCCAAAGTTGTGGCTGCTTGCTGTTGACAGTGGCACGCTGGTGCTGGTTTGTGCCGCCGCAGGGGTATACCCAGCAGGCAGGCTGCTCCTCATTGCCGGACTCCTGCGCGTTACGCTCTGATTGATGCTGGGGTTGAGCATTTCCACCCGGCGCGTGGCTGTGGGAGGGGTGAACATCTGCGGGCTCATGACGTTGTTGCTGCCCGCAGAAGGGGTAGCGTCTGGAGAGTCACCGTGCGGGTTGTGACGCGCCACGAAACTGCGCCTGATGAGTGTCGTTGGCGTGCCCGTCTGCACAAAATCTCGTGCCGTTACGGGCTGATCGTCTGACATTTGGGTGCCCACGTCTCTGACGACGGGGTGAATCCGAGGATGCACAAATTTGGTGTCGTACTCGTGCATGACCTCCTTCTGGATGATGGCGCTGTCCTTGGCCTGTTGGGTGTAGCGTGACGAGAAGAGGAGGAGCTGCGCCGACAGGACAGCCTGCATCACCAGCGCATTGAACACCGTAACGCTAGGTCGGGGGTCCAGAGGCGCGAGCGGGAGGAAGAGGAGATAGACGAGGACGTGGCCCGGGCTGAAGAAGCAGAACAGCCTGATGGACACGGGTAGAGGGTCCCAAACGGAGAGCTCCCACACGTCCCGGATCTTATCAGGATGTGCGCGCGACTCCGCCGACTCGGGCGTCAGCATGTCGGCAATGTATCGCAGAGGCGATGCGGAGACGGGCGACGATTGGACTTTGACGCGATGCGCGGATGGTGTTGACGGCTGAACGTCAATGTTTGCCTCGAACATCCTGTATTTTCTCGTTCGACACATCGTGTAGATGGCGTTGGAAAGGGAGACGAGAACGAGGCCCCAGACCAAGGGATACACCTGTTTCAAGAAAGTCAGTATGATTCCGTAGAGCGGGCCTGGCAATGCAGCTCACCAGAAACGACACCCAACCCGGACCGCCGTCTTCAGCAAAGATATCGTCGCGAGCGGCGGTCCGGCCTGAGTTTGCGCGCGCCAGGAGGAAAACAAAGTTGAAACCCAGGCCGATTTGCGTGCCGACCAGATTCGAGTCCCAGTCTCTAGTCTCCATTTCTTCGGACAGCCACAGCAGAAAGTCCATCGGGTTGAGCATCGAGGTGATGCGCTCCCAGAGCGGTCTGCGTCGCACGAGTCGAGGCATGGCGGTGGTTTGCCCGTCGTGGCCGGGGCTCGAGAACTGCGAGAAAGTCGCTCGGACGATGCAGCGCTAAATGGCGGAGCTGCAAATGTGAGCGCGCGGCCTGTCGCGATGAAGGCGAGGACAAAGGGCCGCGCCCGAAGCTGCGTTTGCTGGGGGCGGTTGGTGCTGGTTGTTTACTTTTCCGAGTGGCCCTGCGGTAGGTACTTCGTTGGAGCTGAGCTGGAGGTGCCTGGGCACTTTCTTCCAGGCTGGAGCCACAGGAGCAGGGGGGCCACATCCAGCAACTGGTGAGGCGGGGCTGTGGCTGTAGCCGCCTCTTGTGTGGACCGCTGCGTCGCAACGGACCTCCGTCTCCTTCTAACGACGCAACCTGCACCGCTCTCTGTATCGACAACAAGCCGCGGAAAGTCGCCAAGATGGCTTCGCAGGCAGACTACAAGGACCGGCAATTCCTCGCCGTGATTGGCGACGAGGTTAGTGCCGCGGCCTGGCGCGGTGACGCTCTGCCGCGCCTCGGCGATTGACCAACCGACCACTGACGTAGACCAGGACTCGGTGACGGGACTGCTCCTTGCTGGCATCGGCGTGAGTTTGCACTCGAACGGCAGAGGTATTCGTATCCGGTAACGACCGCTGACAGCGCAGCAGCATGTCACCGCTGGTGCCGACGCGCAGAAGAACTTCCTTGTGGTCGACAGCAAGACTGACACTGCGGCTGTCGAGTCCGCTTTCGACCGGTTCACCCAGGAGAGGAAAGACATTGGCATCGTCTTGATCAACCAACACGTCAGTATTCGGCACTGCTGTTGCGGCGGTGTGGTCATTGGTTCACGGCTGACGACGACACAGATTGCTGACAGAATACGGCATCGGATCGACACCTACACGGCGGCTTTCCCTACGGTCCTCGAGATTCCAAGCAAAGATCACCCTTACGACCCGGAGAAGGACAGTGTACTGAGGCGGGTACGCCGACTATTTGGCGAGTAAATGTGAGGCGCTTCGCAAGATGGGCAGTACGGAAGCGGTTGCGTGTGACGAGAGGACGGGTTAGAAGAAACGAGCACAATTGCCAGGCCACAGGCCAGTGGCACAGGAGGTCATCCTAAGTTAAACTTGCATTCGACGCGGTAATGTATGCTAAGTGCATGATCCCTCTAATAACCGTGGCTATACTCCCTGTCCACACAGCTCAAGTTGCAAGACGTAGGGCGTGACCATAGGAGATGCAAACAACGCAGAGGAAACTGCCCGACCAACGACGCGAAGGAGAAAATCACATCCCATTCCAGAGCAATCGAACTGAAGAAATCTGTCGCTATACGTATGCGCATGAGGAGGTCGTCAATATGGACTGTGTCATTACAGCTCGTTGCTAAAGAAGCCGTTGCCCATGCTAAAGGTGACGGTGGCGGTCAAGCAGGTAATCTTCTTGTCGTTGACGGTGTAGACGTCTGCGAGGACGTTGTATTTGCCCTACCACCATAATTAGTACAGGCCAACCGGGTTATGGAGGTTGCAGGATGCAAGCGAAGCGACATACGGGAGGGATCTCCTTGGGCAAGTCCACGCTCTTGGTGATCACCATCTTGCCCTTCTCGAGAGGGCACTTGAGGTCGACGTTGCCAATCTGCTCGCAGAGGTCCGCCTTGGTACTAAGGAGCTTGATGAGCCCGTACTTGACGGTCAACATAACGTATGCACCCTCCTCGATGGTCTCGTTGATGATGCCGCTGGCCTCGATGACCAGTTCCTTGCCGCTGCTCCGCGGTTAGCCAGCTGTTTACCCACGTCGACAAGGGTCGAAAGGGGTTGTCTTACGCAGCTGGTGGGTTGGGGCTGAGATCAACCTTCTCAATCTTGACGATGTCGTCGGCGTGTTCGGCCTCGCAGAACTCGAGCGGAGACTCGCCCGGGACCTTTTTGCCGTCGTCGCTGGCGATGGCATTGGGGGCCCTGCCGTTGAAGACGCTCAGCGCCTCCGCCGACGCCAGGCAGGCCGTCAGGCAGGCGACGGTGGCAGAAAAACGCATCGCGTAGGTTTCGGAAGTATGCTCTGCTCAGAGATGGGATGTTTTGACAAAGGTATGGGTTGGGGTGGATAGATGCGATTGCGGTGACAAGGTCGTGAGGCTGGTGGCGGAAGCGCAGTCAGCGGAGATGCAAGGCGGCGATGTCGTCGGAGGTCGGGCGTCTGTTGGGTGCGTCATGGGACCTGGACTCCACTCTGATTGGCGCTGCGGGGGACGGCAGGTCACGCTCGAGCCTGGTTGGTGACTCGGATGAACACCTGCAACTGGGGCGCTCTGGCCACCACAACAGTGCTCAGGACAGGGCAGTCGTTCCCCTCTGGAGTCGGTGCTGTGGGGGCATTCAGGTGTGTTGTGCCTGAGCCTGCATGTGGTGAATTAAACTCTCTTTGACTTTGGCCGTCCTAAGCGCCTCGCACGCGGATGGCTTACACGACCGTGGGCACAATGGGCTCGCGCAGGACCACGCGCCGATAGTGAATCTTGGGAAGAGAGTGATGAAATCGCGCTGGCTGGGTCTGCGTACCGGTCATCAAGCGTTGTGCCTACTTTTATACGGAAGCAGGAAGCCAGGCCTACGTGGAGCTCCTTCAAAAACTCGAAGGGTGACGAGGCCCGTCGCTTCGCCCTCGCCCTCGCGCTCGCCCCTGCTGCGACGCGAGGTCATACTCACGCGCCGCCTGGCGAAGCCGAGAAGATGGAGAATGTGCTTTATTATCGTGCCGAGACGCCACTGCCTACCTCTTCCCTTCCCAAGGTGATGCCTTCCAAGCGATTCAGGTGTGTCCACGGAGCATGGACGCAACTTGCGTGCAGGTCCAGTTGGCGGCTTTGCTCCTGGGCCGTGAAATCTTTCTGGCAACACGCAAGGGCTGCACTGTCTCAGAGGCAGCATGTCCAGACGTGCCTGCCAAGTGCCAATTCACACTGATTGTTGGGCGCTTGCCAAACCTGCTGGTGGTGACAAGCGAGCAGTGAATCCGCCCCTCAGGCACCAGCAGGCAGCAGCAGGCAGGCACGGCGCACGGACCAGGCGCGTCTCCTATAAATTTCTCCTCGCCGCCCGCTCATTTAACTCTTCTTTCTCTTCTTTTCTTCTTCATACTTACCTTGTTCCAGTCCCCCGAGCTCGAGAATTCGGGGTACTAGTAGGGGAGGCCTGCATTGCACATCGCGGAGTCTCCCGTGCTCAATTGTCCTTCGGGGCCATTGGGGGCGCAATTTTTGATATGACATCTCTTTCATTGTGTCTGCAGCCTGGCGCTGCGGCACGAAGAAGGAATGGAGTGGCGAGAGGGCTGGAACGTCGAACGACTGACTCGTCAATCAGAAGGTTCGCGAAGGCGAGCATGTTTTGCCATGCCGCGGACCCAAGTCAACAGCACGCCGTGGGGGCTGTCTTTCTGAAGCCATTTCTCATATATGTAGTCGCGCCGACTCGCCGGCACAGCAGAAGTTGCTCTCGTTGGCGTTTCCTGGACCATTCCATATCAGTACGTATTGCGGAGGCTCTTCCCGGTTGGAGGTCTCCAGCATGCCCAGTTTCACCCTGCCGCCCATGGCCGCCCTGCAAAGCAAAGCGGTCAAGGGCCACCTCGCTCGTCTCTGTGTGGCCAAAACCCACACACGACCGACCGCCTCGCGCAGCTTCTTGATTGGTGGCTGCCGCCAACCGGGCCAATGACGCTCGTGCGCCGCTCCGCAATCTGTCGTCCCCCGTCATGCTGACGCATTCTGCGCGATGCATAACCGCGCTACTCGGTTTCCGGCTTAGCTTAGTCCCACTCTCTGTGGCTGAACAGGGCCTTCCCAGGCCTTGTCGCCGCTTGGGCTTCGTTTGCGCTCCTCGTTTGCAGCTGGACCCGCCCACCACCGTGTCGAGATTGAAAAGTGTAACGCCGCGTCCACCCAAGGTGGTTGTCTGGTCAGTCGCACGCGAACGTCTCCATCGGATCAAATAGATGTCGGCATTCGTTGATACTCGTATGTTCACGTGTCTGTCGCTACCGTGTCGCGTGGAAGCGTCGCTGCGCCACCGCTTCCGGCCACGACGAGTGCCTCTGTTGCACGAAATTGATAGAGCAACGTATTATGTACGTATACGTCGGTCTGCAGGGCGTGTCATCGCGAGTCGCAGGCAGAGGGACACACCCCCTCCGAGGCCAGTACGACGGAGCGGACTCCGACCACGGGCAGCTTTCCCGAGGGCGCGAGCGGGCAATATCTGTTTGCTCGCGGGATCCTGACTGCAGCATGGGCATGGGCATGAGCATGAGCATGAGCATGGGGATTTGCATCGCATTGTTGGTCGGCGCGGATGCTCATGGCTGGGCCGCCCCTCGAATGACGTGCGAGCAGCCACCGACCATCATGCGCCTGTGCCACGGCGAGTGTGAGCACCGTGCGGATACTGCCGTGACGACGGCTTGAGCTGCTGAACGACGGACGACCAAGTACTGTAACATGCAAGTCAATCATGCCACACCGTACAGTACCGTCGCGTTGCACCTCGGCTTGCACGCAAACCGCCCTGCCTGCATCTGCACCGTCGGTGGCACGACTTATCGCTGAGCGGCTCGGATACTCGCAGCGGCGGTGACTGGATCATCCGACTTATGACAACCAGAAACGACATGACGAGCAGACCGAGTTCTGGACACACAGTTTGAAGGTGACTGCCATGGGTTGCACTGTGCCGTACAGTACGGGCAGTGTGTGTGTTTTCTGCCCACCTACCTGGCCAACCTTGCCAGCCTCCACGCTGCGGCAGCCTAGAACTTACCCACTCCAGCAAGTACAGAGTTACTCGGACTGCGGGTACGAGTACAGTACTATTGGGAAACAGCCAGACGGGGACCCGCGAAATTTCTCTGCGGCAGGAGAGGATCCGTCCGACTCTCCTCGCTCCCGCCCGCCAGCTCACCTCACCAAACAACCCGAGTCGATAATCCTCTCCCTCTGCCGGCGTTGGTGCCACGATGTTCCAACTGGACGACGAGCACGGCCGGGCCCCTGTTCTACCTGCAGCTCAGAGCCGACGCCAGGAACCGCGACCTTGAGCGAAGCCGCTGCCGGCCGACGAAGGCAGCCCCTGCATCTCGGGCGGTGCGGTCTGCGGCCGCGGATGCCCTCATCAATGCGCCCAGCGACGAGTGCGTCCTTCGAAGCCTGGGGCGGGCGAATTGCGGGTGTGCCTGTGTGAGTGTGTCTGGCTGCAATTTCGCGGGCAGTCGGTCCCGTCGGTGGGCAGACTGTGAGAGGAGGGGGGGTGTTTGCTCTGTGCCCAGGTGGCCCCCTCTTCTCCTCTCCTCGTGTGGGCGGCCCAGTGGCCCCCTCGCACTCTGGCCCTCCGTTGCTGCGCTGCACGAGCGCGCAGCCAGCTGTTCCCTCCCATCCCGCGCTCGACACTCCACCGCCCTCCCTCCCCTCACCTCAGGTCAGGCTCAGCCAGCGCCGCCATCCTCGAGCCCATCGGGGAAGCCAGTGCTCCCCGGCCTTGCCCTGCTCGGCGGTACGTACTCGTGCTGCCTTTGCTGGCCATCCTGCCTGCCCGGTCGTGGACTGCGGCCTGAGGCATCAACAACCACAGGGCCCGACACTAAGAGGGTCCCATCACGCCGCTTATCCGCGATTGGGCTTAGCGCCAATGGAGGCTGCTCGCTGCGCTGCGCCTGCTGAGATGGAGATGAGAGTGCCGCCGCGCCGCCTGCGTTGGGACCTGGTACGTACCGCCCGTCCAGCAGCAGCCAGCATCTCAGCACCATGCCTTGCCTGCACCCAGCGCCAGCAACGGCACCAGCACCGGCACCAGCGCCAGCGAGCACCCGGCCCAGCAGCCCAGCCCAGCCCAGGCGCAAGTGCCCTGCTCGGCCAGCCCATTCCCCATCCATCCCAGCCGGGCGGCCAGCCAGCGAACGAGCGTTCGAGCGCGCGCTCTTGGATCCTCGCCGCTGCTCCCACTGCTGGGTGCCGCACTCGTTGCAGCGCAGTGGCACCCCCAAGACTCTGCGTGTTTCTGCCGTCCCATCCCCCATCCATCTCCCTCCTCCTCTTCCTCTTTCCCATCCTCCATTCCTCTCGACTCCACGACCTGCTCACTTGTTGTTCTCCCTTCCTCGGACCGGTCTCGACGTCTGTCGACCTTGAATCTTTCCTACAGAAGTTTGGCCGCCTCGATTTTCTTGACCTCGACGGCCTGCCGCGTTGTGCTCTCGGGCGCGATCGACCTGCCGACCTCGATCGCCTTTCGTGACGAGTCCCTCGAGTTTTGCGAGGAAACTTCCCCCAGCGACCACGCCCACAACCACCTCTCGACACGCTTCGAAACACCATTCTCGTTCTCTCTGAACGTGTCAGATATCATCGATCGACTTGTTTTCTGCCACGCTGCCGCGACGGCGCCTCTGCCCTTCCGTGTGGCTCTCCACTACCTCCCGCCCTCGCCCTGTTCCACGACTGCGATCCCTCCTGTGCTTCGATCGGTCGGCCTCTCATCATCTCGACGCATGGGAGTCTAGGCGGCGTCGAGTCTCCGTTCGCGCTCCCGGCCTCGTCATCGCCGCGCGCCTCGACTGGCGGCGTCATGCCCCCAAGAGCGCGACGGTAATCAATTCACTCACGCCCCTTCGCGTCAAACCCATCCGTGAGGCACTCCCAACGTATTATGACAGACAACCCTGCGCCGCTGCCGACGCAGACCGCAGTTCCCAGTCAGGCCACCCTCGACGCGCCGGTCGCCGCCCCTGTTGTCAAAGACGAGGCCGCCGCCAACGCCGTGGAGACGGTGGAAGAAGAGCCGTACACCATCAAGTGTATCTGCAACTTCTCTGACGATGACGGAAACACAATCTACTGCGAGACGTGCGACACATGGCAGCACATCGACTGCTTCTACCCCGACAACAGGGATGAGGCCATTCGCGAGGACTTCTCACATTCTTGTGCAGACTGCAAGCCGCGGCCGTTGGACCGACAAAAGGCCATCGAGCGAACACTGAGACTTAGGAACGCCGCCATGGTGCAGCAGCTGCCGGTCGACAAGAAGCCAAAGCGGCCGCCTTCCAAAAGCCACAAGAAGAAGGTCAGGCCTGCCGAGCTCCAGTCCAACGGGCAGCCCGAGAGCGGCAAGAGTGGCAGCCCCAGCGATCACCCGCCATCGACCAAGAAGCCAAAATCCTCTCATCGTTCCTCGCACTCAACTAGCTCCCAGCCGTCCAAGCGCAGTCCTTCGTACGGAAACCCGCGCTCGAACCATGCGCATCCTCCGAGTCCTGCCACGACTCCTCCCGACCTCCCCGACGATTTCTTGATACATCACTACTCTGATGGCTTCTACTCGTTATACAACGAGAGCGATGTTCCTGACACGCACAACAATGCGTTCGCAAACATTGCGATACCTGCTGCGCTTGGTCAGTGGCTTCGGGACCCCGAGACGATGAAGAAGGAGGTCGGCCGCACGCGAGATGAGGTCTTTAGAATTGACCCTCCCGCCGCAGACGAGAAGAAGCCTACTCTTGAGGTCAAGGATTCGACTCGTACTTCTGACGCCGGATTGACATTGCGATGGCGCTTCGTCAAGTCTACCACCCCGATTGCCAAGGATGTCCGCCTGATTGAGCTCAATGGGCAAATCGGTTTCCAAAAGGATTACTGCGCCGATCCTGACAATCTCTGGACCGATCTCTCTTCGCCGCTCCCTTTCGTCTTCTTCCACCCCATACTTCCACTCTACATCGACACCCGAAAAGAAGGCTCCTTAGCTCGATACGTGCGACGGAGCTGCAAGCCGAATGCGCAGCTTGACACTTACTTGTCAAGTGGCTCGGAATATCACTTCTGGCTAGTGAGCGACAGATACATTGCCGCGAACGAGCAGATTACGCTCCCTTGGGACTTCCGTCTAGAGAAGAGCGTGCATTCCCGATGGCTGAATCTGCTGGGTCTGAATGACGACGATGCCGCATCGCAAGATGAACCGGAGATGGATCTATCGGAGTACAATGCTATCTCGAATTGGATCGATCGTATTCTCTCGGAATACGGCGGCTGCGCGTGCGACCTAGAAAACAACTGCGCTTTCGCCCGCTTCCACCGGCACTACTTGTACGGCAAGAACCAGGGCCGCGTTGCGAAGAAGAAGTCGCGAAAGTCACGGAACCACACCATCTCGCCTACCAGCACAGGGCAGGCGACAAACAGCCGGGCCCCTAGTGAAGGCCACGTCGACGACAGCGCAGACAACGAGACGAGGAACGAATCGACTACTTCCCGGAGCAAACCCTCGAGCAGAGACCGTACCCCGTTACCGCAGGGCCAATTCGATCAGTTGGGAATACTCACAGAACCCACTGACCGGGATAAGCGAAAGGTCGCCATGGTCGAGGATTCCTTCAGGCGCATGGAGCAACAGCAACCGCCAAGAAAGAAGAAGAGAGTGTCTGATGGCACAAGCACGTCTTCGTCGTCCAAACCCAAGTCCCGCAATGGGTCCGTCGCACCGCCAGGGAGCTATGTCGACGCTGGTACGTCTAGAAGTAAATCGGGGTCACCAGCAAGCGGACGGTCTCCGAACCCGTCGAACCTTCCCGGGCCGAACGCATATAAGCCGCCTTTGTCGGCTGGCCAGTCACGGCAATCTTCGGCGACCCCACGGCCTGCCTACTGCGACGCAGGTGTTCAGACAGACCCTGTACAAGGAGAGTGGTTCAGCCAGCCAGCCAGGTCCCCTGGCTGCAAAAGGCGAATTCTGTCACTGTCGAAACGCTTGCTCAATAGTAGGCTCCGGAATCTCGTTGGCGACGACGAGCACAAGAAACAGTCATCTCTGATTGTCCCAGGGGGAGGCGACAATGCAATGGACATCGATTCCACAACGGCCGACCAGAAGCCCTTTGTTTCCGGCGGCGTCGTCGAGCCACCATCGCCGATGTCACAGTCCAGCGACACGGTCATGTCCGATCAAGCTCAGGAGGCGGCAGCGTTGGTCCCGAATGGAGCTGCATCGGGGCCGGAGAAGAAAACTCCGGACTTGCGCGTTCAGATGCCACCCATTCCGGCCTTCGACAACACAGGACTTGTCACGACGCCATTGTCAGCATCTGGAGCTCCTGGGCAATCTCCCGTTTCCGGAACATTGGCCAGCCCTTTCGCCCCGCCTGCAGTCAACGGAATCGCTGTCATCCCTAGCCCAGCCAAGAAGAAGCTGAGTCTTAGTGACTACACAAAGAGCAGGATGAACAAGGCCGCTGGGAAAGTGGCGGGCGGCTCCGCCCTGCTCAAGCCTGGGCTGGCGAGCCCCGAGGAGATCAAGGTGGAAGTCACATTCGAGTCGCAAGCCCTGGAAAAACAACACGACACGGTGGCTCCATCGACAGCACCGACGACGAATGGTCACTAAGGAACCCGTCAGTCCCTTCGAATCACGCGCGCCAGCAAGTCAAGGGAATGAGTACGATGTTTGTGTGCCCTGTGGAGAGTTGATTAGCTGTCAGCACGACATTTCACCTTTTTGCAACGGTTCGACGCGTGGGAGGCTATTCATATTCATGTCATGTCGAGAAAAGATTATTTCGGACGGAACCGCTGGAGTCGGCGTTTGGGGGAAATGATTGCACAACTGAGGCGCAGCGTACTCTTTCATATATACCTGTGCTCATTCCGGCGAGGAGGGAACCACGGCTACTACTTTGTTACTGGAGTTCAGAATGGAGTTGGCATAGGTGTTTTCTTACGCCACCATGGCAGCACTGGGCTCCGGCAAGGTTCGCCTACTTTGCTCGCAGGAAAAGCTGTTATGAAGATGGGGATTACGTCAACGGCCTCGGAGGATCGGGGCGTTTTGACACAGACATGACTGGGCCTGTCGATTTTTTTTCTTCTCCTTGTTCAAACCCATGTATTTATAGCTCGACGTGGCGAACGCGATCGTACCCCTCAGTTCGGGGTTGATGGTCAGGCGGGTTTAGGCCTTGCCGACCTCGGTGTAGATAAAGATCCATTTCAGTTGCCGGTTGCCTGATGTTCTCGCATGGCCGTGAGGTTCCACACAGAATTGCTTCTATACGCCGTCCACCTTGGTGAAGTCAATCCTAACTGACGTGCGCTCGACTTCGATGTAGGCGGTAACCGACTCGCGAGACTTGATCTCTCCCCAGAAGTCATAGCCGGCCCATCCCCCGGCGCCCCGACGGTCTTTCAAGATGAACGTCATGGGCTTACCCGGGCGCATCTTGATTCGGGCATGCGTAGCTTCGGGCCTGTTCTTCGTACCCCACGCGTCCACGGCCCATCTCCACGTGAACATGATGGGCGCGCCGTCGTAGAAACCCCGCGGCACGTCCATGCGCACCTTGACGCCATCCGGGGCGTACAGAGGCTCCGTGAGGATCCCCTGGAACCTCGCGCCAAAGAAGTAAAACAGCCCCTTGGCCTTGCCCGTGAAGAACTGGTCCGCGGACTTGCCGACCTCCGAGTCCGCCACGACGACGTACTCGTACCTCCGGAAGAGGACCTGGCGGATGGCGACCTCCTGCGTGAAGGGCCAGGAGTGGTATATGTCGATCATCTTGTCGGTGAAGGACTCGGCCATGGTGTGGATGAGCGTGACGGGGATGGGCTCGGCGAACTGCTGCAGGATGACGATGTCGCGGACGGAGCTTTCGAAGAGGTCCGCCATGGACTGCCAGTACCGCGCCGTGTCTTCCTCGTGGTCGGCGATGAACATGCGCTCCATGGAGTAGAGCGTCCCGAGGAGGGGGATGTACTCGACCACGGAGTGGGCAACGGCTTCGAACTCGGTGAACCACTGGGATAGAGTAAGCCAGGGGCCACACACAGACTCCAGATCTCTCAGAGAGCACGCTTGACACCGACAGTTTCATGGTCTCCCTGGTTCGAGGTGGCGAGTGCGCCTCCCACCAATGGGCACGCCGCCGCGGCGACGAACAGCTTTCGCATCTTCAAGATATCTGCTCTAGATGTGGAATTTACTTCGATCTGGCCTGGACTGATCTCTTATAGACTTCCGGCGTACCCCCAGCTAATATCGACCTACCCATCAATATGACGAGTGCATAGCCTGATATAATTTTGAGTGCCATAGTAGACGGGGGATATAATCGCGCGAATTTCAACTATATGACCCGTCTGGGTAAAAGGGCGTTGCACAGCAGTCGAGCTGGGCTAGAACTCTACATCAGCCGAGCCCTCGCAGGATGTGTCAGAGAGGAGGCAATACGTCACTGACAGCTGCTGGAGCAACGCAATGCTCTTAAGCGCGTTCTGTTGTCGTTAGCCTGCAGCAACAAACCAGAACGATGCACGCTAACAAACATATGACTGGCGAGATGGACACGGTGTTTATCAACGCTGTGACTCGTTGCGCCAAAGTGCGCTTCTATATCTGGCCTTCTAAGCTACGTTCCGGGATATACACGCGCCGCGGGCCTCATGCACGTGCGGCAAATGCTACCTTAGTGGCGTGTCGTGCCCCAATTGTCTTCCTTAAAGACAAGGAGAGCCAGTTTGTGTCTCACAAACAGCCCAAACAGACCAGCGAAAAGCTGCAGCAGTGTGACCTCCCAAGCGAGGCGGTCTTCGCGGAGCGGGCCCCGCCAGACAAGCCAAAGATTAAGGATGGTGAAGTTGCTCGTTTCGACGAACAGGCCCTTGTCGTCCACTGTGACCTGCAGTAAGCGCAGCTTGGATAACAGATGTAAGATCTGGCCAACGAGGGGCCGCGGCTGGCGTTCTGGCGACCAGGGCGTGACGGACGGCTCGAGAAGGCCGGTCCGAGCGTTGAATTTCGGAAGTCGGTGACGCGGGCAGGGGACAAGGCCGAAGATCTGTGGACAGGAGTAGAGGAAGTTGAATATCTGGGGCACGAGGAGCAGTCCCAGAGTCTTGGAGAAGTGGCCAAGGATGCCCACGACGGCAAAGACCATGCCGGAGAAATAGCAGTACGTATCTCCCACAAAGACCTTTGCTGGATACCAATTATGGTAGAGCAGGGCGCAAGAGACACCGATCCAGGGCAGCAGGAAGTAGAGCGAGAAGAGATGAGAGTCGGTAGCGGGATGCGGATACGGTGTCAAGAGGTATAGGCAATCGTTGAAGGCGATAAGGATCGCGACGACGACACATTGAGAGACCTCGATGCCGTTGATGCCTGCAAGCATGTTGATGCTCTGGGGACAAAACATGGCAACACAAGCCATGTACACGTAGTATAAGGCGCCAAGGTCGAATAGCTCGCCTAGATACGGCTGGAGCTGCACGGGGATGACGATGGAAGTGACGCCAAAGTCGACAAAGTAAACGACCAGGATAGGGATCGAGGCCAAGCCGGGGATCCACCACTTGTGGCGCCATCGAATGTCGAAGAGATCGTCGCCGATGCCGAGGAAAGCGATGGTCTGGAGCGCAATAATGGCACCAAGGTAGGAAGCGAGCTACTACATCAGCGGAGGCGCGACATGCGCTAAGGGGGGCCATATTCACCTTGTTATGGGGGAAGCGATGCAGGAAGCGGCCCTGGTTTACCTCCTGAACCTCGACCACAACATCTCTGTTCCCACCGCCACTCGTCGCCGCGACAATATCCTTGTAGAAGGGGAACGGTATGAAGATGATGACAGTCAGGAGATAGACGGCGGCGCAGACGGCGCCCATGCATTCGGGGATCTCGATCTTGTTAAGCTTGCTGAGATCACGGCCGCGGAACCCAGCCTTCATGAAGGTTGGTCCCAGCCAGCGAATCATGGCAAAGCAGAGGCAAAAGGCGAGAATCGAGAGGGCGAGGGACGCTATAAGAGGCTCGCCATCGCCGTGAAAGGTATTGGCAATGATAGCGGCGGAGGCCGCAGAGAGGGAAAGGAGCGTGAGCGTCTCGGTGCGGGAGAGCGAGGTCGGGGAGGCGGCGGCGCCGTGAGCTGTGACGGCCATGGTGGCGGCGACGACAGGAGCAGAAGCGGGCAAAGCGGCCGGGAATGTCGGAGAGGGCGGCGCGTTGATGTTCACGGCAGCTCGTGCGGTCGCATCATGGAGCGAAGAGGGCGCGGGACGGGCGATGCGCGGCACGATAGCCGCATGCGAAGAGACAATTGATGAGAAAAAGCCCCTGACCGTGTTCGTCTGCCGGCAGAGTAGACGGTAGAGGATGCCCAAACGGGACACGAACGAATGTGTTGTCGTCGCGATCGCAAACGCAGCTGCGCAGTAACAAAGGAGAAGTAAAGGTGTCGTGGTTGCGGCCACGTTCGAGTTGCATGAAACCTAACCCACGACGGGGGAGTCTTCAGTAGGCAGGTGGGGCAGATTGGGAGCTCCAGCGTAGCTTCGCTTCGACATGCGTGGGATGGATGTTGCACCTGCCGGGCGGAGCTCCTGAGTCCTCAGGCCACGCAATTTTGTTCCACGCGTCTTTGTCACCACGATGACAGCGCCAGCGCCGACGCCAACCCGACGCCAGCACCGCCACCCGGCGGTTAGTCTGTTGTTGGAACATGCACGATCCTCTTGTTCAGGGTCCCGCGACACCTGCTTGCGTCTTGGCGATTGCTTTGCGGTAGCGCTAGCCTAGCTTCCATACACGGCGGGCATATCCCTCCGTCGTATATCAGAGAGTATGTGCCGTTCTGAAACTCACTGCGTTTTCCTGCACTCTGACTTTCCAAGAAGGCGTTCACTATGAATGATGGCCACCGGTGTCGACCTGGAGAGGCGCGGATCGGGAACCACCATCGCGTTCGCATCGTATTCTTGACGCTGGTGCTGATATCAGCCCCCATACTTCCCCGCGCGGGCTGGCGCTTCGCTCTCGTTCTGGCCGAGAGGTCGCCACACACTCATCAATCATCACGGCCCGCCGGCGTTTTGTCGCCAACTCTGAGCGTCTGCTGCTGACAGCAAAAACCCCGATCCTGGGCATTGTCGCTGCGCCCTTCCGCTCGTTGCTTTCGGGTCAGCAGCTTGCACGTCGCCACAACCGCCACGCCTTTGCGAACGAATGAGCCTGCCAGAGATTCGAGGAGCCAGACTTCCAAACGTGAACCTGACCGCTGCCCGGCCGTTGCCATAACGAGATAGCATAACGCGCTTGCACAACCACAGCACACCAGCCCTTGCTGCGAGTGTTGACGACGTCGAATGTCGAGTCTTCGCCCGCTAATCGCCGGCAAATGTACCGACCCCCATGGACAAGGCGAGCGGACCGCCCTCGATGCTCAGACATGATGGGCAGCCACATTGGTCGCGGAAACAGCGCGGCCGATACCCACGTCAGCATTTGGCGGCCCTAGCCGCTCAACCGGACAACAGGGGAGGACACCTCCAACCTGCCGCTCTGAGCCGGCCGGAACCTCACTTTCCTGCTTTAGACTGGGCAACAAAGGCTTGGGGCTCGCTGAACTACTGACGAATGGGTCAGGACCGAGCGCGATGCAAGCGAAGGTGTGCGGATGACCATGTGTGTCTCTCGTGGCTACGCCGCTCTCGCTCCCACACCACAATCTTGTCGCCCTCGCAAGGTGCATTGCAGAATATTTTCGGCGCCATCTTCGGCCTTGCCCCGATGTGTAATCATAGCTGGCCCCTCGTCTTACACACGCTGATCTCCGTAAACTCCGACCCTTACTTCCACGTCCGATCCTGTTGCGATCGTATATATTCGCTCTGAAGTCTGTGACGCTGCTTGTAACCAGCCGTGCACCGCGGAGACAAGCTATCGCCAGTTGATCTCCTAATACGGAGGGTTTCTAATACCAACGGTGCTCCAATCCCGGATTGCATTGCAGCTCTTGTCACCCTGCGGCCAGCCTTGAGCCTCACGCTGTCGAGATGGGCCTGCCCGAGGAAAAGGACTTGGGAGGCGTGCCGGCGAGACCTGCGACCACCACCAGCGCAGCCAACGACTCTGATGATTCCTCGACCATGACGGAAAGCCACAAGGCCACTGAGGCTTTAGAGAACAATGCCAAGGCTGCAGAGGCCCAAGGCGAGGCAGGGAACCCGGCGCTACAGGACATCGACGTCGAAGCTCAACGGGTATGAGTCTCAAGCCCATCGACTGGGTTTGTACTGACTTTCCCTCAGGAAGACATAACATTGGAAAAGGTCGGCAGTCGCAAGTCAAATGTCAGCCATAAGACAGGGCATAGCAAGCTCAGTCGCCTGTCCAAGAGCAAGACCAAGGAAAAGCTCCCTCCCCCAGCCATCCCGGTGATGGATTTGGACAAGGGCATCGTCGGCTGGGAGAGCCAGCACGATCCCGAGATGCCTCTCAACTTTGCGCCCAGCCGAAAGTGGCTCATCACCGGCCTGCTCAGCGCCGTTACGTTCATGACGCCCTTTGCGTCCTCGATTCTGGCCCCGGCTCTCTCAGCGCTCGAGAAGGACTTTAATGAGACCAGCATCACCAAAGGCGCCATGCCCGTGAGCATCTTTCTTCTCGGGTACGCCGTCGGTCCGCTCTTTCTGTCCCCGCTGTCAGAGATCTACGGCCGGAATATCATCCTCGTCACGTCCAGTGCTTGGTTCTGCGCTTGGCTGATTGGGTGTGCGCTCGCGCCCTCCTTGGATACCCTCATCTTCTTTCGTTTCCTGACGGGCGTGGGCGGCTCGGCGTGCCAGACCATCGGCGGCGCCATCATTGCGGACATGTTCCCCGTCAGTGACCGCGGCCGGGCCATGACGATATGGATGCTGGGACCGATGTTTGGCCCCTCGTGCGCGCCCGTCATCGGCGGTTTCGTTTCCGAGACGATCGGCTGGCGCTGGGTCAACTGGCTTGCCTTCATCCCGGCAACCATCGCCGTCGCCCTCATGACGTTTCTCAGTCGCGAGACGAATCACCAGGTGCTAATCGCCCACAAGACCAAGCGCCTCCAGAAGGAGCTGAATCGGCCCGAGCTTCGAAGCTGCTACGTCGACCCCGATGCCCCTGCCCTGAGCAAGGGGCAGATTCTCCTCAACGGGCTGATTCGACCCATGAAGATGCTGTTCCGCTCAGCCATCATCTTTAGCGTGTCGTTGTACATTGCGTTTGCGTACGGTTGCCTGTACCTTCTGTTCAATACCATCCCAATTGTCTTCCAGGGCAGTTACCATTGGTCCATCGGCATCACGGGCCTCGTCTACCTGACCCTTCTGATCGGCTATGGCGTGGGCCTCGCAGCATTCTCGATCCTCTCCGATAAGACGGTCGTTCGCATGACGGCCGCCAACGGGGGCGTGTACGAGCCCGAGTTTCGCCTGCCGGACTGCATCTGGTTCGCACTCGTCCTGCCCATCACCTTCTTCTGGTACGGCTGGAGCGCCGACAAGGCCGTCCACTGGATCGTGCCCGTCATCGGCATCGTGCCCTTTGGCATCGGCATCGTGGGCGTCTGGCTGCCCATCCAGGCATACATCGTGGACGCGTACCCCCAGTACGCCGCCAGCGGCCTGGCCGCCTTCTCTGTCCTGCGGTGCACCGTCGCCGCGTTCCTACCGCTCGCGGGGCCGCAGATGTACAAGAGTCTGGGCGTGGGGTGGGGCAGTTCGCTGCTCGGCTTCATTGCCGTGGCGCTGATTCCGATCCCGACCCTGATCTACAAGTACGGAAAGTGGATGAGGACCCGGTTCCCGTTGACGTTGTAGAGAACCGCCGCATGTTTCTCTTTGGGGGTTCGTCCGGGAGGATCTTACCATTGGAAATGACAGAGAGGTGCTGCGTCAACGCCAGAACTTGACTGTCGCAAAAACCATTTCAATTTCTCTATGTAGAAGACTAAATATATCGGCATTCAAGCTGGAAAAGGGCTCGCAGAGATCTACGTGAACGGTACGTGAGCTGAAAGCAATAGAATGTGGGTGCGAGAAGCTCTTCTCGAGCGGTTAGTACGGCGATCTTCTCTCCTGCCTGCCGCGGCTCCATGCCTATTCAGAACCGGGACGTTCCCCCGACATGGAAAATCAATTGCGACCCTATGTCTAGTCACCTCTTTTCGTCTAGTCTGCGCGACGGACTACGCTCCCGAACCCAGTCCCGAGTTGTAGACCGGGATCCACTTAACCGGGCCCAGGGCCGGCACGGCCATTGAAATTCCCGTCGGGGGTCCGGGCGGTATTGGCTAGTAGGGACCGGCTCCGCGCGCTTTTCATCCGATACGATATGCAGGTACGCTACGAGCTACCGGGAAGCCCTCACACGTCAGACGGAAGACGCTCACTAGGGGTCATGAAAATAAATGTCATGATTTCGTCTAAACTTGCTCGCTCATGGCTTCAAACCAGGTTCCACTTCAGGATGTACGACCACGCCATGCCTACGCGGCCCTTCTTGGACAGGAACTCCTTCGCCGTCACTCCACGGCCGTCCTTCCCGTCAATGCTCGTCAGCATGGCGACCTGTACAGACTGGCCCGGCGCGCCCAAGTCCCGGGCATTGACGTCTATCCAATGCCAGTACCCATTGGTTTCGATGGGCACCATTTCGTCCTTACGTCCGTCAACGCCATGTATGCTGAGTAGCAAGAGAGGCGGTTTCCCCAGGCCGTCCTTCTCGGACGTCCAGTGCTCGCAGATCTTGGAGAACTGGAATCGAACCACCTGCCCGCTGTATACGGAAACGTCTGCCTCTTTCGGTTCCACGCTCTCCTCCGATAGGCCTTCTTGATGACCGTTGGTATAAAAGACGGGCGGCTCGCCATCTACCCGACCTCGGAAGTATTCCTCCCAGGAGACCGCGCGCCCATCGCTTCGGTACTGATAGCTTGGATTGCTGGGGAAATGTCGCAGACCAAAGCTCTCGTTGCTGCTCGTGAATTCCTTCGGCGAGAACTCCTGCTTGTAGAGATTGTTGTTGCCACAAATATGGCCAGCACCCCAGCAAGCGTCCAACAGTTTCCATCCTCCGCCATCTATCCGCACGGCGTTCCACGCATGGCCGTCAGGCTTGGGCGGAGGCGGCCGCTCCCCCTTTTTGAGGGGCGTATGGCCAAAACCCTTGCCATGCCCGCCGACGACGACACAATCAAGCCCTGCCCGGTTGGCAATCGCCTTGTACGTCTCAGCGTATCCCTGGCAGACAGCTTTGCCACTGAAAATTGTCTCCTCGACAGACATGTGCCGCACGTTATTGCCGAAGAAGGCCACGGTATCGTAGAAGATGTTGTGGTGGAACCAAGTAAAGATGGCGCGTGCCTTATCAGTGTACGACGGGAACGGCTCACACAGGCCACGCGCCAGGTGTCCTACGGGATCGTTCCGTGGAAGTGACTGTCGCGGAAACTGGGCTGCGACGCCGTCCGGGCCGCTCCAGTCACGGCACACCCAACAGTCGTTCAGCGGCTTTGGTGGCTCCGCAGTCCTGGACGAGGCTGCATCGATCTGGGCTGCCGACGGCCGTGACGAGACAGGAATTGGTGGTGGCGCATCATCGGCCGACGCAGATGGCCGAGTCGGAATAGGCGGGCGCTCCGTCGTCGACTGCCCGTTGCCGAAGCCCCGAATAGGGGGTAGTTTGCGAGGGGGCGGCTTTGGGTCTTCTTCCGGCTCCGTTCTAGTCACTGGCACCGGCACGGGAGGGTTCGGAGACTTTGCAGGCCTCGACGGCAAACGTGGTGGTAGAGTTGGTCTTGAAGGGACGGGCGGCGTCGCGGACGGTTGTGGTGTCTTGGATTTGGCTGCTTGTTTGGCCGCATACTCTTTAGCCCGGGCGTCCCTTTCCACTGCCTCGGCGGCCGCAGCCTCCTTCGCCTTGGCCTCGAGCTCTCGCCTGGTTGGTGGCAGCGGAGGTAAACTGGCAGGGTCGAACACCGGAGCCAGCTTGCGTTGGCCTGCACCGCCATTGGAGCCATAACTCGAAGCAGACGAGGCGTGCCCGATGGATGTGGACGATATGGTTGAGTGCTGGGATATTTCAGAGGAGCCGGAATTGCGCCGGGCGGTCAACAAGCCAGACTGGGTCGAGGCACGGCGAGGGAGCTGCGCTGGAGACGGCAATGTCGACGACGAGGTTCGCGAAGGGAGCGGAGGGGGGACAGGCCGACTGCCGTTGAGTTGGGTGGCCACATCGCCGCCCGAGGCGGTCGAAGACTGGGTGTCGCGCCGAGGCAGAGGCGGGGGGTTGTTTCGGTTCGGTCTCGGAGGCACTGTCGGGTTCACATGATGATGTGACGGGGTCGAGCCGTTGGTGGTGCGTACAGGAGGAGCCGGAGGCGGTGGCTTCTTTCGCGGGGCGTCGGAGCCGTTGAAGTTCTTCTGCTTGTTGAGAGCAGCGATCCGCTCGGCGAGCGTGTTGAACTGCGGCTCCTCGGTGTCCGCCATGCTGTCTAGGCGGATGGCAGCAGCGTAGGATTCATCGAGTGCGCAGGTGTCTGCGAGCGATGGAAGTGGGAAACGAGCGACGAGGATGGATGGATCGAGGACAGATTTGGTGTGGCGGCGGGCTTGGCTATATCACCAGCGTGTGCCACGGGGCGAGGCACAAGGTGGGCGAAGTGGGCTTGGTGCGGTGCCGGTTCCCGTTGAGGCTCTGGCCGATCGACGGGCTCTGGGCCGCCGCCTCGACCGCAGCGTGGGACAAGCTTGGAAGTTTGGGGGCGAGGAGTCGAATCCTTGACAGGGTGGAGATGGCAGATGCTCTGAATGACTGGCGAACTAACAGTAGAGCGAGCTGACTTTGAGGCCGACCTTGCGAGGTTTGTGCTGCTTTCTTGGTGTCCTTGGCGAGAGGAAGATGAAGCTTGAAACAAACGATAATGGCAGTGCAGGCAATGGATGTGCAGCAAGAAGACGTGTAGAGAGTAAAGGACGTGGCAATGGCGATGTCGCACGAGGTATGCTTTAGGTCGAGGTCGACGAAAGTCACACCGTGTGGAGGAACAGCCAGCCAGGCAAGCCAGGGGCCCCCATTGTCCCCTCGCTGGATGACTGGCTTGCCTGGTTCCTTGCACAGCCCGGCCCTGGAGCCATACATGGATCTCAGCCCATGGAGCAGGTGGGGGTGGCAGCCAGTGGGGCCTGGGCTGCCTGCGGCTCGCTGGGGCCCGCATGGCCGCTAGCATCTCGGCGTGGGCTCCACTGAGACTGGGGGCTTCCAACTCTTCCATCGTGAGGCGTTGGCGTGTTGCGTCTTCCAGGGGCCAAGGCAACCAGCCGTGCAGAACCGCGGATGTGAGTTCATCCCACTGGATGGGTGTCGTTGACTGCCTCAGTTGTTCGAGAAGCAACTCCAGCTCGGACCGTATGGAGAGAAGCGCCGTCGCTACGGGGCACATGAAATACGAACGCGCGAGCACACTCTATTTTTCGCTACACAATCCTTTTATTATGCTGCAGTGCGACCTCGGAGACGGATGCTGTGGGCATTGAAAAAAAAACGGTGGTAGGCCGAGGGGTGTGAGGACTCAACAGACCCGGACCCGTTGCAGATCGAACCTTGGGTACTATTCGCGACGCGAGGCCTAAGGTAGGTACGCCAGTGGGCTCACGTCCATGTCCCCGGCACCGCCAAGATAGTGAGTGTCGCGTTCTGGACGGCCATTGTCGACTAGAACAGTCACAGCCAACAGCCTCTGGGCGGGCAGCCAACCAGCAGGCCCTCCAAGCCCTCGTCTGCCTCGCGGGAGCCCCAGCAGCGCTAAGAGCCGAAAAGTGGAAGGGACCGCCTGGAGCCGCAGCGCACGGTGCACCCGGTGGGACCTGGGACCTGGGGGATCGCTTGTGGCATCGGCGTCGAGCCAGCTGCCGGGAACGGGGCTTGGGGCCGCTGGACTGGTCCTAGTGCAGGCATTGAAGCTCGCAGCTTGGAGTCGGATCGCAAATCGGTCCCAGAGCCCCAGCGCGTTCACTCGTACCTTGGGTACAAGACACGGCTCGTACTTGGCAAAGGACTCGGGAGAAGATATGCGATGCGGAACGTGCTGCCTGGTCGCCTGGTGCTCTCTGCGCGAGCCGACTCGTCCAACAGCCACCGCTCACCGTCCCGGCGGGCCCAACGCGGCCGTGAGACACTGAGGTGGCCAACGCAGCCTCGTCGGGCCGCTCCAGGGGGGCCGCTGGCGTTGCTTCTTGCGTCCCGTCGTGAACTTGCAGCAACAATCGGAGGTACCTTCACTAACAGCGCCTGCCGAGCGCTACCAAGCACCAACCCCATCCCCCCGTCGATTAAACTCGACCCAGCTCCGCCCAACCAATCGCCGCCCGCACGCCATCGCCCAGCAAGCGTGGCGGACGCATCCATGGCTCATCGCTCTCCAACTGTCACGGGCTCACGGCCCCCCATCCCCGACCGGATCCATCCATCCAGCTGCTCGTCCACCAACCAGCCACGCCCTCTGCCGCCCATCTCGAATCGGCTTGCCGCTGGCGCCGTGGTTGTGGTGCGCACACTGCTGCTGTTGCGCTGAGCCTGCAGCGAGGCGCCGGACAGCCACTGGCCCAGACGGTTCCGGAATGCTTCGTACTTGTGCCGTCTGCTCCTCCCACCACAGTCACCACCACCATTACCACCACTACCACCACTCTCGTCGCCCCGAGCGTCGCCTGGCTTCCTTCGCTTGCCAGCCTTGGACCGCGCCGTCTGAGTCAAGCGAATCGCGCCCGGAGTCCTTGGAAACAAGTCGTCCATCACTCCGTCCTTTCGTCGGCACCGCCCACCTGATATCCAACACCACGACGACGCGTGCCCGTATGCCGCCCGCCTCACGTTTGCGCCGCCTGCAGCTGAATGACGCTGGCAGTCCGAGCCGGTGCCTCCACCTCGTTTCGCCTCGTCTCGCCGGAACGCCTGCGCTCCGTCTCCCCTGCTTGCAATAATGGCAGCGGAGGCTTCCGGCGGTGAAGCTGTCGCCTCGGCGAAGCGGCCCTTCAGCTTCCTGGACTTGCCCACCGAGACGCAGGAGGACATCATCTCTCACGTGAGCTTCCTTCTCCACGGCGTCGTCGCGCCTTTTGTCGCTGCCTGCCCGCTCGGCGGGACGCAACGACCCAAGTTGGTAGGGCCCCATGATGCTGACTTGCACATATAGTGTTCCCAGAGCGACCTGATATGCTTGGCCCTCGTGTCCAAACGCATGCATGAACTCGCATCCACCCAGCTCTATCGTAACTTCCACATCGTGTTTCCCGACGACGACGATGTCAATTTCGACTCCCCCATCGATGGCCTCGCCGGCGGTCTTGACACATTCACCACCAGCGAGTACAACTACGCCAAGCACCTGCGCGACCTCTCCATGGATACGCTGAGCGCTGGCGTCAAGGGAGAGCAGTCCTACCAACCGTATCTCTACTCGGCCAGCTGCGGCAAGTTTCTCAACACTCTGCTCTATCTTACGCTCAAGAAGGCAAAGTCGCTTGAAGCATTCAGGTATGGACCCCGGCGCTGTCCACTCCTTGTACTCTGGCGTTCGCTGACAGCTACGACAGATGGAACATTCGCGTCGAGCTCAGCCGACCCGTCTACCGCGAACTTCACCGGATAGCGTCACTCACCAAATTGCACATTCGCATGCAAGCTGGAGAGTCATACTACAACCATCCGCCGCCTTTGCCTGTATCCCCGGATCCGCACACCCAGCCCACCACAGGTCACTGGTCTGCGCCGCCAGTTGGGCCATCTTCCTCGCTATTCTCTTCAGCCACCGTCCAAACCTCATCTCCGCCGCAGATCCCAGGCGGTCCCCCTCCAGTCTTGGAACCGCAGTCTCGCCTGTCGGCCAGGAGCTCGTCATCAAAACGTGGTACGGGGACGAAAGAGCCGTCCACGTTTTCAGGGTTCAAGAACCTCAAGAGCCTCAGTGTCTTGGACATCGATGGCCTCGACGCCGTCTCGGAGCTCAGGACATGCGTTAAGAACTCGTATTCTACCCTGAAGGAACTCCAGTTGTCTCTGTCCGATTCATTGGCACAACAGGCCCGAAAGCCTCCTCCGGAGTCCGACGCCGACGACTCCGATGTCGACGATGATTTCCACGTGGTTCCAGCGTCACAAAACACCAACTATGACACGACTGGCCCTGCCAAGGCATTTCGCGCACAGGAGGAGCGCAAGTTCCAAGAGGCTATTCTGGGTCGGATTCTCGATGTGGAGCAGACATTAACAAAGAAATCCCCCATGCAGCAGTATAACGCACAGGATGGTTCTTCTACCGATAAAGGCAAAGATGTCGACACGGAAGCCAACAGCAATGACCCTCGCGAGGCATTTGTTTCGTCGATCAGGAAGGCATGTACAAAGCTCATGGCTTTGCAGCAAGGCTCTCGCGAATTTACCATCGCGCAACAGGACATATTGGACACAATCGAAAGGGCCGCGAGAAAATATGTTGACTCAGCCGATGCACCACCGAAGAGCAGCGACGTAACGAGCTCACCGGAATTGCCTGGTGAGCTTGGCCTCGACGATGACCAGCAAGCCATGCCCACTCTGGCTCTGAGGCCCAAGGTCGATGCCGACATGCCGAAAGAGGTACCCAATCTACAAGTCGGGGAGCAAAGCTCCACGGCCAATGGAGCAGCTACAGGCCCCTTGCCACCCGGTCCACGAACGACGGAAGACACTAGGCTTGATGGAGAAGAGCCGTCACCAGACGACATCGACATCGCACACGTTCATACAATTGCGGATGAGCTGGAAGGCTCGGTAGATGAGCCATCAGATCCGCTTACAACGGACGAGGACACCTTAAAAACTCTGTCGGGGACTAGAAAGCCGGATCCAAGCATGTCCGAACTGACGAGACTGCTTTGTACCGGGACCGACCCCCTCGTGTTGGCGGAAGCTGCAGATGAATGGGACCGCCAGTGGACAGAGAAGAAGGCCAGGTTGGAACCGCTAACCGATAGGCTGCGGTTGTTGCAGAGTCAAACCAACATCTTGTCACAGCAGGTGGACAGATTGCGCTCAAAAGGCGTCGACCCCAACTGCCCCGAGATGCAGCTCCTGCTGTCAAAGATGCATATGCTGAACAGGAACGTGACGGAGATTTTCGATGACGTGCGAGCGGTCGAGGACGACGTGGGCACGGTTTCCGAGGTGCTGTCCGCGGAGCTGTCAGGGGTCAGCCCGACAAGCGACAGGTTGCGGCGGTACATGGATGCATACATGCGCGAGACCCGTGGCCTGGCTCTGGAGACGCTTAAGATCCACCTCATTCCCGTCAAGGCCTCTGCTCTATCTCGCGGTGTCGACCTGGCGTGTCTCAAGCAGCTCACGCTGCTCAACGTGGGTAGCCAGACCCCGATCTGGGCGCTGCTGGCCAAAGAGGGGAAGACACGACCGCTTGCTCTGCGGACTGTCTTTACTGATCACGTCACGACGACATTTTTGTCCTGCATGGCGCAGCTTCCCGAGCTTCACGACCTGTTCCTCTTGGAAAGAGGCCTCAAGCACAAGCCAGAGAGTTTTGCGCCGCGGACAACAACGACGATTGATCAGATCCGGCGCCTAGTCCTGAAGAAGCATATGCACACGCTGAAACGCCTGATGATCAAGGATGAGTCTAACGGGCCGAATTGGGATGCGAACGAAAAGACAATGATTCTTATATGCACGCGCGGCGCAAACCTGGAGGAGCTGGCCTTGAGCATGAATATCCACGCTGTGGTAAGTTTGCAATGAGACAGCCACGGGTGATGAGACTGGACTAACCGACTTTTCTGTAGCACGCGTTCATGCAGTATTTCTCGGGACTGATCAATCTGCGCGCCATCAACATCCTTCACTTTAGAAACAACGACACCTGCATCTGGGTGATGCGGGAGATCTTGAGGTTCATCGTCGACAACTTGTCGCACCATCCGGAGCTGAAGCTCGAGTGGATCGCCATGGAGGACGAGCGAGTAGAGCGGGTCGTGAGGCCATCTGAGACGCAGGATAAGGTCCGCCAAGATGAGCCCGCCAACAGATCCAAGGGCAAGGGCAAGGAGAAGTCGCACGTGCTGGCGGGAGCGGTGATGGACAACACATACCCGCTGCTGCCGGTCGACGGCTTGGACTCGGATTCGGATAGTGAAGACGAGTCCCGTGATGACGGGAGACGACTCCGATTCCAGACATTTGGCCCGCTGCAGTTCTACGACTTGTGGGGTGTGAAGATATTTGAAAAGGAGATTCGCAGTGGGCGCCTATGAGTCGTCGTCTGCCTTGCGGCGGTCAAGGCTGCTCGAGGCGGGGGCATGCCCAGCGAGGAGAACCATGGGAGCGCTCCTGTGGGATCATGAGGGGACCGGCAATCTGTCTTGTGGGCAAAATCAACCATTGGTGGGCGACAACAGCACGGACGGCGCAAAGCGACGAGGAGTTTCGGATTCATAAGGCGTGCATGAATGGCCGCCTTGAGCGAACATATAACATGTCCATCATCACCAGTTGGGGGAGTACCCAAGGCATATGTGTATCTGCTCTGTACAGGTTGTACATGTCATATTGACAAAAGACGCGTCCTGTAGGTATGCAACAGATACGTGAACTTGGGTATCGGTCCAGCGCCAGTTCGTTCGCAATGCCGCGTAAAGCATGAAGGTGACAGACAGACTCGACGAGTCGTCGGAACCCAAACCCAACCTGCCAGATATTTGACAGGCAGCCGGGGCTGGACAACACCAGAAAATGGGCCACCGTCGTCTACATGCCCACCAGGCTAGCCCCGAGAGGTGCCTCCAGAGTGGTACAAGAGCAGGGCCTCCAGTTGGGGTTGTGGAGATTTAGACCCTGGATTCCGACTCCCGACTCCCGCTCCTAAGAGCCTGCTGCAAGGCTCTCGGGGGCGGGGCACCCAGACTTGGGCTGCCGCAAGGGACAGTGGAGCCCCTCATCCGACAACCACCCCTTGCCACCCTGCCGTCCTTTTCATCGACGCACACCGCCAGCCAAACAAACGTCATTCTGTCTTTAACGGATCCATCAGCTTGGCCTAGAGCTAAGAGGCGACCCCTCTGTGTCTTGTGACGACCGCCACCTTGTGCGGGCACTGCGGGGACGGTCTGGTCTGGGAGCACAAACAAGTTGAAGGGCGCCGCCAGCGACACCGTTTTACTCCAGACGCGTTTGCGGAAGAGGGGTCCCCCCTGGGCTTGGGTCTCGAAGCGGCTGGGCCTTGCTTAATGCTCACCTTACGGATGGATGGCTGGCTGGCTCCCTTGCCTTCCATCCCGCGGCTCCGGGCTGCGGGTGCCCGCTAGTTACAGTAGTTAGTTATCCGCGCCCGATGACATGACACGACTGAAGGAATATATGAGGTGATGGCCTGGGGCTGACGATCCCTTGACCACCTTACTACCCGCATCACGCAAGCCGGAACACTCTGATCTTTTCTTTTCCTCTTCATCAGCGCCAGCCCAGCCCATCGTAATACTTCTTGCGCAAGTTACTCGTCCCTCGTTCCCACCATCACTGCCTTCTGTCTTGTTTGGCTTTTGAGGAAACTGAGCCCAGGGTTCAGACACCGTGAACCCATCACGAGAGCAGCTATGCTGCCTTGTCGTTGAAGGCACGCACGCGACCTCCCCCCCTCTGCATGCCCCCATGCCGACAGCGACAACAACAACACCAACGGCGGCAACATGCACCTGACCACGTACCAGAGGCCGGACTTCAAGCCATTGCTGAATATCTGTCGGGGGCTCGGCGGCGCCTGGTCTGCCGGCAAGCCCGTCGACTGGCCCAACAAGTCTGCCGTCGACAGCTGGCCGCCAGATGCAGATGCGGCGGCACCGTTGAGCCCGCCTACTAATAGCGACGCGGCATTGTCTACCAGGAAAGAAGACGCCACCGGGGTAGAATCCTCACAGCTGCTGGAACTTCCTTCGGATGCGATACTGTTGATTTACGATCAGCTGGACTCTCCCGAGGCGCTGAGCCTGTCACTCACATGCAAGAGCCTTTATCGTCTGTGCTTCTCCAAGTATTACACCGGCACGCTGCCGCAGGAGGACCGCAAACGATTTCTCCTGCTTCTGGAGAAGGACCCCCGGCTGGGACGCGGCGTCTTTTATTGCTACCCATGCAATTCGCTTCACAAGTTTGAGCAGCACTGGGGCCCGCACTCGAATCTGCGTTCGGGCGGTGAAGACGGTGTTGCCCAAGGGGAGCAAGGGGGAGAGGAGCAGGGCAGCAGCAGCAGCAGACAGGACTGCGACAACAAGGACCGCTTCTCCCCGATCGGCAACCGCTTCAACCTCTCCTACACCCTGGCGCGTCTCGTCATGAACTCCCACCTCTACGGGCCGAGCCACGGCATCCCCCTGCGCAACATCTGCGTCAGCCACACCGCGGAGCGTGACGTCCTGCGCATCCGCTGCACGACGGACGCGCGGATCCGCGACGGCGAGCTGCTCCTCCTGCGCACGTACGCCTTCTCCGTCGCGCGCGGCAGCGTCGACGAGTTCCGCAGGTGCACCGGCGCGCGCGACTTCAGGCTATGCCAGCACATGCCGCTGCTGTCGGGCAGCTCCGCGTACAGGCAGCATATCGCGGAGCTGCAGCGCAGGCCGCCGCCGCGGCAGGCCGGCGAGGAGTCGGCTGGTTCGGGGCTGGTGCCGTGCGAGGACTCGCAGGGGTCGTGCGGGATATGCCTGATGGACTACGACATCACCATTGCGGAGGCCTCGGGGGACGGGAACCGGGATGGTGATGGTAATGGTGATAATGGTGCGGCGGCAGCATGGGACGTGAGCATCAGGGCGTACCACCAGCTCGGCGCGTGCCGCTCCCCTGACGACTGGAAGTGGGCGCGCTTCACCGAGGCGGTCCGCCCGCATCTGTTCTTCCCCAATAGGCCGAACCGGCGAGGCTCGACGCTGGGTGCGAGGGCCGTCAAGGAGCGATGGTTTGGCCTAGACCAGGGCGAAGGGGATGGACGTGTCGCTCCACCGAAGACGATAACGACAACAGCAACGAGCCAGAACGATTTGTCGCTCGCGCTGCCATCGTGCTTGTGGCGAGGCGCAAGCCCTCTGGCCGAAGCCCCGGCCTGATGACTTGCCCATTGTTACCGGATCGGTCGAGTTTTGATGGACTAACCAACGTGTGGGAGACCAGGTACCCGGTCTGCGCTGGGATGTCTGGACCCTACCTTCCTAGTAGGCTTGTGGGAGGCACCTGCGCGGAGGGCGCCAATTCGAAATCTCTGAAATGGCGACGAGCGTGGGTGAACAAGCTCCAGTCGTTTGTGGCTGGGCTCGTGGCCGTCGAAACAGAGTCGGCAACGCGGAGGGCCATGCCTCCCTTATCATGGTGGCAATACCTTGTAAGAATATGTCAAGATGGAGTCTGCATTGGTGGACGAGCGCATGGTTACGGCCAGCACGAAGCAATGGGGGCCGGACGGTAGATCTGTCCATGCAGCGTTGAACAAATCCAACACAGGCAGCTCACCTTCAGGAGCGTTGCGAAGAAGCAATTGGGCCTTCACAATTTGTACTCAGTTCAACTCATTCACTCACTGTAACCGGAACAGATGACTAGGCAATGCAATAGCTTGTTTAATACACAGAAATTCTAACCAAGTTCAATTCGTAGCGCCCCCCGCTGCACGGGAAGCGCGGGTTGTGGTACACTCTACACGAACGGCCATCGTGAAGCTCGGCACCAGCACTGCTCAGCTTCGCCAAGATAGACCGGGTTTGCGCATGACCATCGGGGTTGGGGGTGATCCCGCGATGGCCTGGGCTTTGGTGTTGTGGGTAGGTATCGTTAGGGGTTCGTTTGATGTTTTTGCGAGAGCCACCGTTTATTTACAGCTTCTCGATGATGGCGGCAGCGTACTCGTGGGTCTTGGCCTTGCCACCCAGGTCGCCGGTGAGGGCCTTGCCCTCGGCAAGGGTGTCGAAGATGGCCTTCTCGATTCGGTCGGCGTGCTCGTTGAGGCGCATGTGCCTCAGCATCATGATGGAGCTGAGGAGCAGCGCAGTGGGGTTGGCGAGGCCCTTGCCGGCAATGTCGGGGGCGGAGCCGTGGACAGCCTCGAAGATGGAGCACTCGTCGCCGATGTTGCCAGAGGGAGTGAGACCAAGACCACCGATCAGGCCGGCGCACATGTCGGACAGAATGTCGCCGTACAGGTTGGGCATGACCAGGACCTTGTCATTGTAGGGGTTGGGGTCGGTGACCATCTTCAGGCACGTGTTGTCGAGAAGCTCGGCGTCGAACTCGATGTCAGGGAAGTCCTTGGCGACCTGGCGACCGACGTTGAGGAAGAGACCGTCGGACATCTTCATGATGGTGGCCTTGTGAACGACGCGGACCTTCTTGCGACCGATGGACTCGGCGTGCTGGAAAGCGAAGCGAAGAACGCGCTCGCTGGCCTCGCGGGTGATGAGCTTGATGCTCTGAACAACGCCATCAACGACGACGTGCTCAATGCCAGAGTACTCGCCCTCGGTGTTCTCTCGGATCAGGACGGTGTCGACGTCATCGTACGGGGTCTTGAAGCCGGCGACGGAACGGCACGGTCGCAAATTGGCAAAGAGGTTGAAGGTACGGCGCAGAGTCAGATTGAGCGAGACGTGGCCCTTGCCAACAGGGGTCTGGACAGCGCACGAGGGTCAGCGAGCTGTCGACGCGCTGCGATTCGCGCGGGGGCGGGGTGCCTACAGCCAGGGGGCCCTTGAGGGCAATCTTGTTCTTCTTGATGTTCTCAATCGCGTCATCAGGGATAGCCGTCTTGCCGTCCTTCAGGATGGGGGTGACATCGACCGACTCCCAAGCGATGGGCGTCTAAGTGGAGGAGGTGTCAGAGCGTTCAATGTGGTTGGCGGCGGCAGCGAGCTGAACAAACCTTGGCGGCGGCGAAGATGTCCTTGACGGAGACGGCAATCTCGGGGCCAATGCCATCACCCTCGATCAAGCTGACGAGGTAGTTGCCCTGCGAAGATGATCAGTAACCACTTGAGGTGCGAAGCAGAGCAACCGGCTTGAGTGATTTTGGCCACGGGGAGCCGGTCCCAGCGGACGGGGGGGAGCATCCGTGGCCAATTGCACAGACAAAGCCGGGCATATTGATCACCCACCTTGGAGTCCTTGGTTCCCTCGTACTTGGCGACTCGCTCACCGGCGGTAGAGTAGCAGCGCTGCAGGTCGGAATATGTCAGGAAGATGTTCAATGCGTCGGCGCAATAGGAGGAGGCCTTACGGAGATCGACCAGGTAGCGGCGGCGCGGGGAGCGGCGCGCAGGCACTGCCTGGGGATCGGGCTGGAGAAAGCTCGGATGGCCAGCATCTTGGAGATTGTGCGCGGTGAGCGGAGAGAGAGACGCGAGCTGCTGGACAAACACGCTGGGCCAAGTGAGAACGCGAGGTGGAAGCAAAGGACAGAAAGTTTTGGGAGGTGTGGACAAAAACTAGCCCGTTGATGCGGAAGCACCAGCGACCGGGCGCCTCGACCTGCACGGCAATAGCGACACGGCGACACTTGCCTTGCCGGGACTGACCGCGCATGGGTACTTGTGGCTGCTACGTTGCACGCTGAGGCTCACCGGGCTTGCGGGCCTGCCGGGCAGCCAATTCGGTGACAGAAAGGGAGCACCAGCCACCGAAGGTGTGGCGCCGGCCCCATCTTTTCACTTTTTTTTCGCGACTTGGTTCGGTCCAGCGGCTCGGAGCCGTCGGAGTTGCGTTACAGCACGCCGAGCCGTGAGTGGCCGCTGGCCCGCACCGGCGCAAGGCTGATGATTCCGGCCGCATATGTGGCGCAGCAGGAGACTGCCGCAGCCTTATGTGGCGTAGTAGCCCCTTGTACGCGGCGCGACGTGATGTGGTCTGGTTGTCGCAGCTCCAGCTTCCATCAGCCAGCTGGGGAGCTCTCTCGACGTGCGACGCGTACTTCATCCCCTTGCGGCGACAGCGTCCTCTTCTACCGCCAATGCGCTCTTTATCTCGTCGGACTTTTCACGCTATATGAATCACGCACTTGACATGATTGCCCGATAGACCACGATCCCAGCGCATTGAGCGAAGATCCACCCCTCATCCTCCTCAACTGGCGCATCCCGAGTCCGAAGCGGACGTCGACGACACTATGGCCGACTTTGAGCGAACTATTCTCGAGTTCTACCAGCTGCCTACGCCATATCCTTCAGAATGGCCTGCTGAAAAGGATGCAGGCTACTCCTCGGCAGACGACGATGGCGACACGAAGCATGGGAGACGAAGGTCGCGATACCAAGCCCTCGAGTCGGTGGCAGGGGGAGGTCAGACCGGAGTTGGGACTATGGTCCAGAAGGACGAGCCTGACCCTCTCGGGACGTCTGACAGCGTCGTGCTATCGCTCAAGAACATGGGTCTGCCCCTGCAGGATGACTTGCGCATGCGTAAGTCTCGCCGTCTCCCAAATGCAACCCCAGAGCTTCGGGTCATGATTTGATGCTAATATTACTGCCATGCTAGGGAACCGCTTCCTGCTTTCGTCTACCACTTTCTCTCCTGCACTTTTCCTATCCCAGATGCACGCCAATGCCGACACGCGGAGTCTCCTGCACGGTTTAGATGTTCTCTCCCAGTCAATCGACCAAAAGTCCGCTTCGCTCAAGGTCCTGGTCGAGTCCAATTTCGAGCGCTTTGTCAGGGCAAAGGCAACAATTGACAACGTTTACAAGGAGATGAAGTATCGCGGTGTGGAACAGGGCCAGCCGCGAGGCAATCGTCACACGCGGCACGCAAGTCGAGCCAGCTTTCGCAATAGCATTAGCGGCACGGGCCTCGGCAACCCACTTGCCCTGCCCCCGTCGGATAATCGCAAGAAGAACGCGCTCATGAAGGAGAGCGAATATGGCGTCCTAGGAATCAAGGCGCCACTTCTTGACGTGTCCGCAAAGGCCGAGGATGTCTGGGGCCCCGCCCTCGGAGGTCGTGAGAAAGAGGAGCATCTCAAGACGGTCTCGCGCCAGCTCAACCACTTCAAAGAGTACGTCGAGCTCAGCTCTGCGGTTTCCGATAGCATCAAGCGGAAGGATTATGAATCATTGGTGGAGAGCTACAACCGCGCCAGAAAATTCGCCGACGAGGCTCGCCAATTGTCGCAAACTCTTGGGGGCAACACTCCGGATGACACTCAGCTATATCAGATGGTTGTTGCCGGGCGCATGTGGCACGATGTGGACCAACAAGTGCAGACATTCCGCCGAGACATCTGGAAAAGGCTCATATCTCTGCACACGCAGTCCAAGTCCGAAAGCATGACTGGTCGGGTCCAGGATCAACACATGGACATTATCGGCCTGCTACTCGAGCTTGGCGTCGATGACAACCCGATATGGGTGTGGCTTCTAAGTCGCTACGACTACCTCAAAGGAAAGATCCAGGGGACGGCAGACCGCTCAAAGGTGGAGATTGAGGTGCTGCGACGCAGGCTCGCTAACAACGATAAGCCAACGCCGCAGTCGCTCGCCTCCCATCTGCGGTCTTTGGGCAGACAATCCGTGGAGGGCAAAAACCCGACCTCTGACGCTCCCGACGTCATTGAGTTATGGGAGAAGATGCTTGCTTTCCTCACGAATCTCGTGTCGTCGCAGGGCATTCTGGGAGAGCTTGTCGAATTCTGGCATACAGCAGAGGGGTTCATCCAAGGCAAGACGCAGACATCGCTGCCTCTAGGCTACAATGGAGAGTCGCGGGTTCATCACAAGCTCACACAACAAGCCGTGGCCGACCTGGAGAAGGGCATCGTGGAGCTGGTCGACTTGCTGCGGGAGCATGTCTATGCCTTCTTCGCCGGCATGCCGCCAGAGGACATATCCTTGCTCTTCTCCCCGCTGCCTGTGACACCACACTCACCTGCCTCGGCCGGCGGTCTGACACCCACGACGCTCCGAGACCCACGGTTTAACTTCGACCCCAACAACCCACCACCACCGTCCCCTAGAAGAGGCGAGCCGTGGGAGAAGCTTGCATTCTGGCCCCCATGGTCCAACTCTATCAGCGGTGTCCACTATCTGTCCAAGATGCTGACACTGGTCGGCTCAGGGGCTTCCGATATGGCCGGCATCAGCCCCGTGTCGTCAGGTGATCCTTCAGTGCTGGACAGCTTGAAATCCCTGGTGGCCATCTCGAGAGAACGCTGCGTGACTGCACTATGTGCTGCTTGGAACCGAGATACGGAGAACATCAAGTACGTCGAAGACTGGGAGAGGTCGCCCGACTCTGGCGATGTGACACGCATGCCGACGGCCTTTTCATCCTTTGAGAGCGCGCTGTTGTCCGGCATGCAAAAGATCCTGTACATCCCAGATGCCACTGCCCGAGACGACGCTCGAAACATGGTGCTGCCGCCCCCGACCAAGCTGTTGCAAATGGTGCGGAGTCAGTACGTGACGACTCTGTACAAGGCTTTGAGTGGCATGGTAGAGAATGCGGAGCGCTCGGTCAAGAAAGGCGAAGACGACTGGACCACGACCCGAGGGTCGTGGCAAGGCACATCTGCAACGCAGCTTGTCACAGGCAAGAGCACCCTCGATCCGGGTGACAGGGTAAGGACCTCTTTCGATCTAATGCCAACAAGTTTTGCGTCAACTGACTCCTTGCCTACAGAACGTGCGCATGCTGTTGACGCTGAGCAACCTCCAGTCTCTGCGATCGCAGGTGGTCCCCAACCTGAATGCGCAATTCGAGAATGCCTTCTCGGTGAAGTTGACGGACGAGTCCAAGACAATTCGTGACGTCCTTGGGCAGATCGACGCGCGTCTCTTCCAGTCATACACGAAGCAGTCCGTGGAGAAGCTCCACGATATCATTCAGGCCGGGCTGTCGGCAACCGACTGGGCTCCTGCTGCTGGCCAGCGTCCCCAGTCCGCCAAACCTTACATCTACGAGGCATTGCTCACTCTCGTGCTCGTCCACTCGCAAGTGTCCACGACCGCCGCACCGCTCACGCTGCAGGTCCTCTCCTTCCTGCTCGAGCAGACGTCGCTTCAGCTCCTCGATGCCTTCCGCAAGCGTCCCCGGTACTCGCTCGAGGCCCTGATGCAGGCGACGCTTGACGTCGAGTTTGTGGCGCAGACGCTCAGCCACTACACGACGGATCGGGCGACGGAGTTGCAGAGCCAGATTTACCAGGAGCTCGACGGGCGGACCGACAATGACGCGCGCGCACGGCTCCAGAATGAGCTGCCGGAGATGCGCAGCGTGCTGAAGAAGCTGCGCGATGCGAGCAAGAATGAGTTTGCTTGCTTCAAGAAGCCGAAGCGGCAGGGTCAGAGCACTTCCAAGTCCGATACGAGTAGTGTAGCTACCTTTACAAGCGCGTAGATAGACGGGCCGTGCTGAGTGTGCTAGGGGATGCACGCACGGGGTTTTGCTCCCTAGGGGAGTTATGCATGTAAATCATGACAGTCGCACTCTGAAACCAGCACTCGGGGTATTTTACGCAGTTTAAGAAGTCTAGTCACCTGCGGAGGTGTCTCGACAGAGCTATTAATCTACCTTGTTGCACCGACCCACGCCCGTTTTGTCCGACCAGTGGGTAGATTACAATGACATGAACACGGATTCATTCTATGCTGCTCGGCGCGCCCCTTTGCTGTTCCCGCCGTCGCCATTATTTTTTGCCCAATAACGCCATGCACGATCAAACAAGATGAGAAGTAGAGGCAAGCAGCGCAACAGTGGGAAAATCCGATGGGGGAAAGATGCGAGTAAGGGTAGTCAGGTAGGTATCATGTTCGTGAGCGCGTGGAGTCGTAAGCCGTCATAGGGGGGAAAGAGGAGTGGCAGGGTAGGTTGTCCCTATCCTCGGTAGAAGAAGGCATTAATGTCAGGTCGACGGGTTGGGCAGCAGGAGGTGGGAGCAGAACATGAGCTCCAAGGAGCGGGAGTCTGCTGGGGAGAATTGGGAGCCCTTCTGGCGAGCTTGTATCGTGTCGTCTGAATTGCGAACGTTGGTCACTACTCTCTTCGATATTTGGGTGCGGGGCGAAACTTACATTCAAGGTCGAGGTTTTGGAAGTAGCTGGACACGGCGGGATCAGGATCCGTGGTGGCCAGCTTCCCGTCCTCGCCTCGGGTTGTTTGCGGAAGTGCCTTGCGGATGCCGAGCAGCATCTTGAGAAGGGCAGCCAGGTTGCCGCCTTGTTGAGTAAAGACGCTGGGATCGCGTTCAAGAGGCCAACCGGGGCGCAAGTGATCCTGCTCCCAGGCTTTGAACGCCCAAGTCGACTTTTCGATGCAGTTGAGGAAGATGATGGCCGTGAGATACGTCTTGAAGCCGGCTTTGGTCTTGCTGTCGGCGAGAAGCCGGTCCATGAGGTTGAGGAGGCTGCGCGAGGTGGCATTGGCCTTGCGCTCGGCTGCGGCATTGAGTTGCATGCAGATCATGGTGTAGATGTCGACGCCGTTCTCCGTCTGCGCTTCCTTGATGGGCCGAGAGCGCTCTTCGTCGCCAGCCAACTTCTCAACAATGGTCCACTGCCGTTCGCGATCGATGCTTTCAACAAGTCCCCAAAGCTCCAAAGCCTTGCTCAACAACTCGTCTTCATTCTCAGCCAGCTGCTGCATGGCAGTCTCGAGTGTCACACGCATAAACTTTGAGGGCTCGCGCTCGATAAAGAGGTGGAGGACGTCGCGCATGTACGCCTCAACCTTTTGGGGGACCTCTTCCTTGTCCTGGTTGATCATGATGACCTGATGATCTCTTGTTTGTTGGCCTTCTTCTTGACTCTCTCCCGACTCGAGAAGCACCGCTAGTGTTGCCAGGCTGATGGTTTTTCCAGTGTCTGGGAAGTGCGAGACTTCGACAACGGAGCCAACGTCAGTCAGCTGTAACTGGTCCTTGTGGAGGTTGATTCGGTTCTGCGACAGCACAACCTGGACGCCGGCCGAGTATAGGTCCAATTGCTCATGTAGCCGCGAGCGAACGCAGCCTGTCATCCACACTCTGGGCGCCAGCACCTTCCGGCAGGTATCACACGGCGTGCCCTTGCTGCAAATCTTTCGTAGAATCCGGCATCGAATGCAGGCGCCTAGTTTGCGGACTTCTTTGACCTCTTGGCGCCTTGCAGCGGTGAACTTGGAACGGTAATGTCGTGACCGTCCATTGAAGAGTGGTCCGCTAGTGTCCATGCGAACTCCGCCGCGATTGAGTGGTGCCGGTACCGGCGGACTGTCAGTGGCAACTGGAGCAGCAGATGCGGTGGTCATGTATGTCATTTCGCCCCAGGGCTGCGACGAGTTCGCGTCGTCAGCCGCAGACTGAGATGAAGGATGCGCTGCCTCTGGCGCTGGCGACGCATGAACATCGGGCAGGGTGGGCGACAAGGCGGGCTGATCGTGCTGTACCAGCTGTGGATCGAGGAAAGACGGGTTGAGGCGAGCGGCGGCGGCGACGGCGACAGAGATATTTGATGGATCGGGAGATGAGTCGCTGACAGGAAGAAGGGCCTGTAGCCGCTCTTCTGGTGAGAGGTCGGTGGTCGGCGGAGGGGTGTGGGCGGCAGCGGAAACAGCACGATCGCCCTGTGCCGGGCTTCCGTCTTTCCTCGCACTGCCCTGCGAGCGGTTATCGTAGCTGACGGGTGGGTTGTCTAGAGTGTATTGCTCCTGGAGCTCGAAGCGTTCGGCATTGTGTGTTCCGTTGGGCGCGACGACGTTGGCGACAGCGGGCTGTGACGCCTTCTGGCTGCCGGCGCGACTATTCTCGTTGAGGTCTACTTGACGCGACGCCTCGGCCAGCGTCTCGAGAGCACTCCATCCCTGAGGCAGAGATGCTGGAGACAGGGCTTGACCGTTCTCCCGCGCAAGCGCCTGCTGGTGCCGCTCGGCGGCAGATCGGGCATGGGCGATGCCGTGCAGCTCGAGGCAGGCACGCATGCGCTCCGAGTCGGAGATTGCAGGACATTTCTTGGTGATGTGTGCGGTGAGGCTGTCAATGCGGCCCTTGGGGAAGTTTTCGCCGCATTGCTTGCAGGTATGGGGATACCGGTTGCTGTTGTCGTTGAGCTTGGGCCCGCGCTCGAAGTACTCGAGGATGAGGGGGTTCGGTTTGCGGCCCATTGCGCGGCGTGGCAACAAGGGCCCAGCAATCAGCCGGCAGGCTCGGAGATGGGCACAGCCAGGTGATTGCACGGGACAATGGTCCGTTGTTGGGTGCACGTCGCGGGTCGAAGGGTGTTGCTGCAGCGGCGGACTGATGGGGACGGCTTCATGGCGGGATGAGATTCTGCCTCTGTTGACCGACAAAATTCTCACACCGCCTTGAAGGGTCGGTGGGAGGATATTCCGAGCGCCGTGATGGGAATGGAGGGGAGGCGGTGATTGGTGCGATGGCGGCCGGCACTTCAGAGGGTCCACTGGTACTTTGTACCTTGCTCGAAGCGCCAGGGCCCAATGGAGGTGCGGCGGCCCGGGAGCCGGCAAAGCTCAGGCGGTCGAGTAACTCGAGGCTTGCCAGTCCTAGCTTCCGCCCTTGAATCGTTCCTGACCATGGCGCAGGTTGGGGCGTCCACATTCCCCGCCGTGTCTTTCCTGTCCCCCATCCCCCGCCCGCCGGCCCGGCTCTGGACTCTCTGCTCTCTGCTGCGTGTAACGCCAGGAGCCGCCGCGGCCTGGAGGCTTCTCCAGGATCCATTTACATACTACTTATGGCTGCAGCGCCCAGCTAACATGCGCGCCCGGTGACGCCCTCACAAGGCCCCTTGTCGTGCTGGGCTGTGGCTCGTGACGCCACGCGTCTTCGCGAGTTCGACTTACACTACACTTTACTTCGTACCACCTGCACATCTCCCCATTTGCCTCGCGCCGCAACGCTGTACTGTGCGGTTTCGTGCGCTCAGCACCATTGCAGCTGCTGCGGAACAGTCGACACGATAATCTCTTGCTCCGAACCCCGCAGCCTGCGCCTGCGCGGCCCGCTGCGCGACATACCACCATTCTTGCCGACTTGTCCGGCCGGGAGAAGAGACGAAGATGCAGGAAACCATTCTCGTCGAACAATGGCCGGTGGTGCAATCGTACTGTGGCGATCAGGAACAAACCCAAGACCAACCAAAAGGGCCAGACTTCCGCTAATCATGCCTCGCCGGCCCAACAAGCCGTGGCCCCCACGTGGTCCCAGCGGCCAGTTATCACGAGCCTCGAGCACACGAGCCCCTCGAGTCTTGACCGTCGAACTGGTCGCTGGCCGATCGCCGCCAGACATGCGTGATGCTACATTTTTAGCCCTTGCGCCAGCCATGGCTTGGCAAGGAGACGGAGCCTTGAAGGCGTCAAGATCTGTCGACTCGGCCGATGGTGGCGTCGCACCCGACATTAAGCTTGTCGCGCTCCTGCACCGGGTCACATTCCTCGACGGACTGCGCCCTGATGAATCCAGTGCGACACTGTCATTGCCAGAAAGTGCCCCTCCGATCATGGCGCGTGAGCCAAAAATGGGCCTTTTGGCACCAGACCTTGTTGGTTCGTCCGGCGCGACGCCTCCTTGTCGAGGGGCACAAGTTCGCGAATACTATGCACTGCCCACTCCCTTGGGACATGTTAACACGGCGGGGCCTAGGCGTCGTGCTGAGGAACAGATCTCATGCTGGAGTCTGCGTCCTTCACTATGAGACTGTTTTGCATCACCTGGGTGTCCGTGGTTGCCTGCCCCTATGCTGGCCTCCTCCATGGTCATCTTTATCTTTCGGGCTTACACAGACCGTCGCGCGGCCCTGGTTTGGCTCCAGCCCGGCACGCCACCCACGGCCCCTGCGCAAGGCACGTTGTTTGAGATGCTGCAGTCCTGGGTCCATCCCGCACTCGAGACGTGACCACCTCCCGTCCGGGGCCATGTAGGCACGTGTGCGCTCGTTCTACGCGGAAGTTGCAGCATCTCTCTGCACTCAACTGTATATAGCGAATGGCGTCGAGTGGTTGAGCATAAATCGTCTCAGTCCCTGTACGGTTCGTACGGCTTGTGGATTGTCGCGCTCTTGTCTAGGTCCCAAGGTCGTCGGCGCTCACGATGCGGTTGACCATCTATTTACAGTCACTTCTGCCGGCGGCGGTCATTGCCGCCGACCTCTCGCAATATGCGTTGACTGATGTGAGTGCTATCCTGAGCTGACGCATCTCGAACCTCTGTTATTGACCCCGAAGAACAGACTGGATCAACAAATGGAGGAAACACTTTTCCCGGTGTCTCTCGCCCGTTGGGAATGGTCAAGCTTGGCCCCGACCTCCTCACGGGCAGCGACTCGTATTCCGGCTATCAACCCACCGGCAGCTTCATTGGCTTCAGCATGCTGCACGAGAGTGGCACTGGAGGCGCGCCCAAGTACGGCGTCGTATCGCAGATGCCGATCGTGGGACACATCGGAAACCCCCTGAGCGACGCCATCAAGGATACGCGGGCCGCACCCGACTTCACAGAGGTCGGGTACTACAAGTCAAGCCTCAGATCCGGTACGGTGCTGGAGTTGGCAGCGTCGGAGAAAGCCGGCATGTACAAGTACACTTTCCCGAAGGACAACAAAGACCACAATGTGGTTGTCGACGTGTCCCACGTGCTGCCGTCGTACCGTGGCATGGGACTGGAACAGCATTACCTCGGCGGCAACATCACGGTTCACGAGGAATCATCAGGGCAGTACTACTACACAGGTTACGGTACCTACGATAATGTGAGACCCAGCCCTTGTGTCACAACTATATGCTCTTCGACTCTTGGATGTCACGTCTGCTGACACAACATGGCGATAGGGATGGAACCGAGCCGCACCATGGACAGTGTATTTCTGTGGCAAGTTTGACGCGCCCGCGACTTACAAGACTTTCTTGGGCGCAGACAAGAAGTCGAGCAAACTCGTTGCATTTTCGGAAGAGCCAAGCTACCAGTCCAACAATGCAAGGCTCGGGGCAGTTTTCACGTTCAAGCAGACGTCGGTCGTCTCCCGCGTCGGCGTCTCCTTCATCTCCGCCAGCCAGGCCTGCTCCAACATCAACCGGGAGATCCCCGCCGACATGACGCTAAGCAAGCTCCGGCAAGACACCCGCGATGCCTGGAACTCGCAGGTGTTTAGCAAGGTGACCACGACAGATACGAACAAGACCCGGCTAAACCAGCTGTACTCGGCACTCTACTTTATGCACCTGCTGCCCACCAACAAGACTGGCGAGAACCCTATGTGGAAGTCTCAGGAGCCGTATTACGATGACATATTCACTTTCTGGGACCTGGTAAGTTTCGACTGACACGGAACGTTCGAGCTGGGTGCTGACGCAGGCTCAGTACCGCTGCACCACGCCTCTGCTTCAGATCCTGCAGCCGACGTACTACGAGGAGCTACTGAGGTCCATGATTGATATTTGGCGGCACGACGGTTGGGTGTCCGACGCCCGATCGTCCTTCGCGAATGGGGCGGTTCAGGGAGGCAGCAACAGCGACAACGTCTTTGCCGACGCATACATTAAGGGTGTCCGTGGCAAGGTCAATTGGGACGATGCCTTCGCCTCCATGGTGAAGAATGCAGAGGTTGTCCCTCCAAACAACCACGACCCCCGTGACACCACAGGGTCTACCAAGGAAGGCCGTGGTGCGTTGCCAGACTGGCTCGAACACGGCTACATCACCACAAAGTTCTCCCGGTCCGTCAGCAGGGCGGTCGAGTAGTGAGTTTTGATCTCGTTGTCGCGAGTGCATTACAGAATCGTTTCTAACCCACGCACAGCTCCGTTAACGACTTCTCCCTCGCCGTCGTCGCCGCCGGGCTCGGCCGTTCAGACCAGTTCAAAAGGTACTTCAACAGGTCACAGAACTGGCGAAACCATTGGAACCCCAAGATGAGAGACCTGGGGTTCTCCGGCTTCCTCGGGCCGAGGAACTCCAAAGGGTTCATCTCGCAAAGCGCTCTGTCGTGTGGCGGGTGCTACTGGCGCGACAAGTACTACCAGGCCCTTCCGTGGGAGTACTCCTTCAACGCTCACCATGACATGGCGCATCTCATTGAGCTCATGGGTGGAGCCAAACGCTTTGTCGCGCGTCTTGAGAAGTCCTTCCAGCCCAATATCGCCAGGGGAAATGCTCGGTTTGGTTACACGCTCTTCAACCCAGGTAACGAACCCAGTTTTACAACTCCATATCTCTACAACTACGTCAACCGACAGGACCTGGCTGTCAAACGCAGCCGCTTCGTCGCCAAGTCGTACTACGCGCCGAAGCCCAGTGGTCTGCCCGGCAACAGCGACGCCGGCGCCATGGAGTCGTGGCTACTCTGGAACATGGTCGGCCTGTACCCCATGACCGGCCAGCCGTACTTCCTGATCGGTTCACCCTGGTTCTCCGACCTGACGATTGACCTCGGCGGGGAAAAGAAGCTCGTCGTCAAGGCGACGGGAGGCAGCGAGGATAAGTTCTACGTGCAGTCGCTCAAGGTTAACGGCCAGCGCTGGAAGAAGAGCTGGCTGACGTGGGATGATATTTTCGCCAGGGGCGGTACCCTCGAGTTTGAGCTGGGCAGCGAGCCCAAGGACTGGACGACGGGCGTGTTGCCGCCGAGCATGGCGAGCATGTCGCCGGACCAGGCGAGCAAGTTGGCAGGACTGTGGTCCCAGGGGAAGAGCTGAGTTGCTCGCCCGCTGCACTCCTGCTCTGAGCCCGAGTGCTCCAGCATTGAGCGACCAGATGTGCGGCAAGATCGTTGAGCAGTACGCCCTGCCTCGCCGAGCCGCGAGACTAATCTGCCTATACAAAGACCTTATGCTACGTGAATGTAGTAGCGATCGCTGCGAAATGCGGCTTGACGAGGCTTAGTATGTACATAACTACCTAGCAGAGTGCCGTGGTTGAGACACAGCTATGTATAGAGTCGTGACGCTTAGTGTCGTCTTAATAGAACACACGCGCTGATAAGAGTGTATCTGTTCCAATTCATGCCGTCTAGTCATCCAACCACCAATGAATACCATGAAAAGCAGAGCGCCAGACGCCGTCATGAGAGCCAATGATCCAAATCCAAAACTCCAAACGCTTCTGATATCATGAATGCCCCGCGTCGGTGTCCGGGCCGCCACCGCCAAGCCGCTCCACGGTTCGAAAGACGTTTACGATAAAGTTCATGGTCCAGGAGATGAGGCCAACGAGCTCGAATGCGCCAAGGGCTGCAGCAAGATGCAGAAGGTTCGTCTCGCGTACGTTATGATAGACGAGACTTTCGAACGCGAGTGCTGTACTGGCCGACTTGAAAATAATAAAGAAGAGATCGAGGAGGATGAGGCGGATTTTAGAGACGCCGGAGCGCAGGCCCACGGGCTTTCCCGTGTACTCGTCGTAGATCATGTATCCAGTGTATGGGATGGCGACGCAGTCAACCACAATCGCGACGAGAGACTGCGTGCGCTCAGCCGTTTCGCGGTCGTGAGAATCCTCCAGGACTAGGATACGGGCGGCGACGGCCAGAGCGAGGATGGAGGTGACGGCGACGGCGAGACGGAACAGCAGTGGAGAGAGTGAGTGGCGTATGAGGACGTTCCACGCCCGCTTGTAAAAGGCGGCTGTGCGGCGGCGGCGCGAGCCATGGCCCTTGGCCTTGGAGTCGTGCGGGTTAAGCACATCGTCGGCACGTCGATCAAAAGTCGGCTGAAGCTTGCGCATGGCCTCGTAGTCGACCACCTCGGACTCCTCCCCCGGGGCGCGCCCCCAGGCAGAGGAGTGGAGGAACTCGTGCCAGGCGAGAGCCGGGGCGGCCGTGGCCGGCGAGTAGTAGCCGGGGACGATGACGGGGTCGGCCGTCCGCAGGTGGTCCCACTTGCGGCCGCGCATCGAGGCGCGGCCGTGACGAAGGAAGTGGGGGATGCGGGCGCGGGCATCCTGCGCGGGGCCGAGCTGGGGGTCTTCCCAGGCGACGAAGCCGTCCTTGGAGACGCGGCGCCGGGGCTGGTCGGGCGTCGAGTTGTGCTGGGGTCGGACGGTGCGCGACGGCGGGCTCAGCAGGCGGAGCTGGTCGTCGGGGGGTTGGCCGTAGCGCTTTTCGTACGAGTCGATCCAGGCTGTGCAGCGTTAGTCGGGAGACGGCGCGATGGACGGGGGGATAGGGGGACATCGGCGACGCACGGGGCAGAGATCTCGGGGGTCGCAGACGGAGGGCCGTGGTGTTGTCCGTCGTCCCACTGACGGCCGTCTGGACCGAGTCCGACGCGCGATTCGGCGCCCTTGGAGGCGACGAAGTGGACGGGGAGTCCATCGGGGGCGGAGGAGGAGGAGAGGCGCGAGAGTAGGGGGATGGCGGGCGAGGGTGAGGGCGAGGACGCAGGTGCTGGCGGTTAGCAGCAGACAGCTTGCATGGTCGATGATGATGATGATGCCGTCCTCGGGAAGCGCTTCATCGGCGTGCGCGAGCGGGAAAATGGTTTGAAGAGACGATAGACGAGTCGCGCCGGGGCCAAGAAGCGACAATATGTGGTTTTCTGGCTGCTGCTGGGGCGGCGATTCCGGCGATGCCGCGTCCTCGTCTGTCGTGGGGAGACTGACTCGGCCGGCTCGGATGCGATGTCGCTGGCAGACGCGACGGGAGCTTTGACGTCGGGACGGGAGAACAGAACAAAGAGACCGGACGACAGCTTGCAGCTTTTCCTTTCCTCGGAGGCCGTGGACGACGCGGGAGGTCAGCCGAAAACAGGTTCTGGCCTTGTGACATGCACGTCGTTAGCGCTTTTTGGCGTTGCTGGCGTTGCTGGCTCAAGGCCAAGCTCCATGACTAGCGCCGACCTTGGCCGCGGCAGCTGAAGCAGAGCCCGGATGGGAACCTGGAAGCCAGTGACGAAGGGGGTGCAGCCGAGGTGGAGCCCGCCTGCGAAACCTTGTTCTGCCACGGGCTGCCATGGGCGGGTGCCTGATGGATGGACCCGATGGGGACCTGATGGGCTCCAGGGCTGCACAGGCCCGGCGACTCCCCTGTAGCTCATTGCCTCTGGGGGAGACGCCCAGCGCATCCAATCTCAGCCAACAGCCCCGCCGCCCGACATCATGCATGGATGGAACCCCGCCGTGGAAGACGTTCGGCACCCGTGCGCGCGGCGTGGAGAGTTCGACGTCACCTGATCGCGCGCCAGAGGCTTCCACTGCTTCCCCCAGAAACGCGTTGGGCCTCCCCGAACCCGCGCGACGACCTGCCACAGATTTCTATACTTTTATCAATCCTGGCGCATTCGTCGCCCCGCCACCGACACGCGCACCGCCGATACTTGTCCGGTCCGAGACGAGCCCGCCGCAGCTTTCGCTGCCCCGTTTCTCTCTCGCGGCCTTGCAATAGCCGTGCCGTGCTCATCTGGAATGAGATGAAGTGGCCACCTCCGGCGCCGCGTCTCGACATCGCGTGAGCTGAGCTCGTCTGCGTCACTCCAACCCTCGACAGCTACGACCGACCGACTTTCTTGCCTGCCGTCCCATCACTGCTGAGCTCAGCATGGGATACAAGGACAAAAGCAGCAGGCTGGCCGCCTTCGTGCGCGGTAGCTCTGACAGCGGGATCGCCACCGCCACAGCGCCTGCCAGCACAGCGCCTGCCAACCCCAACGTCGAGGCCCCGGATGAGAAGCACCCATCAACACCGCGTAGGCGTCCGTCCGCGCAAAGCCGGCAGCAGCTTGCCGATGCCGTCAAGATGCCTATCCCTATCCATCCTCGGAATCCTGCCCCAGTGCTGCACGAACCCAAGGCGGAAGCCGGTCAGGGGAAGCTCCAGTCCCCACGACGCAATATGCTGCCGCCCTCTTCTTTCCCCCCGGTGCCCAGAGACTCTGACAGCAACCACGGCGACATCTTCTCTGGCTCGCAGCTCGGTGATAATTTCATGAACTCGGGCCTCTCGACGCCTCAGAACGAGCCTGACAACTTGGACGAAGAGGTTACGCCAACGGCTAAGCGGCGTGAGCAGACCGTCGAAATACCATTGGAAGATCTTGCGCGGCATTCGCTTGTACAGCGCAGCTCATCTTTTGTCGTGAATGAAGAGGGCCGGGTAGCAGTCATCGACGGCAACAGGCGGAGAATTCCTCCGCAAATGATGGACGGCTTCCGCGATGATGGCGAGGACACGTTCGAGCACAAAAGACCTCCAGCCAGGCACACCTTCCATCATCGCTTTCCAGTCATGCCTAACCCCCCAACCACGGTTCGGCCGGCACGAGTGAAAAAGCCCCCTGCCCCTGGTCTACCACCAAAAATTATCGAGGAGGCCGACGAGGAACACAGCCCCGTGACATCGGAGGAGAGTGCATCTTGGCCAGAACAGCGAACGAGAGATCATCACCGATCGCGGCCTTACGACCATGGCTGGGACGACAATCATGAGCTTCAGAACAACTTTGGAAGTCCGCCCCAATCAATACCGGAACCCAAGGTCACGCAAGAGCCGACTAGGCGACCGTCCGTCGCACCCCGGTTGCCGCAGCAGCACCATTCTAGAGATCGCAAGCGGCGCCAGCCGAGTGCCGAGTATGACGACAATATGCTGAGTTCCATGACGTACAAGGACCTGCAAGACGAGCCATTCGACGGCGGTGACGCGAGACCCAACGGGCTCAATGGGCGGGAACTAGCCGCCAAGCTCCCGTCAAAACTTGCCCAGTACCGCCACCTCAGCGATCGGGAACAGAGCCAGATGTTTGCTTCCCTGTCCATGGAGGATTGGGAGACTGCCGGTGACTGGTTCGTTGACCAGTTCACCAACATCATGCAGCGCCTGAAGCAAGCGCGGAGGGACAAGCGACGCCTGATCCGCGACTTTGAAAACGAGGCGGCGGTGCGCGAGGAGGCCGTCCGGCTCCGTTCGGACACGATTGACAGGCAGTTGGCCAAGATGCGCCAGGACGGGCTCCGCGTGGTGCAGGACAAGATTACATAGGGGCTCGGAAGAGGGTCCAGGGAACATGGGTGGCAGGAGTCTCTGTGGCATTGGCTTTGCTCAGTCTTGTATCTTGCGCTCAGCAAGCGTGGCGTTTGGGAGCCATAGTATTATGGGCACGATATCATGAGGCCGTAAGCGAAGCGATCGCACGGTCTATATGTGAAATAACTTGCTTTGCAATATAATGATGGACAATTTGTGGACAAAAAGTCTCTGAGAGGGGAATCGATGCGCCCCTGCTGTCTATGTCTACATCACCTTCTTTACAATATGACATATGATGGACGAAAAGACTCGAGGCCGGAAGCGAGCTGGTTTTGAGGTCTATATGCGAATCACGTCCTTCACCTTTCGATCCCGCCCAACAACCATCCGCAGCTGACACCCCGGCCGACCCGGCAGGACCCCGTGCCTCACCCCGTCCGTGTACAGCTCATAGCCGGGAAAGTACCCGTCAACGAAGCGCACCACCTGCTCGGGCGTCATGCCCGCCGCCGGATCGCCCCTCTCCCGCCGCAGCGCCTCCTCCTGCTCCAGCCGCCACGCGTACACGTACTCGACGTCCTCGGAGTCGACGTGCACAAACGCGCCGAGCCGGTCCGTCAGCGCGTCGTACGCCCGCAGCCGCTCGTTGATAAAGAGCAGGTGCTCGAGCGCGTGGTTGCGCAGCGTGCGGCTGGGGGCGTGCCAGCGGGCGGTGACGGCGGAGGAGGGGAGGGCGCGGAAGCCGACGCACCAGCCTTCGAGGATGACGACTTGCACGGGGGACGATGGTGGTGGTTGGTCTGGCTGAGAGGGAGAGGGTGAGGGAGAGGGAGAGGAGGAGGAGGGCTGGTTGACGGGTGTCCAGGTGGAGGGGGGTTGGCGGTCGCCCTGGCCGTTGAAGGCGGCCTTGTCGTAGTGCGGGATGTGCGTCGGCAGACCCTGCGCGAGGGCATCGACGACGGACACCGCAAGTGCCACGTCGTGCGTGCCTTTGGCAATTACACCAGTCAGCTTCGCACGCTGCAAGACTCAAAGCCAGGAGAAAAAGACAACCATCGCAGGGGATCTATATGAGGAGACTGAAAGGTAAGTAACTCACCGGGCTCCCCCCGATGCTGCACCAGCGCATTATCCGGATGCGCCTCCGCCAGCGCCCTCTGATCCCCATGCGTGAGGTAAAAGTCGTCGACGCTGCACACGAGCGTGCGCACGCCCCGCGCCTCCAGCGCGCCCGCCAGCGCGGCCACGAGCGTCGTCTTGCCGACGCCCTGCATGCCGTTGAGGCCGATCATCAGCGGCGGGAGGGGTCGTGCGGCGACGCCGTCCTGTGGTGGTTGAACGGAGGAGGACGGACGTTGCAGCTGAGCTGCCTTGCGGTGCGCCTCCTGGTGCGCCTGCAGCTGCTCGAGGATAAAGGGGATGCATATCGGCGCCTTGTCGTCTTGAAAGGCCGGCGCCATGGTGAGAGCCAGTGATGGGATTGAGATAAAGTAAGGGGGAGGGTGAGTGAGTAAGTGACACTGCTGTGGTGCTGTTGTCCGAGGGTGTGTCTTCGGCCCGGAGGCGTGCGGGACCTGGGCCGGCCGTCGGAGGCGGGGAAGCCCGGCGTGGGGGGAAGGTGTGGAGTCTGGTCTTGTGCCGTCCGGCGGGACTTACACGGGCATCAACCCTCACGATGAACTCTAACAGAGTGGTCTGGCTATATTTTCGAGGAGCAAATCATCAGCGCATTTCAAATGAGCTTCCAAATGTGAGCAGCCATTTCAAAGCAAGGATTGGTTTTCACATAGTTGCATGAGAAGCGGTGGTCTCGCTCGAGACCCTGAGTACCTTGCGCCCTGCAGCTTTCCAAGTCAGACTCACAAATAAATTACATCTACCGAAGTGATCGAACCCATCGCTTGCTAGCTATGTCCTCATAAAAGCTGACTGTGCCTTGAAAATTATGTCAATTTGCCTCATTGTCTTGCGTCACAACCTAACACATGCCCGTCGGGCCCTTCTCTGTCCACGAGCGGACAGAGGTGGACTCTTCACGGGCCGGTCCATCATCGTCTCGTCCACGCGACCGGCGCTCTGACTGTCCAAAGAGACTAGAAACACGGCGGTGCAACCTTACCAGCTTATCAGGCAGCGATTTTCCATACCAGACCAGCACCGCCGCGACCGTCAAAGGAATGGCGACGACCCAGTACAGCCAAAACATGCCTGAGACCTCCCAGGCGCTCGAGTTGTCGTCAAACTTGAAAAACGTTGTGCTAAAGATGGCCGACGTGAAAGTCGCTGGCAGGAACAGCAGCGAGACAAATGCAATGGTCCGCATGGCAGCGCTGTCCCTTTTCGTCGCGTTCGCAATCTCGACCGACACGGTATTGAACGCAAGCCCGATTTCGCTATTCAGCCGCGATTTGTTCGCATCGGAGCGGTGCAGTAAGACAGTGAGAAAGTTTTGCTTGTCAAGCAAGCCATTCGTAATGTTCTTCGACGCCGCTGATTTGCTGCCGGCCTGCAGGCCGTTGAGGAAGAGGTCGTGGTGTTTCTCGATCCATTCAGTTGTTGAGATGGCAACTTCAAGCGTCTCGCAGACGTGCACCGCGTGTCTCTGAACATTGTACATGTTGAGAAAGATGACGCTCTGGAGGATAGAAGCCTCTCCCTTGCGGTGTTCCCGACTCTTCTCGATATTCCTGACCAGATCACGTATCTGCCAGACTGCCTTGTCTTGCGCCCTGACGACGAAATCGACGAGGGGTGGGTAGATCCAGAAGGGGTCGGCCAGATCCTCTTCTCCGACAAGGTCAGTAAGACTCCGCTCAAACTCGTCTCGCAGCGTTTCATCTCCTTTGCGCATCTTTTCCGGGTCAAAGATGAGAACAACGGTGTGGTTTGGCGCCTTGTACCAGCGCGAAAAGACGTTCAGCTTTGCCCAATGATAGTCCGCCTCCGCTTGTTTGGGCAGGCTAGCTGTGTGCTTCATCTTGAAGCGACACCATGATGCTGTTGTCTGATGAGCAGAGGGACTTCTCGGCTTGGGGGCAATCTCACCTGCTCCTTCCTGCTTCGCTCCAGACTGTGGAATCTCCCGAAAGCCAAAATAGCTACTGGCCTTCAAATAATGCTCCCCCCACCATGCTGGAGGTATGTCGAACTCGGCAGACAGGGTTGAGCGGCAGACATGGCAGTCTCGGACCGCTTTGCCGTTCGGTTTGGGGCCCCATACCGAAGTGACGAAGCTAGAGGAGCTGTTAGCGGCAGCCTGCGTATCTGGTCGAAGTGCCCTCACATAATGGTAACCCCGCCCTTCGCATCAATACGCGGAGAGAATTTGAAGTCGGTAATGCACGATCGTTGCGGCTCGCAACGTTCTGCTCTTGGCTGCCCTTAGAGATGGTCAGCAGCTTGGAGGCCTGTGTCGCCAGGGAAGCTCCTACGAACCCCAATACCACGTCCTCGCCTCCAACTGTGGGCATTGGTTCTTGCATGGCGGAGAGGAGGGCGTCATGGCGCTTGCGGCAATCGCGGGGTGCGGATGCGACGAACGGTACGCTGCGGCTCAACCGACAGATGGGCGGAACGACATGAACAACAGGCCCGTAAAGAACGACGGAGGGCAGGCCAACCAATATTATACCCTTTCGTCAGCGGCCTCAGGGATCGAGGCGCCGTTGAGCTGTTGACCTGCATGGGAAGGCAGCCAATCGATTGCGGCTCTGTAAGCGCCCGTCGCGAATCGCAAACACTGCCTTTCCACTTGCGCGGGATCATGCAGCGGCCCGGTCGCACAACGTGTTCAGCGCGGCAGTGCAGTTTGGGCAAAGTTGTCGAGGCGATCGACTGCCTTGAAGTGCCGCATCATGTCGAGGCAGGCATCCTTCCAGTGGCTACGGTCGTGTGGCGATGCTGAGAGCCTCGCCTGCTTGTGTCCTGGGAGTGCAACGCTGCATTGGAAGACACGTCGGTGCTGAACTTGGCTTGCTCCTTCCCAGGGCGGTGCAGAAACACAAAGCCTGGGCTCGGTGGCTCGGGTGCGCCTGCCGTGAGTTCACGATGCATGCTCCAGGGTACGTTGCCAAACTAAACCCCGGCTCTAGCGCCCCGCCCGGATGGCGTTGAGGCCCTCCTCATTCATCGCAGTGCTGGCCTCGTCCGCCCATTAAAGCGCAGACTACACATCCAGGCATCGCCAAAAGCTTCACTTGGCTCGTGGCGATGCGGCCGTCCGACCGAACCTTCGAAGATCCTGCGGTGATTATACCGTGCGCCCCCTCTCCGCCAAGGATGATTTCGACACAACAAAGATTCAGCCCGTCTGCTGCCATACTCTGAATCTCCTGATGAGACGCGCACGCGGGAAACAGAACCATACTGAATCGCAGCTGTGGCGGACTGGAGAGCCTATTCATTCGCATTGCTCTTCGTCCCCGCCATCCTTCTTGGACGGGGCGGATAAAGAGCCACTGGGGAACTGACGGCTGCTGCAGACGACCCTGTCTCAGCCGAGCTCCGGTTGACTCATGGGGGACGATGACCTGCCTCTTTCGGAGGACACGCTGACACGCCCCATGAGCACACCACAGGCGCAACGATAACGGATCCCTCCGATCTTAGGTCGGGCAAGGCTGCTGGTTGGAGGCCTGCATCAAGCATCGATCCAATCCATTTGCCGCGCAAGTCTCTCTTCAGAGATGCTTTCTCACACGAGACGGGGAGGATTGCAGCTTACTTGAAGTGCCGGCCGAACAAACCCCTTCGCGAGCAGGCAGTCCCGTGCCACCGCCGAAGCGATAAGTCAATGTCATGCTTCGTCTCGAACCCTTGAAGAAGGACAACTTCCCCCGTCGCCGTGTTCATCAGCCGTCAGCCTCTCCCGCGTCCTTGGCGCAGTTGGTTGCCGGTCGCCGGTCCGTGAGCGGGGTCCTGGCTGAGACAGGGAAAGTGATAACAGTCCTCCGTACTCCGCCCACAGTACACAAGTCTCCTCGGTAAATATATAAGGATTGGAGGCAATCCCAACCTGGAGCATGTCGGTCTTGCATGGTGGCAGCTGGGTCGACTCTTGCTGTTTATACCACGGCAACGATGGAGCTGGTTTAAATCAAGAACCACAGGACTTGAGATGTACAATCAATGTCACGGAAACACACGCGGCTCAACAACGCTCGTTTCTGCCTGCAAACTTACAGGGTCTTACACGGCTTGTCCCACACCGGTCGCTCGACGTGCGTGCGCCTCCCGCCGCCTTGCCGTCCGAACCGGATGGTGGGCCTGTCTCCCCGGCCCTCCACATCGCCCAAAGCCGCGAACTCTCACCGTCCCCCCACTAGCCCCAAACTTGATGCAGGACGGGCAAGACTCTAGGACCCTCTGCGTCGCTTCCCAGGGTTCGCCTCGTTGTCCCGGGGCAGGCAGGGACTCCCTGTTGTTAGCCCCTGTGACCACGCCGCGTTGGTTCAGACCCAAGGCTCGACGATTTCGCTGCAGTCTGCCAACTTGGTCCTTCTTTTTACCTTTGTGTACACAAACGGGGCTCCATCGAGGCGGCTCGTACAATTGAGCTGCAATGGACATCGTGATCCATCGCTTCGGCTCGTACGAATTCTCGCCCTTTGGGAGCAGAGTTCAGCCAGACGAGGCTCCCCAGACACTGCTGACCAGGTACGCATCCCCGCCACACGCCGTTTTGTGCCACCGACCGCCAGGTAATGGTCGTCAAGTGCCGTTTCAGGAAATGCTAACCCGTCGTACAGTCTCGGCAAGGCTGTCGTTCAGGTGCCATGGATCCAGAGAGTGTCTGATTTCGCCCAATCGGGCACGCCTCAGGTTGCCATTCTTTCCATTTCAGCGGTGTGCGTCGTATTTGGCCTGCTTCGAAACCGGAATGACGCCCCCGACTTCAAGCCCAAGGCCTCAGCAATTCGATGGCGATATGAGCTCTTGTCGCAAGTGTCGAGGGCAGTCGCTCTTGGTTTTCTCGTCGCCGCGTACATCCAAGGCCGCGCGCACTGGCTCAATGCAGCACTTCTGACCTATTGCTTCATTCTCGGTTTGACTCGCCTCGTCAACCATTTACGATGGCGCCATGCGGCCCTACACCAGGTCAACGCTGTCATGGCAGCCACCTTGATCATGTTTGTTGCCGCTCAGTTTCTGCCTTGCATTCAGATGGGCATGGGTTGCTCCAAGAGCCCCAGCGTCATTGGGGGCACGGCCGCCCTGGCCGCTGCGTTGGTCATCGCCATGGTCACGCCTCGCGAATGGGTGCCGCCGCAGATTGGCTACGAGATCCCCGGCTTCGAGGTCCCCAAGGAACCGGCTCCTGAGGAGACATGCAGCTGGATCAATTACTACTGCACGTACCAATGGCTGACACACATCATCTGGAAAGGTACCATGGGCAAGCTCGACATGGCGGGCATTCCCAAACTCGCCTGGTATGACGAGCCCTTGTATCTCCTGCGCAGGGTTCAGGACGCTCGCTCCATATCCAAGACGACGTTTTGGACTACGCTCCGCTTCATGCGCACGGAGTTGCTCCTGATGTCACTGTGGATTGGCAGCGGCTACATCGTCGAGAATGTTGCCCCCTTGGGCATGTTCAAATTGCTTGAATACCTAGCCTCGCCCAACGACGCTGTGTACCGGCCGTGGTTGTGGCTGCTTCTCATGTTTGCGGGCCCTGTGTCTCGCTCGATCCTGTTCCAGCAGTACATCTTCACTTCAACCAGACTAATAGTCCGGATCAAGTCTGCCATGACCCAAGAGCTCTATCACAAGGCCTTGGAATCCATGGAGCTCGAAGACGATCCATTCGAAGCCAACAGTGGCAAGTCCAAGCCTGACGAATCAAGCGACAAGGCGCAAAAGTCTACCTCTGCCGGCCGTTTGGCGAACCTGATGGCTGCCGACGTCGATGCAATCTTTCGGTCTCGCGACATCATGATTGTTCTGGTCGGAGTCCCTTCAGGAACCATTGTTTCTCTAATTGGCTTGTACAAGATGCTTGGCTGGGCCTCCATCGCGGGAACCTTGATTCTGGTTCTCGCAACCCCCATCACGGTATGGCTTGGCAAGCTCATGTACACAACGCAAAAGCGAGTACGAAAAGCTCAGGACTCCCGCATCTCTCTCGTTACGGAGTATCTTGCTTCGATCCGCGCCATCAAGTACTTTGCTTGGGAGGCGCCCATCACCGACAAGATCATCGCCGCGCGCGCCGTCGAGCAAAAGAGTCTGTGGAACCTTGCTGTCCTTCAAGCCATAATCAATGAGGTGACTCAGATCTTCCCGTACCTCGCCCTGTTGGTCATGTTCGGTATTCATATCACTGTCGACAAGAAGCCCTTGGAGGCGTCCACCGCTTTCACTACCATTTACCTCGTCAAGAACATCCGCAGGAATATCATGATGGCCAGTGCCTTCTCGCGATTCTTCGCAGGCGCCCTTGTCGCCTTTGGCCGTCTGGACAAATATTTCGAAAGCGCCGTGCCGCTCGTCAAATACCAAGTCGGCCCGCTGCGCATTCGTGGCGGTTATTTTCGTCGAAACAAGAAGGCAACTTTCCGTCTCGAAGACATCAATCTCGACTTCGTGGAAGGTGGCTTGAACGTCATCACCGGTCAGAGTGGCAGCGGAAAGTCGACTCTCTTGCTCGCAATACTTGGCGAGACCTATCTCGAAGGCGGCAACGTAACAGCCCCAGCCGACATTGCATTCGCATCCCAGTCCGCGTGGCTTCAGAATGAAACCATCCAGGACAATATACTGTTTGGAAGCCCCATGGAAAAGGCACGATACGATAGAGTCGTGGCAGCCTGTTGTCTTCCCGAGGATCTCAAGGAGCTGCCACTGCGCGACCAGACAGTCGTGGGGGAGAACGGGACATCCTTATCGGGTGGTCAGAAAGCACGAGTAGCTCTGGCGAGAGCCCTGTATTCAAAGGCGCCCCTTCTGCTCTTAGACGATATTTTTTCCGCACTTGATGCGAAGACGTCGGCGGGTGTGTGGAAGCGCTGCTTCTGCGGCGATCTCCTCCACGGGCGCACCATCGTGTTGGTCACCCAGGTCCCTTGGATCTCGTCCCAGGCAGACATGGCCATTTCACTCGAAAAGGGTCAGGTCAACAGTGCCGAGCCCAACATTGGTGTCGTGCGCCAGCCGATTAAGATCGCTGAAGTGCTTGGCGGCGATGCCGACGACGACGAGACTGAGACGGAAACGCCTCCCGAGCCAGAACTGCAGCCAAATGGCGACTCTCTGAACGATCCAAACAAAGTTGCTCAGGACGCCTCGGTCAAAAATGTTGTTGACGAAGAGATGAAGGCATCCAGCAGCGCTGGACGCCTTGGCAGTACGTGATTGTAAGTTCTTGCTCAGAAGGACGAAGACTAATGGTAACGCAGTGTTCCAATACATGGGCTATTACGGAAACCCGATATTTGCTATTTCTTGTCTCGTTGGCCTCTTCCTCGCCAACGTCTTTTACTTTGGTGCTAGCTTTTGGTTGTCAATCTGGGTTGAGGCTTATAACCACAAAGCGCACGTTGACATTGCGTTTTACATGGGCATTTTCGCTCTCTTCACCTTTGGAGAACTCATCGCGTATGGCCTCATTGTCGTCATGTTCGAGTGGGGAACCTGGCGCGCCGCCAGGACGCTTCACAACGACTTCATCCGCGGCATTATGCGGGTGTCCCTATCCTGGTTCAAGGCTACACCGATTGGTCGCATCACCAACCGCTTCTCTGGAGACATGGCATCCATCGACGGATCGATCAATGGAATGTTACGCGCAACACTGGACACGTTCATGGTGCTCTTCTTCCGCATCGGTGCGGTCAGCGCCATCATGCCGATTTTCATGCTTCCTGGCATCGTCACCTGCTTTATCGGCGTCATCATCGGAGAGATGTACACACGGACAGCGGTTGTGATCAAGAGGCTCACGTCCTCGGCTCAATCTCCTGTCTTCTCGCAGTTTGCCGATACCTTGGCCGGGCTCTCCGTCATCAGAGCCAGAGACGGCATGGCGCACGAGTTTGGCGTCGAGCTGGCGAACAAATTGCGAGTGTGGTCGGCCGCCTCCGAAACGAATTACAACTGCAACCGCTGGGTTTCTGTCCGAATTGACTTTGTCACTGCTCTCGTAGCCCTCTTCGCGGGCATAATAGCCGTGTCCAAAGTCGGGCTCGTGGGCGCCGGCCTCGTTGGCTTCTCCTTGACTAACGCCAACGACCTGAGCCAAACGATTCTCATGCTTGTGCGATGTATGAACGAGCTCGAAGTTGAGATGCAGAGCTTCCACAGAGTCAAGGAGTACGTTAAGCTGGAGGCCGAGGATAAGGACGACAAGCCGTACCCAGATGCGGGTGCAGGCGAGTATGCGGACGATGAGGCACACGTGATCCCCAAGAACTGGCCGCGATCTGGAGAGATTGAGTTTCGCAATGTCACCATCAGATATGATCCCGAAGGTCCTGATATCTTGACCGACGTCAATCTCAAGTTCAAGCCCGGGCAGCGCGTGGCCGTTGTTGGACGAACAGGATCGGGCAAGAGCACTGTGAGTGAACGATGCCAGCCCTGCCGAGCTTCAAGCTAACAAGGTGCAGTTGGTTCTCTCTCTCCTCCGATTCACGGACATTGTTAGCGGCGAGATCCTTTTCGATGGCGTTGACATTACAAAGGTCCCACGCCACAGACTCCGCGCAAGCCTGACCATCATCCCTCAAGAGGCGGTGCTGTTCAGTGGAACCGTCGAGTCCAATCTCGATCCCACCGGTCTGATCCCTCACGAGAAACTCGAGACGGCACTTGAGAACTGCAAAGGAATCGCGTCGTTCTCCGGCGATACGACCGACGTGGAAACGGGCGTGGAAGACGGCGAAGACGCGACGTCGGAGGATCGCCGCAACCAGGCCATTACGCTATCGACCGAGGTGGACGCCCGCGGCGAGAACTTTTCGCACGGCCAGCGGCAGGTCCTGTCTCTGTGTCGCGCCCTGATCCGCAAGAGCAAACTCATGCTTCTTGACGAAGCGACCGCGAGCATGGACTACGAGACGGACCGCGGGATCCAACAAGTCCTGCGCAACGAACTCGAGGAGTTCAACGACGGCCGCACCCTCGTCACCATCGCGCATCGCCTGCGCACCATTATAGACTACGACAGCGTGGTGGTCATGAGCGCCGGCAGGGTTATAGAGTGAGTCGAACTTTACTTCTCTGGCGTTCCTTTCCCTTGCCCGCCTCCCAGCTCGACTAACCTGGCGGATTTTGCAGGAACGGCTCGCCCAAGGAGCTCTACGAGGCCAAGGGCCAGTTCTACGACATGGTGTGCCACAGCGGCGAAGAGGAGGAGCTGCACAAGCTCCTGGAGGAGAAATAGAACGAACGCAGGGCTCGTCGGGGATAGGCAAGGAACGTGATGGGCACGATGCGCCGCTTGTTGGGCATCAAGAGGGGGGAATGAAAAAAGCACGTTGCAGAATGTAAAGTAAACCAACTACAAACAGAAACGGCCATGTCTGACCTGTCGGACAACAAAAGTCGAGGAAGAAATACAGCGCCTGGGGTTCAAAACAGGGTTGCATTTGGGGGCCAGGCCCGTCATGAATATAGGAATTCATATATGCGGAAGCAGAGACCTCGGGAATTGGACGCTCGTTCCTCCACGCTACGTATCGACGGTCGACGGAGTGACATTCATTGCAAGAGATGGATTGTAGAGGCCCAAACCCAGAACTCATCGTATATTCGGTCCTGTCCTGTTCGGCTTCCCCCCTGTCCTCACAATAAATCACTTTTAATCAAAAGCTCTCACAAAACTCGCCGTAAAAATCATGACGGGGCGACAAACGGAGGAGTAACGACACATAGGACACGAAATAAGAAAAGTGATGATGCATTCAAAAAGCTTCGTTTCGGACCCCCCCGTTCCCTTCCCCTTCCTTCATCAAAAAGAAAAAGATCCCCCTCCAAAAACCGGCGGCCACCCACCCACCAAGCCCACCTCAACGCCAAAACTCTCTGTATCAATATGACAACCTTTGGATGCGTGGGGGCGCGCGTGCGTGCTTTGCCATGCGTTTTTGCCCCTCCCCGCAGGGGACCCTGCGGACGGCGCTGTTCTCTCTGCGACTGCGACGGGGGACTGGTATCGTGCGACGTTTGCGCGCTGAATCGAGATTCCGCTCCAGACTTCCGCTGCTAACTTCCTCGTCTAGTTTCTATCCAATGCACTCCCCTCCCGAGCTACTGCTACCTTGTGTCCTCCAATCATTGCCCATTAAACTGCTGGCCGTCCATGGCCTGCGGGTTGGAATCGACGTTGTGGTAGTCGAGGATCTCGGAGTACCTGGCGAGCGAGGGTTAGGGCGAGCCTGATTAGATTGCAGTGTCTGCCAACTCACATCATAATCTTCCACGTGTCGACGGGCAGGTCGGCGTCATTAAAGCTCCAGTCAAACTTCTCGTCGGCGACGGGCTCGTCGGTCGGGTCGTGGTAGGGAGCGAGGTACTCGTGCGCCAGCGCTTCGGTGGCCGTTATCCGCTTCTTGGGGTCGAAGACGAGCATTCTCTCGAGCAAGTCGATGGCTACACCAAAACATCAGTACTCACTCACGGCACAGCCGGAAATCAAGGCGTCTTACCAGCGTCATCGGCATTCTTGAACTTGTCCTTGAGGGGCTGTCGCTCGCGCTTGGGGAGAGACTTGACGAATCTCAAAGTCTGTATCACCGTTAGTTCAGGGCTCGAACGCTCTCCTGCTTCACCAAACTCACATTCTCGCTAGCAATAGTGTTGATAACATCATCGGGGGGTGTGCCGAGGAGCTCGGTGATGATTGAGAACTGGTTGACGTGGTCCTTGCCAGGGAAGAGCGGCTTGCCCTCGAGCATCTCGGCGAAGATGCAGCCGGCACTCCAGATATCGACCTCGACGTCGTACTTTTGCCACGTGAGCATGATTTCGGGTGCTCTGTAGTATCGGGTGGAGACGTAGCCCGTCATCTGGGGGTCTTGGATGCGGGCAAGGCCAAAGTCGCAAATCTTGAGATCGCAGTTTTCGTTGACGAGGATGTTGCTGGGCTTAAGGTCACGGTGGACGACACCGGCAGAGTGCACGTATTTCAGTCCGCGCTGTGGGACACGTTTGGTCAGCAAAGAGACGCATCGCCGTGGGCGTGGGTTTCAAGGTAGGCAACGTACCATAATCTGATAGAGGAAATACTGGATGAACTGCTTCTCCAGGGGTCGCGAGGTAAGTAACCGGTGCAGATCGGTGCCGAGCAGCTCTGTGACAAAGTAGCTACGGCCAGTCAGCAATTGGGCACGAGGGGAATGGGCGGGCTGGGGCTGCAGCATACATGTCCTCGAGAGGGGAGATGAAGATGTCGCTGAGTGAGATGACCTGCATGAGAGTCAGCGCCGCCAAAGACGAGCAATTAACGCGACCGAGGGCCCGCGGATCGTCGAACGCACGTTCTCATGTCTGAGGTGCTTGAGCAGCTTGAGCTCTCGATATGTTCGCTTGGCGAGGACGGGCGTGCTGAACGGCTTCATGATCTTCTTGACGGCAACATTTTGATTCGTGAGCTGGTCGCGGGCGGAGCTGCGACGGGATGCTGTCAGTAACGGCGGAGACGGCGTCGAGCCGGGCTGTCGAGGGCGGGGATGGCCTACCAGACGAGTCCAAAGGCGCCCATGCCAACGGGCTGGAGATCCGAGTATCTGGGAAGAGGTCAGCGACGGGAACCAAGGCGGGCGCGTCGGCGGACGTCGGAGGAGCGATGCGGCGTCGGATGGTCGTTGCGCATCCGGGGCGGCGGGATGGCGGGGGCCAGCGGGAACCGCGGGGGAGCGTCCATACCTCGACGTGATCTCAAACGTCGTGCCAAAGATCTGTGCGCGCACGAATTCGGCCATGGTTGCGGTGTGCGCAGGCGGTTGGGGATGCGCAGGCGGCGATGCTCGATTGTCGTGTGTCGGGGGTGTCCTAGGCGGATGGTGGGCTGGGGGAGCGAGGTTTTGCGGGAAACAGCGTTGTCGCCGCGGCGGAAAGACTGTCGGTGATGGCAGCGGTCGGTCGGTGGGTAAGAGGGAGTGGTGGTGGTGGTAGTGGTGGGGTCACGTCGTCTGCGGGGTGACCTTTGGAGCCTTTGGAGCCTGTGGCGTGGAATGGGCAGGAGCGCCTGTCGCCTCCGTCCGCGGTGCGGTGCCGTAGGTTCGTCACTTGTGGCGTTTCGCTGGGCGTTTGGTGGTTCGGTGGTTCGGCGTGGCGGCCTGGGCTCAACGGCCTTTTTTAGTTTTCTAGTTTTTTTTTTTTTTTCTGCAGCGGCGGCGGCGGGCTGGCGGCGCGTGGTGGGCTCGGCCGTTTGTGATAGCGTTCCCGTTTTCGCGGAGGCAAACACGCACGCGAGACGATGGGGCGGCGAAGGTCGATGCAGTTGAGGATGCGGTGAAACCGGCGAGGGTTGCAGGCAAGAGGGCGAAGGGACGAAAACTGGAGCTGGAAGGGAAAAGTGAGGAGTCAGCAACAGATCATGCCCGTCAATGGATGTTTGTGCCTCGTGCAGGGTCGGAGGTGTCGTCATTGAGCAGCAGCGGACAGGCTCGCAAGTCGCAACGTAGAGGATCCATCGACAGGATGGGGGGGCAAGCAGCTGGATCCATGCAGGCCGCATGGGTCAATGTCGACGCGGGATGGATCATGGATCCATGCTGGATGACGGCTTTTGGTGGACAGTATCCGCCGCTGCAGAGAAGGTTCCAGCGCCCGGCCACGATCGATAGGGAGCTGAAGCGCTGCGTGCGAGGGAAGCGCCCTGAGTTGGGCCCTGTGGCATGTGGCAGGGTGCACTTGCCCGCCTGCCCTCAGCTCCCGTCCCGGCCGGCCGTCAAGGTTCAGCCGGGGGGGACAAGGCGGCCGCTGGAGAGAAACCTCCGGCGACGCAGAAGCGCCCGCACGGTGCCTGAACCGCATTTTCCTCCAGCGACATGGAAGTCACCCACCCACCCAGCGACTTCACACAGGGGCCGGGTCCCCGACACAGCGGACAACGCCGGTCAGGGCTGCAACGAAACCCGACTCAGAGACGGGCTGACGATGCAGTCGCACAGCAGGGTCCATCACCAAAGGCATCGCCATGGGTGATGATGCCCAAAACTGCCGCGCTTCCGGCGTCGCCGGTATCGCGCCGCCTTCGCTGCCAACACTCTGTCGGTTGGGACGGGACTGCAGTGGTGGACCGCCGAGACAGCCCTGGCCGCCGCCGTGCCCATGAGGTGCCGGCCCTTTCCCCCCTGGCCGGGGCGGGCATGCAGTCTTACACTTGCGGTGCAATGTCCACGAATCGCGGCCGGCGGCTCGCCTCGTCTCCTGGATGCTTGACGCAATGACGTAACAGGGCGCGACTCCGTTTGCCTGACACGTCCGACGCAGAGCAAGCCGGCTCCGGCAACATCGAACGACACGCGCCAAAGGATCTTCCGTCGCCTCGGGTTGCGAGCAAACCGGTGCTGCGGGGCGCGGCCCAAACAATGGAACGCGCGGGAGCAAAAAAGGAGGAACTTTGCACTGGGGCAGACAGACAGCATACAGAATGGGCGACCAACTTACACGTTTCGTTTCCTCTCGATAGAGGCGGGTTGGAGGTTGTTGATGGCGGACTCGCAAACGCGTCTGTGCTTCCGTATCGTCGCTCAAACGTCTGCGGGGGAATGGGCAAGGCAGGCCGTCGGTGTTTTATTGACAGCACCCGCAGAGCTGGTCGGATTGGGGGGACTTCTCAGGTAGTCTGCCGATAGTCGTCGCCGCCTGTCGTTCGTTTTTCTTAGCCTAGCCGAGGGCGCTAGCATTAGCATTTGGTGTCGGTCGCCTGCCCGCCGCGGTTCTAGAACTCGCTCTCTCTCCGCAGGGCCGCCTTTCGTGGCGAAAAAGGCCAGGGCGGGGGGGAGACGAACGTACGAACGGTCAGAGGGTGTCGCAAAGAATTGGCCTCTGTCTTGCAATGACACAGATGACACGCTTTGTCGGTTCTGCTGAAGTTGTTCGCGGCGAGCCGAGGCGATTGCTGGTCCGGATGGCGGTCCGGGAGGGGTGTTTGCTGGCGGGCAGCGGTGCGCTGTACGGCGGAAAGCAATAATAATAAGCGGGAGCCGTCGTCGTGCCTGGCACTCCGTATTATCAAAGCGGCGCGCGATCGAGATTCGCAGTTCGAGCGGGCGGGGGGCTCCACGCAGGCAGGCAGGCAGGCAGGCAAGCTCGTGCAACTGCTCGGTCACAGGGTCGCGGGTTCGTATGATCTTGTCTTGCGAGGAGTAGTAGGGGTAGAGGAAAGTCGTAAAGGAGAAAAGAGAGCGGAGATGGCGAAGATGAAAAAGAATTTGGGACGACGACCCAGTCCAGCCCAGCCCAGCCAGCTCAACCCGAACGCACGCGCCGAGGGACGCAGCGCCGCCCAGCGCAGCGCATAGTAGCGCTTCGTCGCATGGATCGGTGTAGGGATTTGTCGGTCCCAGTCTCTGCGCATCGAGATCTGCCAACCCATCGACGCGGTCGAGGTTGCAGCCAGCAGCCCACCAGGTTAGGGTCCCGGGTCCCTGTTCCCCGTTGTCTGTTTTCCAGCTTGTGCCTTGCCTTGCCTTGCCTCGCCGGCTGCTCCCCTCCTCCCCTGTCCTGTCCTGTGCTGCCCTGTCCACTTGATGCTACCGAGCAGGGCAAAGTGAGGTACGTAACTGAAGGTTCGGTGGTAACCAGCCCTGTCCACCAATGTTCCGAAAGTGCCCATCCCCACGCCATCACCAATGCGCCAGGCCGTGGTGAGTGAGGTGACTGGACTACATGACTGCCCCGGGACAGGCTGGGACAGGACTGGAGAACCGCTAGTGGTGCACCCGCGGGCGACCTCGATCCCGTCACCTGACGCTCCGGCGCGGCGAGGGGGCATGGAGGAGTTTCGAGGAACGGGATGCGCCATGGGCATCCATCCGCTAGGTACGGACGCTTGTTGATGCTGGTGGATGGACGCACCTCCTAGAGTCCTAATACAGCACATGGCCCAGCGCCAGCACCAGCCACACCAGGCCCCGGCAAGGGCAGCCAGAGCGCGCCATCCCGCCCCTCCACCACCACCGCCTGACGTCCAATGCGCTCGTGGAGGGACACTGTGGATGGATGGGTGAGCTCGGAGGATTACTTACCTTAGTGACTTTGCCTGCCTTATTACTGTACCTCACGACCTTGCCTACGTCTCCTCGCTGTCTTCACGCCCGGTGCATGTTTCGCGACAAGATGGCAACAAGGAGAAAGCAAAGGCGACACGAGGATACTCCCGTCGTCTCTGACGCCGGACTTTTCTGCCCCTCCCTGCACAAAAGTAAGTAGCTGTACCTGCTGGCACCCGTTTTCGCAACCCCTCGGCCATCCACCCATGGCCGTCTACATTTTACCCCTCCACGCTCCAAAAGCAGGCAAAGATCTCGATGCGCAGCGTCAACAATGGTCACGGCAGCCCACCCACTTCCCATGCCATCATCGCATCGCATCGCATCGCTCCCCATGTGCCATCCAATCCCTCCAATCCTCCCGCTCCATTCCCGCCCATTTCCCTCTCAGGGATCACACAAATCAAGGAAAACCCGGGACGCAAAATCCCCATTCCCCCATCCATGTCTTGCCCAAAATATTGATCCCTCGTCCATGGGAATTCATTCCCATTCGCCCGTTGGGTCCCTATTTTCCCTTGCTCACCCAGTCACCCCGCCCCGCCCCGCCCATGCTGCACCTGTCTTTTGCCTGTCCTGTCCTGTCAAGCCACCACCACCTTCTGTGATAAGAGGAGGGGTGCCGGGAGGAAACAGCACTGACGTCACAGGCACGGCGTTGGTCGCCGCAAATCCGGCGTCATCCGCGGCCTGGAAAGGCAAGGCAAGCAAGCAACGTGCATAGCTCCTCGTCGTCGTCGTCATTATCGGTAATTCAGTGAGGCAGCTCGGCGACCGGGGAGCTCTGGCCGTGCATCCACCTATGTTCCTGGTTTGCCAAAGTACCTAATACTCGGTCCCCCCTTCCGGCCCAGACGGTGCCGAAGCGCTACGAACAGGGCACGTGGCAAGCGCCTCCAGCTGCCCGCTGTCCCCGTCGCTCCAGGTCAAGTCAGGTCGGGTTCGGGTGCCGCTGCAGGTGCTCAGCAAGTCAGGTTGCTTGGGGGCTTGCTGCTCTCTCCGCCGATGAGGCACCTGAGGCACCTTGCGTTGCGGCGCTGCTGCGGCGCGTAGGTCCTCCTCGCCCTGCGCATCGCCCCGGCCGCAGGGAATCGGTGCAAAGCCCTCGATCCCCGCTGGCAGCTGAGGAGCTTCTTCTCCGCCTAAACCTGGCAAGCCTTGGCCCCTGCTGCACAGCCACTGCGGCACCCCATGCGTAGCTCCTCCTGAGTCTCGATGAGAGTCCTGAGTCCTCGTTCACACAAGCGCTTGTCAGTCTACGAGTACCTATCCGCTGGCAGCAACCACCACCAAAACCACCACCACCAGTGTCGTGGACTCGTGGTCCGTGAAGCGCCGGCCCTGCTTCGTGCTGCATTCCAGTTACTCACCATTCACCTCCTCACTGTATCGCGATCGCCACATCACGCGGCACCTGTAGGAGACATGGGCTGGAGAACGATTATGCCGTCTGTCTGTCCGTCTGCCAGTGATAGGCTTAAACAAAAAATTCACATTGCCTAAACTGGCCCTCCGTGTCAAACAGAAATCCTCTCCAGGCACAATCGACTCAAGATAGACCAGACAACACAGCCATGTATGCAATGAAACAATCTCTTCGTCTACCAGGCTCTCTCTTCCCCCCGCCAGACAGCCCAAACTACTCCCGAACCGCAAGAGGCTCGACGTTCCAGATGCTCTCCGCGTACTCGTCGATGCACCGGTCGCTCGTGAAGAAGCCCATGCGCGCCACTGCCGTGATGCACTTGGACACCCACTCGTCCTGGTTCCGGTACGCCTCGTCGACCAGGGAGTGCGTCTGGATGTAGCTGCGGAAGTCGTCAGACACCAGGTAGTAGTCTCCGTGCTGCCTCACGGCGGCAATCAGCGCGCCAAAGTCGTCGGGCGTTCCGAACGTGCCCTTCTCGATCTCGCTGAACACTCTGTCCAGGTCGCTGTCGATCGAGTGGGAGCCGTAGGTGTGCGCGTGGCGAAGGTCCTCGACGTCTTCTGCGAGGTTGCCAAACAGGAAGATGTTGTTCTCGCCAATCTCACGAGTAATCTCGATCTGCGGGTGCGTTGAGTGTCAGCAGCTTGCCGTTGCCCTGGTTCTCTCGGGGCTGCATTGCAGTCAGTCCGTGACTTACGTTGGCGCCGTCGCAGGTTCCAATGATCAAGCCTCCGTTGAGAACAAACTTCATGTTGCTAGTTCCCGAAGCCCTGCCCGCTCGTTAGCTTCGTTCTTCCCGAGTGGCGCCAATTGTGGACTATGGACTTACTCGGTGCCGGCCGTCGAGATGTGCTCGCTAATGTCAGACGCAGGGCAAATCATCTCCGCCTTGCTGACATTGTAGTCCTCCAAGAAGATGACCTTGAGAAGGTCGCCGATATCCTCGTCCTTGTTGACAACGGCACCGACCGCGTTGATGAGATGGATGATTTGCTTGGCCATCCAGTAGCCGGGGGCTGCCTTGCCGCCAAAGATTGACACGCGGGGGAGCTGCTTCTTCCTGTCCTCGGGCTTCATAGCCTTGAGAGCCAGGTATCGGTGGATCACGCCAAAGATGTTGAGCTGCTGTCGCTTGTACTCGTGGATTCTCTTGACCTGGACATCGAACAGAGCCGCTGGGTTGACCGTGACCCCGTTCGCCTCCTTGATGTACCTGGAGAGGCGCACTTTGTTGGCATACTTGATCTCCGCCCACTCCCGTCGGAACTGGGGGTCCTTGGCGTGCGCCTCGAGCCTGTTGAGCTGCGTCAGGTCCTTCAGGAACGTGTTGCCGCCGCACTTGGAGGCAATGAGCTCCGACAGACGCGGGTTGGCCTGGTGCAGCCAACGTCTCGGAGTGATGCCGTTGGTCACGTTGGTGAACTTGTCGGGCCCGTAGATCTGCACAAAGTCCTTGAAGATGGTCGTCTTGATCAGGTCCGAATGAAGCTCCGCGACGCCATTGACCTTGTGCGAGCCGACAATGGCCAAGTAGGCCATCCGCACCATCTTGGGTTGCGACTCCTCGATGATGGAAACCCGTCGAAGCATGTCCCTGTCCTTGGGGAACGCCTTTTCGACCTTCTGCAAAAAGTAGAGGTTGATGTCGTAGATGATCTGGAGGTGCCTGGGGAGGAGATGCTGGACAAGACCGACAGGCCACTTCTCCAACGCCTCAGGGAGCACCGTGTGGTTGGTGTAGCCAAACGTGTTGGTGACGATTTCCCACGCAACGTCCCATTCCAGACCCTCGACGTCGATGAGGATGCGCTGCAGCTCGACAATGGCAAGCGTCGGGTGCGTGTCGTTCAGCTGAATGGCGACCTGGTCGGTGAACTCGCTCCAAGGGCGCTTCGACTTCTTGAAGCGGCGCACAATGTCATGGAGCGAGGCGGCGACCCAAAAGTACTGCTGCTTCAGCCGCAGCTCCTTGCCGCGCTCCAGGTTGTCGTTCGGATACAGCACAGCGCTGATCGTCTCGGCACGCTGCTGGTCCGCTACAGAGCTCTCGTAGTCGCCATTGTTGAACTTTTGGAAGTCAAACTCGCCTCCCGATGCCTTGCTGGACCACAGCCGAAGGTTGTTCGTGGTCGGGGTGTCGTATCCGGGGATCGGGACATCGTATGCGACGGCCACAACAGTCTCGCCTCCCTCCCATACAGACACGGTCTTGCCTTGATCGTTGACGATCTTGTTGACATGGCCGAAGAATTGGATCTAAATAGTCAGCCAAGTCCAATGCGTGTCGTACGTCGGGCGCAAGCTTACATCAACAGTCACGTCATGACGGGGAAACTCCCAGGGATTAAAGTCCAGCCAGTAGTCGGGCACCTCGACCTGATAGCCGTCGATGATCTCCTGCTTGAAGATTCCGTATCTGTATCGCAGGCCATATCCCCAAGCCGGGTAGTTGAGCGACGCGAGGCTGTCGAGGAAGCACGCCGCCAGACGGCCCAGGCCGCCATTGCCGAGAGCAGCATCGTGCTCCTGGCTGATGATGTCCTCCATTCTGAACCCGAGGTCGGCAAGACCGGCTTGGACGGTGAATTAGCAAGATGCGGTGTCCCCGAAAGGCTCTAGGGGTGGCCAGTACCTTTGGCTACATCCTTGAGCCCGACATTGAGGATGGCATTGTCCAGCGCGCGTCCCATTAGGAACTCTAAGCTCAGGTAGTAGACGCGCTTGGCATCTCTATACGTCTGGCGCTGCTGGGTCTTGTTCCACCCGGTGATGAGGCGGTCGCGAATGGCGAGGCTGGTGGCCGAGTACGCCGCCGACTCGTCGCAGTTGAACATGCTCCGAGCGAGCGTGGTCTCGACATGGCGGACAACCTCCTTCTCGAATCCATCCTTGTCCTTGAAGCCTTCGGGCTGGTTTCGCTTCCAAGCTTCGCGCTGGGGTTCGGGTATGGATGCTGGACAAGAAGCCGCATCAGCAACAGGTTCACCCTCCAAATTGCCAAAGGGCTACGCAGCCACGGGCGATGCTCACCTTCGACGCTCTTAATCTCCCCGGGACCCAGGCCCGTGGAGGTTCTCTTGTGCTTGGGACGCGAGATGCCAGCGGGACCCACGGCACCCTGGATATCCACAATCGGAGCTCCGGTCGAGGGGCGGCGCTCCCGGGTGGGCAATCGCGGCTGTTCGGTCGCCATGGCTGCTCTCTGCGAGGTTCAATTGGCAACGACTGTCAGCGCGCTGGACCCCAGGCATGTAAATAAAAGACGTCGGGCTGTTTTTTCAATGCAATCTGTGCTTCGTTGGCAGATCCGTTGCAAGTAGAGATAGGCTCGGCCGGCAAGCTGATCATACGAGGGGCCCTGGAGAGACGTGATCTTACAGCTATGGTGGGGCGCTGGAGCGGGGTGGCTAGCAGGGCAGGACACGAACTCGGGAGGGCCGGAGGGGTAATGAGAGGAGGGAAGGAGCAGCTCTCGCGTGGGAGAGGAGCTGACGCAGACAGGAAAAGAGTTCAATGCAGATCACGGCGGCGCAGGAAATACCGGCCCTTTTTCCAATGACGAGACAGGAGGCTATCGTGTGTAGTGGCAGGGGAGGGGAGGAGGGAGAGAGGTCGGGCGGGAGGGGAACGAGATATAACGTATTGCCGTCCAGAGCAACTCGAGGAACAAGGAGGGGTGGGCAAAGCATCACGCGTGGCCGCAGCTCCTCGCTGCGCAGTAGCTCGCTCTGACCATGGAGGCTCGCCCCAAGCTCCCGCCAGGCCACCGGGTCAGCCACCCCCCCAACCTAAGGTATCGAGGAGACTTTCAGGCCCAGGCGTGAGTGCCTTGGCCGGGTGCTCTGTTCCCGCGGCGGGCCACCACCCACCGAGTCGCCGGGTAACTAGATGAGGCACCTGCGGTGGTAGTCTGGGACAGCCATCGGCGGGAGAGCTGCGAGATCGTCGCACGCGAAGCTACCTACTCTAGGCACCTTGATCAACGGCCTCTTTCTGCGCAGTGTGCCCCTCCCAAGTACAGCTTTCCACATGATAACGTACAGCACGGTGCAGTCCTGCATGAGCTCGGGGGCAGCTATGTTCCAAAACCCCTCTGACCACGACCAACACGGGCAGGGCAGCAGCAACAAGCTTCGGCGCGGGGCGGGGCGGGGCAGCCAAAATAGCGTCATCGCCGCCTCCAGCTGTGAGTCGACTCGAGTCGACTCGAGTCTCGCCGCCCGTTGTGCTGCATGCAGCATGCGACATGCGACATGCGACATGCACCTCCGCGCTCCTGCTCCCACCCGCTTTGTTGACGCGCGCCCGTCGCGCTCATCACCGATCCAATGGCTCTCCCGTCGAAGTCCGACACTGCCTCGACGGTGTTGAAGCTTCCGGCTTCACCTCGGTCGCCAGTCCGCCAGGTCGTGAATAGACCAGTAATCAATACCAGACCCTCCAGACCGGCACGGCGCAACAAACGATTGTGGCGGGGTCCTCTCCTCACTGCCGGGGGCCTCAGGCCATCCATCGTGGGGCCTTTAATGTCCGCCAACGCCTCACCCCGCCGAGCGCCCCCCTAGTCTCCTCACCGTCGAGTCGCATGGAGCTCCTCTTGCTCCTCACCTGAGAATGCACAGCACGCTATCGAGTGCGGGGGCTAGTGTTTAGTGCCATCGCGATCTCCCCGGCGCAACCTCCATCCTCCGTGTTCGTTGAGGCTGCCGTCTTCTTCGTAATCCGTGAGTGCCATGACCCAGCATCTCTAGCCGCCCGGGCCGACGCGCTCGTAGATGGAGTCAAACAGGAGCTTAACTGTTCACGCCTCTCTACTCTGCTTGCCAGTCATTTTACATCAACTGTGGGTTTCACAGCTCCCTACAACTTTATCTTAACCCCTTCAACATCCACTCGCTGTATTGCACATTTGATGTGCTGCCAAATAAAAGCTACTCGGATCGATCCCAGCATCGACCCACGCTTGTTGGTTGAAGCTTCGCTCAACACCGCCTGGCGGCCCTCGCAACTTTGGGGCGGGCCACGCCGGCTGATGCGGAGCCTGGAGCAGACATCCTCGCATTCGATATCTTCGTGAATATCCAAGCCCCTTCCGCGCCTTCGTCTCCCAAGTAGTTCATGTCACCGTATCATCATGCAACCCTGTGTCGTTCACCGATCACCCGCCGATCCAGCGCGCAAGCCGCCCCGTAGCGTCGCTTGTCAGCCTAGCAATCCAGCGCCAACTCCAAGGCTCTATATGGAGACAGCGCTCAGCTCTGCCAACAGTGCTTCTCCAGGAGCTGGCCAGAGCCCCCATCTGGGAACACCGCTTCGCCGGGGACTCCATCAGGTGAATTAGAGTAGTGTGCCGTCCGTCATCGGCAGGTCGTGAAACAAGTAAGAAAGAGACCGGCACGCCAAACATGTTGAGCGCCACCGGCCGGGTAATCGACAGCCCCCAAAACTCCGAATAATGCCCAGGAACGCTGCCGTTCCGCCGCCCGCTCGCTTGTGTTGTCGGCAATCCAACACGGGCCCATCACAGTATTCCCGAGTCTTTGAGCGCGTTGTTCAGTATAGTCTCCTTAACAGCTGCGAACACGAGTCTGATATTCGAGGTATCCGTTGCTTGCGTCAGGCTGCACCACACCGTTAGCGTACTGCCCAACTCAGCATGCAATGGCAGCTGCACTCACTGAGGATACAGGTTCAGGTGTGCCCGGTTCACCTGGTTGAAGCGCCACAGCAGATACTTTGCCGCCTTGTTGACGTCGTTGCCTCCTGAATAGTCGGGAAAGTAGTTGCCGAGCGGCGATCGAGTAAGCTTTTGCTTGAAAATGTCGACCTTGTTGAGGAACAGGATGATGCTAGTCCGCATGAACCATCGCGAGTTGACCACCGAGTCAAACAATAGCAAACTCTCCATCATTCGGTTTTGACTGCTCTCTTCGAGCAGAACTTGATCGTACTCGCTGAGCGCGACGCAAAAGATAATCGACGTCACGTTCTCGAAGCAGTGGATCCACTTCTTACGTTCGCTCCGTTGACCGCCAACATCGAACATGCTAGTACCGGTCAGCCGTCAGGGGCAAGGAGGCCGGAGCGGGAGGATCAACAAGGCTACATACTGTATGCTGAGCTGGCCCATCTGAAAACGAGTTTCGTAGATTCCAGTGGTCTTGGTACGAGCTCGCAGGACATCCATCTCGTTGGGGAGATAGTCGGGCGCGACGATGCGCATCACCTCCTGGAAGAAGCTGCACGGCCACGCCGGTCAGCGGTATCCTCTACCGGTAGAAGAGGCGACTTACTATTCAGCCGAGTCCATGAGGTAAAACTCGGTCTGATGCTCCATCAACTGGTCCTTGGCCGGGTCCGACCATAGCGACTGGACGGCAGTGCCGACTTGAGGGTCGATGTGCGCTTGCGGGCCAGACTCAGCTTGGTAATCCAGCAGGAACTCTATGTGTTGCTTGTTTGCCTCCAGCTGTGGCTCGATGTCGAATTGCTGCATCGCCGTGATAACAGCTTTGGCGCATTCAACCAGGTTCTTAAACACCGTGGGCCTGTAGTTGTACAGCTCATCCTCGGAATAGCCCTTGAGGTGGATGATCTTCATTTGCTTGACAATCGTGGACTTGCCACTCTCGCCGGAGCCTGCACAGTCCAGTCAGCAGTCAAACTTACGAGCAGGATGCAGACAACCTACCGAGCAGCAGAATCTTGCATTCTTTCCGTAATCGCTTAGAGTCCTCTTCCAGAACCTTGTCGATGGCTTGGCTCTTCTTCTTCTGTTCCGCCTCCTCGCTATTGGAGCTCATACACCCACCCATCATGGGCAACTGGCAGAGCTCGACGGTATGCGCCGACGCAGCTAGAGGCGATGGGTCGTGTGGATCGATGGCCGTCGACAACGGCGATGCCTCGCGGTTGGGGTAGCGTCGCGGCTACTGGCGCATGGGCTGCCTTGGGGCCAGTCGCGGGCGTCGCGGTGAAGTCGTGAATGCGATCTCGACCAAAGATGACGGGGTGCGGCCCGCTCGGCACGACTTCGTTTTCGGGCGCGCACCTGGGAGGTGCGTTGTAGAGGAGAGGCCGCGCGGGGAAGATGCACGGTGTCGAGAACCGACGCAGGCTGTTGGGGCGCGCGATGATGGGTCAGTGGAGGCGGAGACGGGGTTCGTGAGGTGTGAGGCGTGAGGCGGGGGACGAGGAAGGCGGCAGCCTCGTCGTCGTCGTCCTCGTCACAGTCGTCGGCGTTGTCGGCGTCGCCGGATTGAGCGGTCGCGGATTCCGGTGACGGTGTCGAGGTACTCGGGCCAGCGGACGAGAGAAGCAAGGTGAGAGGGCGAGGTGGTGAGCGACGGTGGTGGAGGAGCAGGCAGGCAAGGCGCCAGGTTGGGAGGTTGCAGTGGGAGCGAAAGCCAGGCGCCAGTGAGACCGCTGGGCGTGATGACAGGCTTGGCGGGTGCTCAAGCCGGGGAAGGAGCAGCGCCAATTGGCGTGGAGCAAGCAGAGAGACCAGAGCGAGATGGGTGCGGATGGCCGTGGAAGCGGATGTGGAGGTCCCCGAGCCCAGCCGACCGCCGTTGGGTCTGGCGGCTGGAGGGTGCTGGGGTTTATTAGCTCTGCGTTAGCAGTTGCCTATGCCGCTCGAGCGGTGCGGCAGTAAGGTACCTTGAGTACCTGGAAGGCGGCGGAGGTACTTGCGTACTCCCGGAGATGCTGCAATAGTGCAGGTATGAGAGTCAGGGAGCAAGAGAGAGGGCGCCGTGCTTTGCCGAACGTCAGCTCCTGTGATGCGTCTTGCTGCGCCGGCGGCAGTGGTACCGTCGGAGTGAGTGCGAGGTAGCCTCACCGTCCGGCTTCTGCAAATGACGGGAATGGGCCCTGTGGATGGGCTCAGCAGATTGGGCGGGACAGAGGCAGTCTGCAGCGGCAAAGTATGCTCGTATACTCATTCACAGCCAGCCCGGCCTCGCCCTCGGCCGGTGGCGCAAGCAAACACTGCGGGCGCAGAAAGTCGCTGAGAGTCTGAGACCCTGGGCGGGCGGCTTCGCATAGACTGACACCTCAGTGCCTACAGGTAGGTATGTAAGGATGCAGTCGCAGCAACGTGGGACGTGGCAGCGGCAATGACGGCGCAGCCAGCGGGCGGGCGGGCGGTCAGTCCGGTACTCGCGATGGGGCGACGAGACGAGGGCGACGACGACAACGGTGATGAGGCCACGAGATGGGCGAGGAATTCGGCACATCAAATTGCATGGTCGTCACCACGGGGGGGCAAAGACCCGGCCTCTCTGCTCAGATGCCTGGTAATTATTAGCACTCGTCGTGCTTGTTTCAGCAAGCTCCATCTCGAACAGCGGCAGCCAGGCGCGACCTCGCCCAAAACCAACAGCGCCAATTGTGGAAGCTACGGCCGGCAGGAACGTCCTCGACCCGTCTCATGCCGTCCCATGTCCGGGGATACAAGGCAGGAGCCATGGGGGGGGGGGGGTCATTGGGTTGCGTCCAGTAATGTACATACTCCCGACTCTCTAGCGGACGTGCAATGCAGCGGATGCGCAGCGGCAGGAGCTGATGCTGGCCCCTTCCCGCCCCATTGGACAGGATACACACATCAAGTTCCCGTCATCCAGGAGTCCAGCCAAGCAGGCACCCGCTATTCGCCGAGCTCTGGCCACCGGGCGGCACCTCTTGACCTGCACCCGGCCCCGGGAGTGGGAGTGGGAGTGGAAGCTTCACCGTTGAGCTGGAGAAACGGCCCCGGTCAACGAACGCAGTCGCTCGCAGATGGGGACGCCCTCCGCCTCATTCAGCCAGAAAAGCGCGCGCCCCAATCCGGCCCTGCCCGCCTGCAACAGGCCGCCGCAGCACCGGCCGCCAGCCCTGGTCGACATTTGTGCGGATCCGTTCGGAGCGCCATGTCAGCCACTGAAGGTTGGGGGGACAGAGCCCCTCGAGCGTTACTGGAATCAGCCTCGGTCTTGACACACCTCGAGGTGGTGGTGTCCTCCTGAGACCCGAGATGCAGCTCGACTCGACCGAGCGCCCGTCACGGGAAACGAGGTCCAAGGCCCTCTGCTGCGTCGCGCCGTCGATGAAGAATGGGCCCATAGGATTCGCAGTGGAGCGGATTCGGAAAGGGCCGTCTCGTGTGGAATTTGACCCTTCCCCGCTGCTATTAGCACACGAACTGATCCCCAGGGAAAGGTAGGTGGGCACAAGGGCTCAGGAGCTATTGTGGATGCCACCGGAAGCACGATGGGCTGGCTGCGAACCAGGGTCTGGCAGTCCACGTCGACTCCACGACCACTTGGTTCGCCGCCCTCTTCTGTTGTCGTTCAGCAAAGCAGCCTTTGCGAGGACGATGTTTGAGGCGGCTGCATCAGCCCGTTCCCCAGGGCCTCGGTGTCACAGCTCGCGGCCAAGGACGGGCTCCTTAACACCGAGGCCACAAACATGCCAGGAAAAACTGACAACCGCGCTTGTCACCACCAGCGTTTTCTACGCCGACGACGACGCTCCACAATGCCTGGCCACCGCCGACGAAGACATGTCTATTTAGACGCGCGAAGCTGGCGATCATTGCCCGTAACGCTATTCGTCTCAAGTGTACTATCGCCGTATCTAGCACCCTCCCCCTCGGACGCATCACAGAGCAACCACGAGCCCGACTGTCAGGGCTGTCTCATCGTGGGGATGCCACAGAACTCTGGCTGCACATTGCGCCCAGACACGGCCTTGCGCCCTGATGGACGTTTCGCATGATGAGGGCAAATGCATCCGTCCAGTCCGCCGGAACGCGTGCATTCGGTGGCGTTTCGTGCTGACGCCTCTCCTCTTCGTTCTTACACATCGGCGCCGGCCAACAGTAGGGCCGATGGAGCGTTGAGACTCGGATGGCCTGGCTGTGGCCAATCTACATGCCAATGCGCCGTTTCGCGAGATCACATCATGCGACGAACCGACCACGGTTGGCAAGCAATGCTTCAACCGAGAGTGGCCAAGGCAACGTCCACCAAAGACCCCTCAGCTACGAGGTTCTTCGTCGTCCTGAAGCACTCGTGCAAGCAGGTCAACATCGGCTTGATTTAGGGCCAGACACCGGCATCGAATGCAACTACGAAGTGTGTACGTCGCCGCCATGCGCAGCCAGCATGGGCCAGCGATCAACATCCAGATGAGTATACCGAGTACCGAGTAATAACGCAGGTCTCGTCATGGGCAAGAACCTCATTGTCAAACAATACGCCGACCGACACGACATATGCGGTGTGCTGTGTTTGGCCCCTGATCCCTCTCACCCAAGGATTACCAAGCTGCGGCCCCTCCAATGTGAGGTGAACCTGGTGCACGGCACGGTGAGACGGGCGATTCCCGCACCTCGCGGGCGGGCCGCTGGTCCCTGGGATCTCCCCCTGTCATGTTTCTTGACTCTTTCCTGAGCGTCTGGTTCGTGTGGCTGCAGCACCAGCCAACTAAACTTTGCCGGGCCTCGTGGACCATGGGAACCCCTATCGACAGGCGCGGGCCATTGGACCCGCCGTCATTTGGCAAGCCAGCGGCCAACAGGGAGCAACGCTGCCAAGGCCCAAGGACCCGGCGCGTTCTCTCCTTGTTGGTGGTAGCCGGCACATCGGCTGGCGCGTCCCCTGTTCCTCACGTTGGATCGGAACAAGCAAACGCGACGCAGCACGAGTCACGGCTGACGAGACCAACGGGGGCAACGCCAGTGACAAGCGACACGATACGTGCGTGCCGGGCCCATCTGCGGCCCGGTGAGGGCGTGGCTGCGAGGGGCGACGAGGACACCCCAGTGTAGGACGCAGTTCGAGCACAGCGCCTGCACGGTATTGCCTGGCCGTCGACGGCGGGCACGCGGCGTCGAACGACGGGCCAGCATCGGCCCCCTACTCGTGGTGCCGGACTCTTTTGGATGGGGGCGACAGGGAACGCACGTGGCGCCTCGGGCGTGGAGGCACGGCACCGTTTGGACGTCTCATTTATTTCGTGATACGTTCTGGCCGTGTCGCGGCCGCGACACCCTTCCTTCCCGAAGCAGCCACATGGATGTGCTCTTGTTTCTTTTTGTACGCCTTGCTTTGGTCCGTCCCACGTGTCTGTGCCACCGGGAAAAGGGCGCGCTGCACGTCAGCAGCAAACCGAGCCGGGCACCTACATACATGCAGCTCCTGTCCATGTGCCGGGTCAGTGTACCAGGTACGAATGATAGAAATACTGAGACTGCGCCGACACTGCGGATCCGGGTACGGAAGACTTTGGGCGGGCATGTGGCATTCGTCGGAACATGCTCCGTACATTTCACCGTACATGGAGCACAGGCAAGCCGTTGGGCCAAGTGAAGTAAGACTGGGGGGGAATGTTGGTCAGCAATGGTGGGCGTCTTGGGCGTTGAACTAGGCATTGACGGCGGTGCTGGCTCTGATGGCGATAGTCGCGCCAAGGCTACTTTACTTGTCCCTCGCGCCCACCTTGTTCGAATGCAGTACTCGGTACGTACGCACGTTTGGGGACACGGAAGACGTATCACATATCGGTGCCCGCGGTGGCGGCTTGGCAGGTGTGCGAAACAGATGACACGACGCGCTGACAGAGTCGGCACGTAGAGCGACCCAAGCTCACCATGTCACGCATTGGGGCCGCAATACCCTAGACCATTGATGGGCCGGCCATTGGGTGTCCGACACAAAGGGGATGACGGTTGCTCGGCATTGACAAATAGCTAGCATCTCTGACATTGGATCCGTGGTTGATTGTTCGCGGTATGCAGCATGGATTATTTGCCTCGATGATGCCGAGCCGTTGAGCACGCTGCGATTTTGTGGTGGGAGTGCATGGGGCTGGATGTCAGTCTGACATGGAGGACCAAAATCCGATATGGAGGTCGATGAAACAACCTCATCAGGACAAGATGCATAGGTACAGCACAGGCTCACTAAAACGAGGCCCCGTCCAGGACGGAAGTCGCCGGAAAATACATAATACCCGCAGGCAGATCTGGCGAGGGCACATCGCGCGCGTGGCGATGAGACGTGCCGATGTCACCACGCATGCAATGCAGGACACGCTGGCAGGCGGGCAGGCTGACGAGATGCCCAGAGACACGCACGCACGCACGCCCTGGATTTGCCATTTTCAAGGTACTAATGTGCTTGACTCTGCTTCCCAGGAAGATGGGCACTGCTCAATGGCGGGAAACAGGGCGAAGAAGTGCCAGACTCGAGACGCGCCACGTGACGCGGCATGGCATCCATGTTAGCATGGACTTGGGCTTGGAACACGGCCACATGGAAAGGAATGGCGGCGGTTCACCTTTTCTGTGAGCGCCTCTCTGGTGGGGTTCATTTTCGCTTCTCGTCCACGCCCGCGCCCGCGCCCGTGTGTGGCCCCCCCAAAGCCCCCCGTCATCGTCGGCGGACGCAGCACCCTTTTTATGTAACCCCCCAGGCCCATGCATGCAGATTAGGTGGCCCTTGGGACGCGGGCGGCATCGCTGCTCCCAGCACCTCGTCCAATCCAACCCCCAGCGCCCTGCTGAGCTGTACAACCACCACACCAGGACCGCGCCGCACTCGAGTCGACGCCGCCGCCGCTGCTGCAGTCCTCGCCGCCGCCATTGGAGCCGCGTCCTGCCCACCCACGACGGGAGGACAAGTTGACGTGCACTATTGGTATGCCATGCTGCCCGTGCCCGCATCCGCTGCGTCATTGACGTCGCTGACCCTGGAATTCTGCCAGCGCCGCCTCGCCGAGCATCCTGACCGCACATACGAAGCCGGCGCTCGTTCAGCTGCCTCGCCGCCTGTCGCCTCGCCGTTCGACGTCGCGCCCCGATTCCCGATACCGTCATCGTTACCCTGGGCCCGGTTTGGCTGGTCCAGGCGTGCCCGGGCTCCCCCCCGCCATCCCACACGGCCGTGACACTTCATCGTGCATTGCCTGGCCGCCGCTCAACACAACCTCAACCTACCTCGGTGGCATTATTACCCGCGGTTCTTGACGCTCATCGCTGGGCTCTTGCATCGGATAGCAACCCGCCGTCACGGACTCTAGGACGGAGAGTCGGCCCCCGAACCCGACAGACAGGTTCCCCGTCGTCTGCTATTTACGAGCCGGCAGAACGCGGCTCACTCATACCTGTCGGCCCGGCTATCGCACACGCCCGCCGCGGGGCCGCCTTGTCTCACCGACTGTCGACAGCCGGCGCTCGACACAGCCCTCCGACGCGTATGGATCGCCTGTAGACGGCACGCTTAACTCACAAACCTCCCCGAAAGAAGGCTCGCTGCATGTTGACGGCGTCCCGGCGCAACACGCAGAATGAGTGGTGATGAGGACGCCGGCTCCCAGAACGGGGCCGAGATACAGTCAGTGCTGTCGCCAATCAGCCCGCCGACTCCTGACACTCCCTCCAGTCCCGGCTTCGCGCCGCTCGTGACCGTCGTTGGCTTTCACCATGCCCGCGGTCCAGAGGTTGAGACGTGGTTCGGTGCCGATGAGGGCGCCGACCCTGCCGCCGACTTTGGCTGGTCTCTGCTTCCCTTCATGGCCCTGAGTGACGGTGCCCACGCGTGAGTCGCTGCCGATTCTCCATGCCTCGATGCTGCCGACTAACCAATTCCTCAGGTCAGAGGAAGACTTCTCCTACTTTACCTTGCTGAGGCCCAAGACAGACACGGAGCCGGCCACCTCGCTCTTCGGCATATCCTGCACGCGGCAGCTCGACTCAACGCAGCTCATCAACCGGCCTGCCGATGTGACCCGCTCGACCGTGCAAAAGGCCGTCGTGGTCATCGCCGACAGCCCGCAATTCTTTGGCATGCTGCGGGAACGGCTCAGCATCGTCACCCAGGCCTGGTTCGCCCAAAGGGACTTTACCGACGTAGAGATACTGCGCAGGTTTCAAGAGAGCCTCGCGGACGAAAAGGCTAGGGGCGTCATACAGCAGGAAGCCGACCGGGATCAGTACCTGGGCATGAGCCTGCGTGAGCTGATTCACGAGTTTAAGTGGCAAACGCTTGTCTTGTTTAAGTGCTGCCTCCTCCAGCCAAAGGTATGCACCCCGAACCCTTCTGCCTCCTCGACGTAGCTAGAGACTGACTGGTATAGATGCTCTTCTTTGGGTCGCGGTGTGATAGATTGTGCATGGTCCAATATTCTCTTATTTCCTTGATACCCGGACTGTTGCGCAACCTGCAAGACTGCGCGGAACCAGAGCTAAACAACTACGAGAAGAAGCTGTCTCGATCGACGAGCTTGCAGAGCAGCAACCGTAGCTCCCTCTTATCTTTCATGGGTCTCCCTCTGCAGATTTTCGGCAAGGTAAGGCCTCTTGAGTATCGACTGCAGAAAGCCAAGCTCACAGGACATTACAGGGAAGCTTCTTCGGCCCATACACTCCCCTCCAGCAACTCGACATCCTCGCCGACTTTGGCACCAAGTCATACCTTGTCGGCAGTACAAACTCACTCCTCCTTCAACAGAAAGACAGATACAGCGATATCCTGATCAACCTCGACGAGGATTCCATCAACATCACCTCGCCATCCCTCAAGTCGGCTCTGGCCCTGACCGCGGCTGACCGGCGGTGGATCGACTACCTCACGCAGGAGGTCAACGAGACGTGGGACGAGGCGAACCCGAGCAGGCCCAAGACGCTGCAGTACATCGGCAGCGAGGAGTTTATCCGGTCGCAGTTCGAGGCATACATCCTCGGCCTCATCTCCTCCGTCAAGTTCCACAACTTCCTGACGGCCAACGTCGAGGGCTCCAAGAGCGGCAGCTTTGGCGCGGCCGAGGATCCCGCGGTGGACTTTGGCCTCGAGTGGGTGGAGGCCTGGATGCGCACGGAAAACTACCGCATGTGGGACGCGCACACCGACGCGAACCTCTTCGCCGTCTCGGAGCCAAAGCACCCCTGCGCCGGCGGCCTGACCATCGACGACGTGCAGCGCCGCATCGCCGAGCAGGTCAAGGAGCTGCACCTCGACGAGCGCTTCGCGCAGGGCCGCGAGATCCTAGGCCGTAACTTGGCCGTCGGGCGCGAAAAGGCCTCGACCATGTTCAACAAGCTCTACTCGGACGTCGAGTACCTGCGCGAGTCGCAGCGCCGCCGCGCCGAAGAGTCCAAGGCTGCCGACGGCACCAAATCTCCGTCAGAGAAGCCATCGCAGCAGCAGCAAGGGCAGGTGGTCGACCTGTCCAAGGCGCAGCAGACGGTGCAGTCCGCCGGCGCAAAGGCCAGCGCCTACATGTCCAGCTGGGCCGCCTGGGCAGGCGAGAAGCGCAAGACAGGCGGCTGGGGCGGCAGCTGGGGCAAGAAATCGCCCTCGCCCGCCAAGGCACTCTCAGCGGGCGCCGCACCACCAGCAGCGGCGGCCGCGGGCACAACGTCCGCGACAGCCAGCCCCATCGACAAGGACTACCAGATGGTCAGCCCCCCCTGGTCGCGGGAAGCATCGACCGACGACCGCGCCAGTCGCCCCCCCACGCACGCGAGCTTCAGCGAGAGCATCCTGTCCGGCGCGGGCAGCGACGCGCCCGACAGGCCCGGCTCCGGGGCCTCCTCCTCGTCCTCCTCCGGCGGGCCTGCGGATCCGGCCGCCAAGCATCATGCGAAGCAGGCGTCCAAGGACGACGGCTTCCAGAAGGAAGAGGTGGTGGGCGCCTCGAGCAACCACCAGGGCGAGAACGGCAAAGACAAGGCGCCGACCACGGCGGGGGAGAAAAAGGAGGAGCAGGTGCTGGAGCAGGTGCAACCAGTCAACGCCGAGGGCAAGGCGCAGCAATAATAGATCGCGAGAGGCATAATTTGGTTTCTTGGATGATACGGGGCGTCAAGGCTCAAAATGGTACATCAGACACCGCATATGCTAGGTAGGTAGGTAGGCAAGCCCATGTGGTATTCGAACCACGCGTCATACATTTACTCAGCCAGGACTGTTTATTTTTTCGGTTCTCGGTGGCTCATCGAGCAGATCATTAGGAAAAGCTGCCCGTCTCTGTTTCCCCGTTATACCAGCCCAGGCCCCCCACTGCATCCATTCCATGCAAATCCTAGACGCCGCCGCGATAACCCCTTTTCATCATGAGGAGGCTGAACAGGAAACCTCCGCTGCTGTGACGGCTGGAACGCACGTAGACCCTCGAATGGCTGGAAACTGAACTGCCGCTCGAGGAAAATATACAGATCAAGGCCACTTAGCAATGCCCGTCTCGTTTGTAGCCTACCCTCCAACCCTGACGGACAAGGGTTGTGGCCCATGTGCTGCCTCGCAGGCGACCTCGATATATGAAGTACGCTTCTCCGGCTGCGGCGTGCGATGCAATCGTTGGGTTGAGGGTTTGCTGTTATAGACCAAACGGACGGCAAGACGGCAGACGACTACGCGAGGTAGCCCAACTCGTCATCCTCCAGTCGCTCCAGGTATTCTTTGTCGAGAAGAATCTCTATGCACTTCTTGATGTCCCCAACCTTGGGCACAAATCGAGACCGGATCTGGTTGATGGTCTCGCTCACCAGCTGCGTGTGCTTCATCTTCTTTCGCGCTTTCATGATGCGAACAATCGCGGACTGTTACCCGGTTAGCGCGGCTCCTGGCTCCAAAACAGTGTGAAGGGTGGGCACGTACCTGAAGGACCAGCTTGCGGTCTTCCTCGATCGTCTTGTTCGTTTCCGCTTCCTCTTGCTTAGTCTCCTTGACGCCTCCGAGGTTCAGGTTGACCCGAATCTTCTTGTTCTTGAAGTCGTAGTTGAGGCTGAACGCCTTGCCCGGACCGGGCTTGTCACCGGAGCCACCAGACATGAGAAGCACCTTGGCCTTGAGGATGACAGCCAAGGCTTGGTCCAGCACTTCATTGCTCAGCTGGGTCGCACTGAGCATGTCCTCATAGGTGTATGAGTCCTTCTCGTTGAAGAGAAGGAGGATAGCCATTTGATAAATGGACACCTGGAACGTGAATGGGGTCTTGCTGCTCTTGCAGTACCCGGTGCGAATCTCCCCCTTGCACAGGTGCCATAGCCAAGTCAGCTTGCGGCCATCGTGCTTGTGCTTGTAAAAGCGTGCGAAACGCTCAATCTCTGTGGAAATCTCCGCCGGCGGGTGGAAATGGGTGCTCGGTGGCGTAAGGGGCCAGAAACCCGTGCCGAGAATCGAAAAGGTCGAATCGACACCGCTCACGGAGCCGACGCTTGCGAGGTGCTCGCCAAACTCCTTGTTCAAATCCTTGGAGATTTGCATGTCTTGGAACATGCGCTGCAACTTGTTTGTGTACTCGAAACCGCATGCCTCCTTTAATTTGCTGATCATGCTCGTCTCGGCGTCGTCCGAGGACGAATTGCTGTGCACTAGACGCCTCGCCAGCATGCGCGAATAAAACTTCTGGAAGACGTCCTTGTCCTCAATGTATCTGAAGACGATCATGATTTGGCTCAGGGTCCGCTCGAGGTCGGCCTCCTCGATGCTCGTACTGCTCTTGCGAAGCAGCACATCCGTGTATTTGGCCAGAAGCTCTGGCGACTTGCTCGAGGCCGACTTGCAGACCTCGTTGCGGTTCACGAATTCTCTGCAGGCGTTGTCCAACGACCGGGTGAACTCGGCCTCGTCGTTGAAAGCCTTCTTCACCAGCAGCTGGTACTGGCTGTGGACCTCGAGGAGCGCATCGACGTACACCTTGGGCTCGAGTTTGTCCCCCTCGGAGGACTGCACCTTCTGGACGGCGGCAAGGCCAGCCTTCCGCACATGAGTCTCAAACTTCGTTCTCAAAGGTTCGAGGCCGTCAGGGATGCGAGACAGGAGATTGTACATGCGAGCCATGTCCTCCTCGCGGTCAGTGTCGAGTAGAACCTGAAACTCCTCACGCAGGAGTGTCGAGTGGTCCGCGATGAGAGCCATGTTGCAGCACTTCTTGAGGGGAACGGCAATGTCCTGGTGCAGATACATGCTGACCCTCTCTTCCTCTTCGGCCAGCCGAGTCTCCGCCTTCTTCATGTACTCGACGACGCTGTTCTCTGCGACAAACTGCTTGGACTCTGCCTGGTAAAACTCCTTAGTTGCTGCCAGGAAGGGCCGCTCGAAGTGGTAGCGATAGACGTCGAGGGTTGACTTGGAGGGATCGGCCTCGTCGAGTCCCAGGGACACAAACGAGTCCACCACTTGTTTGATCTGGCTGTGCTCGATGGTCTCGCCATTTCTTTGCTTCTCGACAAGCTTCAGGACAGCGTCCATGACCTTGGCCGAGACCTGCTCAAACAGGACCTTGCGCCACTGAACGAGGTGTAGTGTGTATACATCGTAGATGTTCTTCTTCCCTTCGTCGATCTCGCGCTTCACCCAGTGGCGATTGAGATATCTGAAGAGGTGGTGTATGTATTTCGCAGCCGTCGTGTAGCGGTTCCACTCTCTGATGTAGTACGTGAGAAGCGCTTCCTCGGTGTGCGATTTGGACTCTTCGACGAGCGTCTTGAGATGGGCTTGCAGGTAGCTGATGAGATTGTTGTAGAGCTCCTCGCCGAGAAGGTGCGCTATTTGAACACGAGGGATGTCAGTAATCGGGACCTGGATTGTCCCCGTGGGAGAGTGCCCACCTCCGCGATGGTTGGAGTGCATGGCAGGACCACTCAGGCCAACCGCTTTTTGAGACGTGCAAAAGTTGTGAACGGCACTGTTGGATAGAGTCGTCAGTTACGCGGCAACAAGACAAACGGAGATCGAGTGGGGCTTGGACGTACGTGTAGACTCCCATGTACATTTGCATGTCGATGCCCTGCTCGAGGTCATTCATGATGCGCGTGATGCCGGCCTGTAGGTAATTCCAACTGCGTTTTGTTAGCAAACGGTTCGGCCCACGAAAGCGGGAGGAAGGCGCGTCGAGGAACTCACGTAGCACCAATGTCCTCGCGGTTGGGAACCGGAGGCATCTGCTGGCCGGGAGCCATCTTGGCGGCCATGTCGCTACCGCAGGCTTCCCGAGAGCGAGGTAGAGGGAAGAGGCAGAGGCGGGGTCAGGCGGCCGCGGCGACTCGCTGACGGGTCGCAGAGGCAGAGGGGGAGCTTGGGTGAGCGTGGTCGGAGGGAGAGGTGGAGGCGGGATAGAGGGTAGTGGCAGCTTCGTGAGCGCTGCGTCTCCGTCACAAGATGTTCGCGTCGCTGAGATGGCGGCGCTGGAGTCGGGGCGTCACGCTCGCGGCGATGACCAACCAGCAGCACCAGCAGCAGGCGTGTGTGACGGCGGTGGGCGTTTAATCCACGAGCGGATCAAACAGAAAAAAGAAGAGTCACACGACGCGACGTCTGCTGCGCTGGTTGCTCGGTCCTGCAACAACGAGGGCAACAAAGGAGGGAGGGTGGCGGCGTGATGCGGGAGGGAGATGCAGAGGAGGGATGATGGAGGACAAGGCAGGCAGGCGAGTCGGGCAGTCAGCGTGGAGGTCGTGGAGGTCAGATCGCTCGCCGTGGCCGTGCGTGCCAGGTGGTGCGGCAGCTGTGGCTGATGCTGAGCCGCTGAGGCAAGCACGACAGGCAGCTGCTGCGGCTGCTGCGGGAGGCGCCGCCAGGCCGAGACGGGACTAGTGGAATTTCTGCCGCCCTCGACCGCCTGCCTCCGAGTGGCCCAAATGGCCCAAGCTCTGGCCATTCAGTCGACTCACTTGAGATTGAGAGAGACTGCCTGCTTTGCTTGGTGGCAGATGCCTATCACCACACGTGCACACCCAGGCCAGCTGTTTAGCTGCCTAATTAGCCCAAGGAGTCGGCGGCAGGTTTTGCCTGGTGCGGTGCCTGGCACCTGGAAAGTCGCCACAGGCAGATGCAGAACGGGTTCCTCTTGCTGATGCGGTGACTTTGCTGGTCAAAGGAATGGTCGTGATGGCAGGCGTGAACTGTTTCGGCCGCTTTGTGGTAAAGGCAAGTGTTGGACAGCAACGACCAAAGTCTCGGTTGGTTTTCGTAGGCATCTCTCACTTATGGCAAAGTCCTTTCATGAGCCAGCATTCTGGGCAAGATTGCTCCTCTGGTGCCATGGTCTTTACGGGCAACGCTATGACCCGAGATACGGAACATGGCGCTGTATCAAGCAGCACACCGAGGGAGAGCGTATTAAAGACAGGGTTGCCGCAGACCGGCGGAGGACCTGGAGCTAGGACCCGCGTTGCCTTGACCAAACTAAGCCGTTGGCAGCCAGTGATGGGCAATGGCCTGGGCTGCCTTTCTCAGACAGAAAGCTGAGCTTCGTCTCAGCGCGAGCAGCCTCGTGACCACCTGCGTTGGTCCTCGGATCCGCACAGCCTCTCGAGGCCTGCGGCACTTGCACCGACCCCGGCGTGAACGGTAGCCGATAGTTGCAGGGCTTCGTGGCAAGTGTGACGCCTTTGCCTCCAACCTCCCGACTGCCCGGCAAGATCTCCAGGCCCCTCGGAGGTGACGGCGATGGAGAGGGAGGCGAACCGGATCCAGACCGGGAACGTCACCTGGACAGTTTCGGCCCCGGGCCGCGGTGCTGCACGTGGTGGCGCTAGCCAAGCGCTGGCAACGAGCCTGAATCTGGGACGGGAGCGTTGAGAACCCAACAGTGACCTGACAGCTCCAACTGGACGGGCGGGATGCGGGCAAAGGCGCCCGCGCTGGGAGAAGGAGGGGGAGGGCGGGGGACGGCAAAGTTGGAGAGCTCCCGTCAGCGCTCTGCTGCGTTAGTCCCCCCTCTCCACCGGTGGGGACCAGCAAGCACCCTTGGGGACAAGGAAGGGAGGCTAAAATAAATTCCACAGCGTCATGTGAGCTTTAGAAGGGTCCTGGAAGAAGGGACTGTGGGCCTCGTGGCAAGCACATCATCACCGACCGCCCGAAGCACTTTGTTGCTTGACTCGGCTCGCTGCTCCGCTCCGCTCGCGGCGGGCCAATTTTCACGAGCGATTCCTAACACGCCTTTGAAAGGCTGGGCCCTTGCGTGACCTGTGTGCGCAGGGCATATCGGGAATTTATTTATTAGTCGTCGTGAGGCACGCCGCTCGCGACCCTGCTCGTCCGTGACGACTTGTCCTCCACCCCCGGCGCCTGGTGTCTTTGACGCAAACGACCCTCCACGACGAGCCTCGCTCCTCAGGCTCGACTACAGCATCGAACACGGCCTGCGAATTCAATCCAGTACTCGCGCGCGAAACAGACGAGCAGGAGGACGAAGCGGCATCCGAGGCGGCCAACTGCGCCGTGACGTGACGTGTCTCTCTGCCTCGCGCGCTCGCCTCTGCCCGGCGCCTCGGCCTTTCTTTTCCTTTTGCGTGTTTTACCCAAGTCCCAGCCCGCTCTGCAGGTCGTCGCAACATCGCCCGCCAAACACCCTGCGCGGCGGCTCCACGGGGCGGCGGTTACTTGCCTGACACCCAGACGTGCTTCGTACCGCGATCCGTACCTGGCGCCGAGCTGGATACTTTGCCTTACCCGACCCCTTCTGCCCCTGAGCTGCGACTGCGACACTCTGCATCCCTGCCGATACCCAGACCTTGCGTCTCCGCGTGGTCCGATCACAGCACGTTGCACCGACGACTCGTCAACTTCCATCGTACCTGTCAAAAACGGGTACCTTGGGTTGGGTTGTCACAGCGGCGGCGACGTCTGCTGACCCCGCCAGCAACCACCACCAGCACCGCCAGCCAGCATCCAGGGCCACCCTCCACCACCGTCAAACGCAACCACTAAACCACACCTGGCCTCCTCCATCGTCCTGCATCCCCGTGCATTGCATCGCATCACATCGCGCCGCCCCTCGCCCGCCGCCTCCAGTGCTGCGCGCCGCCCTCTCTTGCACTCCTCGCGAGAGCCTCTGCCGCTCCCGCTCCACCCGTTTCGGCACCGTCGCACAGCCCTGGCACCGTCAATCTCGTCTCTTGCGCCTCATTGTCCTCCCTCTCGCCATCGACCACACCGCGAAGGGCGAGCCGGTCTCGCCTCTACAATAAGGCTCTGGCGTCCTCTCGACGGGCCCATCGTGTCATAAGGCGTCCCCATCGCGCCGTCGACTCGGTCGGCTGAGCTGCGACTGGGCTCTGTTGCCACATACACCAGTCTCTCAACATCACGCATCGTCCGCGGGGTGTCGACTTGGCAATCTGCGATATCTGAACTCTCCCCGGCCCCTGGCTCAGAGCCCGCGACAGCTGCAACAGCACAGCTATGCCTAACTCACCGCCAGCCTATCTATTTGTCGTAAGGTCAGTTCACCGCGCGTCCAGATTTGCATGCCAGGGATCCTTGCTGACAACGTTCCCCAGACATGGAAACCGACTCGACGCTGCCGACAAGAAATGGCACCTCACCTCGCCGACCCCGTACGACCCGCCCCTGACGTACGGCGGCTTCTTGCAGGCCAGGCAGGTAGGCAACCAGATTAGCAACTACCTCGAGCAGGCCAAGCTCGACGACGAGGTCTCGCAGAATGGCGCAGCCCTGTCGGCCACACGCAGGCGCTTCAAGATTGTTATTCACAGCTCGCCCTTCCTCCGCTGTGTCCAAACATCTATCGGCATCAGCTCGGGCCTGGCCCAGACGTCCCCCGACTCCATCTTTGGCCCCGCCGACATCATCGTCCCCAAGGCTACCCCCACCTCTCAGCCATTTCAGTTCAAGTCCAGTCTGCTGCGCCTCGACTCCTTTCTCGGAGAATGGCTGTCTCCAGAATACTTTGAGATGATCACGCCACCGCCTGGCCCCGCGCTCATGATGGGGAGCGCCAAAGCCGATCTCTTGCGGAGGGAGGATTATAGTGCCTACACCGATCAGGTGCCTCAGGCGCCTCCGGAGAAGCCAGCATCCAACGGTTCTCTGTGGCAAGCATCTTCAAGTTCAGGCCCGTCCAGCGGAGCACAGACGCCGAGGTCAGAGTCGAACACTGCGCTCAACGTGTCCGGCTTGGCATCCGCCCTACCTGCTCGGGAGGGCAAGGGAGAGTATGTCGCTCCCAGGCCGTTGCACTCCGTGTCTGGTAGCCACAAGATCCCAGAAGGCCTGGTGGCCCACGCACGAGACTCGTGCGTGACTGTAGACTACCAGTGGGATTCGATGAGGGAACCTCTCGACTTTGGCGACGGCGGCAAGTTCGGTGAGGAGTGGACGTCAATGCATACGCGCTTTCGTGGCGGGTTGAGGAAGCTCCTTAACTGGTACGCCACCGCAGACACGCCCGCTGACCTGGTTGCACAGCCTTCGAAGGCGAGCGGCGGTGACGGACCCGAGGTTGAGAGAGACGACGAAGATGTTGAGACGGTCGTCATCGTCGTGTCCCATGGCGCTGGCTGCAACGCCTTGATCGGAGCCATCACCCACCAGCCTGTACTTATGGATGTCGGCATTGCTTCCATCACCATGGCGACGAGGAAACCGAACCTCGACTACAAACAGATGCTGGCGGCCGCCGGACCATCAGCAGAACCCTCGGCGAAGCCTCTCGTCCAGGTCGACAAGATGTACGACATGCGGCTATCCGCCAGCACCGAACACTTGAAATCATCCAGCGGCTCTACCCCTGTGTCGTCGAGGTCGCAGTCGAATGCGAACATCTGGACCGCGCCGACCCCTGGCACGCGAGGCCGGACTTCGACATTGGGTAGCACCCCTGGCGGCCCGGTCATGAGCCCATTCACGTATTCGGATCCGTTCTCGTCGACAGGGAGTCGTTCCACATCGGCCAGCGCTGCGATGGGAAGCTCCCTGAGGCGCGAGTCGGGTTCGTTCCGACCCACGCCACGCGGGCCGGCTATTGCCACGACCGGGATAGCTGGGACTGCCGGGCAATCACCCCCGCGTAGTCATTCGCCCGGAACCGGCAATTCCTTTGGACTCTGGGCGCCGGTGCCATCCTCGTTGCGCCTGATGGATGATGACGCTGACGATGCAGACGATTTTGGCTCCATGATGCCCAATTTTGATCAAACGCGATTCGAATCCGCGGTCGCAGATGATAATTCAGAAACCTCGTCCGTCAAAATGCCATCGACAGCTCCGGCGGTAGGCGATGCGTTTCCCTTGCCAGCAACGTCTTTGCCGGCGGCGAAAAGTCCCTCGCGCGGCCCCGTATTCGCCGGCCCGATCAAGCTGAACACGAGCGTCGTCCCGGAGAAACCAGCTGAGGAGATGAAGATGTCGCAACTTGGCGGCGGCCTAGGCGGACTTTGGGGACAACCTCCACCGCCGGGTGAGGCGGAAAGGTTTAGGGACCTCAGCCTGAGCAAGCGGCGGTGGACAGTTAATGAGCGAGCGTGAAGTTTGAAGCAGCGATATCCATGTTTGTCTGCTCCCCGATGCTTGGGCCATGAAAGGCACCCAAGTCTCATGCGATGATTTAATACCCTGGTTATAGCGTTGTCAGTGGTTCGTTTGAGTTGAGCAACAGCCTGGGATTCGATCTTGCACAGCATGGCATTGGCGAAGGGGAACACATGAAGGACGAGACATGCGCGCACCACATAAAAGGGGTTCTCCGGGGGCATATGACAGGGATACCAGCGGGTCAACTATCTCTTCTCACCTTTTCAAAGCGTGCAATATAGTTATCACGGGTCCGCCAAAGGGCAGCGCCTGAGCGCGGCACGTGGCGGGTCCTCGTTGCCGTTGGAACCACAGCGGCTGCCTAGAAACGTCCAAATCTATTCAATATGTAAAAATGCCTGTATCCATGTGCGAGCTTGTACCTATGTAGATGCCACAAGCCCAACGTCTACCACAAGTGCCGCCACGCGACCTAGAGCGCGAAAATCGGGTATTCTGCTGCTCCGGCCCAAGATCATGATGCCCTCCGATCTCTATCCAAACACGCCCGCCATATGACGAACAAGCACGTCTATCAGCGATGCGCATCTCCAGCTCCTCTGTCTGTCGTTTTTCATTTCGCTCCGGGGAGGCCCTACGCCGGGCCAAAGGCCTTGGTCATGGCCTGGTGCGCCAGCTCGACGCCGAGGAAGGTGGCGGCGTTGGCGGGGACGGCGCGGGCGAGGGCGGGGCCGAAGCCCGGGAAGAAGGCGCGGTAGCCGCCCTTTGCGTAGAGCTCGCGGACGACGCCGCCGAGCGTGGCGTGGCCCTCGGCGGTCTGCAGGCGGGACTTGACGGTGTCGACGGGGAAGACGGGGATCCACATGGCGACACCCGCGGCGGCGCCCGCGCAGGTGACGGCGGTGAGGGAGAGCTCGCCGGTAGGCTTGCCGGTGACGGGGTCGCGGGGGCTCATGGCGCGCTTGATGTACTCGTAGGCGGCGAAGTAGGCGGCGGAGCCGGGCCCGTCGCGGGCGAGGGTGGCGGCGGAGCCGCGGAAGACGCTGCGCAGGCCGCCCTCGCGGTAGAGCTGGCGCACGACGTCGAGGCCGCCGTTGTACTTTGGTTTCTCGCCGGGGGCGAGCTTCTTCTGGCCCTGGACCTGGAGGATGACCTTGACGCGCTCGAAGGGGGCGGTGATGGCCGTCATGGGCACAGCGGAGAGGAAGCCGGCCGTCGAGATTTGCGCGATGGAGAGGCCCTTGACGGGGTCGACGGTGCTGGAGGCCGAGACGATTTGCTTGCCGAGGTCGTAGCCCCAGAAGGAGACGGCGACTGTTTTCTCCCATGTCAGTTCTGTTGTATTCACTGCGCAGACCGGGACTCGCGCGCAAGCCAGCCAGCCAGCCCGCTATCAAGAGGAGATCGAGAGAGAAGAAAGACTCACACATGGGCGTCACGCCGACGAGCGGCGCGCTGACGCCGGCGTACAGGCCCCTCCGCAGGCCATCGCGGGCGACGCTCTTGCGGACGACGTCGACGGCGGAGGAGTAGACGCCGCGCTCGGCGGTCTGCAGGCGGACCTTGACGAGGTCAAAGGGGTGGCCGACGACGACGGCGCAGATGCCGCCGAAGCCGCCCGCGGCGAGGGCGCGCAGCTGCGAGAGCAGGCCCGAGGCGGCGGCCTTTTTGGTCTCCTCGACCTGCGCGCGGTCGGGGAGCTTGTCGCCGACGAGGGAGACGGCGGCCTCGGTCGTGGAGGAGGAGGAGGAGGAGGATGTGGGGGACATGGCTGCTGTGGGAGTTGTTTGGCGGTTTTGTCCCGTGCGTGTGTGCGTGTGGGCGCGAGGGGTGAGGGCGCGAACGCGGGAGGAGGAGGAGAGAGAAGGTGACGAGAAAAGGCGGAAACGAGGAAATCGACTTTTTTTGCCTCGTCTCCCCTCGTCTGGTTCAGGTGGTGGTAGCGGCGGCCGTTTAGGTGGTGGTGATGAGGCCTCGTGGGTTAGGTGATGTTGCGCCGGACCGGGGGTACGTGTGGCAGGTTTCGGTTCGGTTCGGTTGAGGGGAATGCAACCAGCCAGACGGGGGCCAGACAGACGTGCAGTAGGGCGAATCGAAAAAATGCGGCAGTCCTATCCTCTCAGGATTGGGTCGGTGCCGTGTCGTCGCGCGCGTGGAAGAGCGAGAGAGAGAGAGAGGATGCGATGTCGTGCGTGGTCTGGGAGGGTTTATTCTCGGCGCGAGGCGCGGCGTCGCAACCCGGCGATGTACGTCACGGCGCGGTGGGTGGTGGTGGTGGCGGGGGGGAAACTCGTCGGGTCTGTCGCGACTCCGGAGTCTCTCTGTCTGCTCTCCAGGCTGCGCGTCGGTCGGCAATACTCCAATGGACACGCAGACGCGGGGTCGAATGTCAGAGACGACACAAGACAAGTCGGAAGAGACAGAGAGGGATGTGCGAGATTCCAAGACGCGACGGCTCTTGATGGTCTTGAAAGAAATTATTCTAGAAGAAAAGGCGGGCGCGCCGACGACCGGACGGAGGACAGGGAGGTTTTTGGGGGGGGGGGAAGCCTGACATTGCGTCGGCTTCGGCCATCGTCGAGGCGCGCGACGGGACTGGGGCCCCAGCGTAGATTGAACCTCGGCCTCGGCTGTCAGAGCTGCCTGCTGCCCCGGATGCCTCGAAAATGCGCCCACCCGCCGCGCGCCCGCCACTGCGTGCTCCCGGCCCTGGAGAACCTGCACCCACATCCTCCCGCCCACCACCAGAATTCCCGGAGAAGTGGACGGGCTGCCCACTGGGAACCTCAGCCAGTCAGGTGGACAGTCCAGCAACGGGGCCGCCGCTGACGACCTCTAGTACCCAGGGCGAGGGGCGGGGTGGAGGCGCGGCTCCCCGGTCGGCCGGCTGCGGGCGGGGGGGAAACAGAACCTGGAACCACTGCACTCCCGTCCTGCACCAATGGTTGAGATGGAAAAGCCAATCCCGCCCGCCGGTGAACGATTATTACGCGCAGGGCCGCCCGTGCCGCTGACCTGTCACACCCAGGACTTGACGGGAGGCAGGTAGGGCCCCCAGGTAAGGTACGGTACGGGCGGCGGGCAATGGCATGTTGCACGCAGCAGCGCCGTGGCCCGCGTCCCTGGTGGCCCCGGCATCGGGGGATGGATGCGATGTCATGCGATGCGATGCGATGCAACATGACGTTTTTTGCAGGATTCTTTCCCTTCTCTTTTTTTCATTTTTTTTTCTTTCTTTCTTCTTCTTGCACCTTGAGGGAACTATCACCCAGCCGGACAGGACGGAGCGTCGCCCGTAGGCCCGCACGCGTTCTTCGTCTCCAGTGTTAAGCTTCGTACAGCGCCCCGCGAAAACTGATTCAGGGCCGCTGGGCTTCCCCACATGATCCCCGTGCCTGGCTGTGCGAAAGCCCGTGCCCCGTCCCCCCCGTGTCGTCGTGGGCCCTGACATGTGAAAAGGCCCCGTCCCCGTCCGTCTCCCATTCACGCTCGCCGGCGTCAACCATCAAGCCGCCCCTAATGATCAACACTGCTTCTACGCGGGTCAACTCATATTTGCACTCCCAGCTCGTGTACGTACGTAGTGTTATCAACCGCCAACTCCATATATCTTGATTGGTATACAAAGGGGAAAATATAGTAGTCCGAAGCGGGCACCCTCCCAGCGCCGCAACCATGCTCGTGTTTCTTGCTCCCCGAGCCACCACCTTGTAGAGTACATATGTTTTCTTCTCTGTGAATATACAAGCCCATCTAAGCAAAACATATGAACAATGTACCATGTTTCCAGAGACGTGTGTGCGTGGAAAGTGGTGGCCGTGCATCTGCCGCTCCGATCCGGCACCGTGCCGCGGCCGACCACATCCCGGTTCGCGCTGGCTCCGGCGCCGGTTCCCGGGCCCCTTCAGTTCAAAACGGCTTCGGCGTCGCTGGTGTCGCCGGCGTTCGTCCCCTCGCGCACCAGCAGCCGTTGTCGCCCTCCCGCTCCACCTGCACCGTTGCGTCGATGCCCTCCCGCAGCAGGTACTCCCGCACGCGCTCTCTGGCCTCGTCCATGCCCACGCCGCGGGCCACGGCGACGTGAACCACACCCACCAACCGACTCCCGCCACGGCTGCCCGTCCGGTCGTCCAGCCACAGCTTGGGCGCCGTGTAGCTGACTACTCCGCGCTGCTGCAAGATGCCGCCTAGTGTGTTGCGCATCGTGTACTCTGTGTCCTCGGGCACGCTCAGCAGCAGCCGCTTCGCGCACGACACGACCAGAGGCTTCGATGACAGGAAGATGAGCGCCGCAATCAGACAGGACGCCAACGGGTCCCATCCTGACCAACCCCATATGCTCGTCAGGATCGTCGACACAATGACCGATACGCTGCCCAGCGTATCTGCGAGCACATGCAGGTAGATGCCGTGCATGTTTTCGTTGTCGTGCGAGCTGCACCCCTGATGGCCGTGCCCATGGTCATCATGTGTATGAGAGTGACCATGGTCATGGCCGTGATCGTGATCGTGGTCGTGCGAGTGGCCATGCGAGTGGCCGTGGTCGTGTCCATGATGGTGATGCCCAAATGCCATCATGCCGACCAAGTTGACTGCCAGCCCCATGCTGCTGACGATGAACAGCTCGCCAAGCCGCTTGGTCTTGGTGCCCTCCCACAGCCGCTCAAATGCCTCAAATGCAATCTCGACGCTCAGGAGCCTGCCAAAGTCAGTAATGATTCAACAACAGGAGTCCACCACCCAATGACCCACATCAGCAGAATGCCGTTGGCGAAGCCACTCAGCGTCTCAATCTTGCCGAAGCCGTAGGGGAACTTTTGGCTCGGGGGCCATTTGCTCATGACGGCCGCCAACAGTCCAACAAGGAGCGCCACGCAATCGAAGAACATGTGTATACTGTCGCTGAGCAGGCCAAGGGAGTCGGTCACGTAGCCATAAAACGCCTGCACTGTCATGAAGCAGAAATTGAGGCTGGAATCCATCCTGTCAGCGGCCCATTTGCCACGTAGCAACCGTACAACCTACGTCATGAAGTAGAATATCCTTCTCGAATCCTTTTCGACCAGGATAGCGTGGAGAATGGGGAATCGCGCGGTGTACGGCAGTATCGTCCGCGTAAAGAGTGACCGCTCGGCTTTTTCGTCCGAATGCGAATGCGCGTGCGCGTGCACATGGCCGTGATGTGAGCCATGGTCGTGATGGTGGTCGTGGTCTGAGCTGTGCCCGTGGCCGTGGCCATGATGGCTGTGTCGGTGACTGTGCTCCTTGGTCGGCGGCGAGTATGGCTTCGTCAGGGCGTCGACGGCGGCGGGCGTCACGATGCTCTTGCCGCTGGCCGTCGTTTCCTGCGTCCACCCGGCGAGCGTGTCCAACGCGGCCGGCGGAGCCTTGTCCCTCAGCAGCGAGGCGCTCGAGTTGGACGCGTGCGAGCCGGCGCGGTTGTGCGAGTGGTGACGGGAGTGGGAGTGGCCCCGGTGGTCGTGGTCGCGGGCGTCCTCGTCGACGTGCGTGGGTAAAGACTCGCGCGACATGGAGGAGCGCCAGGCCGTCAGCGACGACTGCGAGTGGGAGTGGGAGTGCGAATGCGAGTGGCCGTGGATGTGGTGTTGGTGCGCGTGCGGGAGCGCAGACGACGGCAGGGCGTACGGCGAGGCCATGCTTCCGACAGCAGAGGACTCTGTCGGCGTCGTCGTCGTCGTCGTCGCTGCTTTGGCGGCGCCGGAAGCGGATCGCGCGGTCGTCGTCAGGCGCTGCGGGTCTTTGCGAGAGAGGTGGAGGTTGAAGCGGAGGCGGCGCTGGCTGGCCGGGCGTCAATACAGGAGGAGGGGAGGGGGGCCAGCAGCGGAGCTTCCCAGCAGCGGTGCTCACCTCCTTCAGGGCGACCCCGACGTCATTTGTTTCCAGACGGGTGCAGTGCAGACGGGGCGTGCGTGGGCGAGCGCAAGGAGGTACGTAGGTTCTGAGAAGAAGCGTCTGGGGAAACGCACAAGGTGCAGCAACTCTGGTGATACGCCCGCTCAATGCTCAATTGGTCGTGGGACGTCGGTGTGTCGCTTTCCCAAGCGGGCTGCGCGGGCTGATAAGGAGGCGCGCGGGCTGGGGTGCACGTGGTGGTGGCAACCAGGGCTGCTGGCTTGGCCGCGCTACAACTTGGAAGTGAGCTGGAGGTGAGGCGCCAATCTCAGCAGTCCATGCAGGTGCGTAGGTACAACAACACCCGGCCAGCATCCATCCAGGCACTGGCTTCATGCACCCCGGCCCGCATCCCAACCAAGGTTGCAGTGGAGTGCGTTAAGGAGAGGTTAGCGCGCGCGCAGCAGCAGCAGCAGTGCTGTGGAGTGCCGCCGCGTGAGGTAAGTAGGCTGCTGCGCGCGAGGATGCGACGCAGGATGCAATGAAATGGCGACGGCGCATTGCAGCAGACAGACGATATCATGGAGCCCGCAGAGGGAGCAAGGCCGTCAAAGTCAATCGCGTGTCAGGCATAAGGTACGGCATTGTTTATGCGTCCCGTCCACTCGACCCTGAGGTG